TGCGGTGTGTTTGACCCTAACTTAATTTTACGCCGGAATATCCCTTTAAGAACTAACCCAGTCCTCAACATGGGCTTTGGAAGCAAATCAGGCCTCTTATAGTCTTTGTTTTGATGTTCTGAGTATCTGGTAGCTGTGCAGAAAAGACTCATGCAGAGACAGATTTTTGTATTCACCTCTTCTTTTTTTCACCAGAGCACCTCTTAAATACACCAGAGTGCATTGACAAAAACACTAATTTTATTTACTTCAATTGTGCGAATTTTTCTGTTTTGTAATGTGCACAAAGACCCTTTAAAAATAAATACATGAATGCATGTCAGTTACACTCTTGTGAATTTGATCTGTATAAAGAGACTCTTTCAAAAGATACTCTCTTTCATGAGTGAGCTGTTTGTGTTAGAACCAGTGCATTAAAAGCTCAAGTTGATGCGCTTTTAGAAGCTCTTTGGTACTACAATAATGACATAGTATTAATCTGCCAGCTTTTATAATGAGTTAGCGATCAGTAGTCATTCTGTGGATGCAGCAGCAGCAGCCCAGTACAGCTGTGGCATTCTGCACACAGAAAGGGTAATAATTTGACCCAGAGTCCACAGCTGCTGATGGCGGGCTGTGATTGTTTCTGCACGGATGTGAAACAGGTTTGAATCTCCATGGAAACGTGTCGGACAGCAGCAGGATGCTGATAATGAGGGTCTGGTCACTGAACACACAGAGGGAGGATTTAGAAATCCTCATGATTCGAGGGATGGCTCAACATTTTGAAATTTGTCATCAGTTTTTTTCAGCATGTTGTCAATGATGAGGGAATAGATTAGCAGAAAACCAGATCAGGAGCAGAAGCTGGACGTTGGCGATGACTGCTTCATGCTCTGAATTGGAGCTCAGTTACAAGCATCATGAAATAAAACAAATCACAGCTCTGAGCCAAATACAGTCATTACATTTAAAGACGTTAAACAGAAATTATAGAGTCCTGATGAAGAACTAATCCACCCACCCATCTGTCTGTCTGTGTCACTCCAACCCTTCATTCACTCTCAGTTTCTTTGAGCAATCTGTCTGCATCGGCAGAAATCTAATCAATACAGAAACAACAGGACAATGGTCGGGGACAAGGGGTTTTCAGAGGTGACTCACATTCCTCACTGAGGATTTTGAACCTCATTGATTTCACTTCATCTAAGCTCTGACAACATCTGACAGCAAACCTGATCCCGTCTGCTCATACAGAGGTTATTGAACAGAGACAGACATGTGTGATCAGGATTATCTCCACTCGGCTGTGTGTTATTCAGACTGTTTGAAAGTCTCTTTAGGTTTGAAGTCATTTTAGGGACAAAGACACTGCTCGATAAAGCCTGAAAAAACACCACAACTCTCAAACACTGGCCTTTTGTGTACGTCACCAGGTTGTTACCCAACATACTAGTTTTTAAATGAGAAATAGCCCCAAAATGACACTGATGCCTCTCTTTGACCTTCAAAAGCAAACAAGACCATCAATAACCAGTCTGATCATTGCTCTGTGGTCATTTTATAAACCTGAAACCACTAAGTGTCAGACACAATTGCTAAAAAAATAAAAAAAGAAATGGCCTTTTCCAGGACAATTACTCACAGTGAGTAAATCATTTTTCCGTTTAAAAACAAAAGGACGAGATTTTTACATGTACTGAAACAAAAGTAAGTTAAAACAATGGAAACAAGGTTTGTTTTTGTCCAGGGGGACTCCTTTTTGTCCACAGAATCAACAAAACCAAAAGTCCTCCCAGGACCTTTAAAGCAGCGGTTCTCAATTGGTGGGTCCTGACCCACAAGTGGGTCGTGGACAGGTTCTGGATGGGTCACGAACAGCTGAATAATAAAAAAAAAATGTTTAATGCGATAGTTATCAGATTTTTGATATTTTCTGTATATGCAAGTTCAGTAGTTGTCGTCCTCATGTTGTCCCCGTCATGTGCTCTGAAATTCACTTTACTCAATAACACAAGTGGATTTATGTTAAAGATTAAAGAGTCTTTAAAGCTTTTTTTTTATTTGAAAAGAACAAATTGCTTTGTTTGAATTCTATAAAAATGAGCCGCGACTTAAGGACCATGGGAAAATGTGGGTCCCAGAGTGAGACCAGTTTAGAACCACTGCTTCAAAGGACACATCCTCATGTTGTGGCGATATTTTGAATAATGCCGCTGTTTTATCACAAAGTAATTTTCAGTGACATAAAGATGTTGGATCTGAAGGGTCTAGATTTTACTATAATGAGTGACTGACTGAGATCATTTTTGTTTTATTCTATTTAATTTTTTTTTTTTTTTTTGCTGATAAGGAGCCAGTAGGTGGACAATAGATAATGCTGAAATCATCTTTTTGTTTTTATTTTGTTTTGTTTCCATTATTTTATTTATTTATTTATTTTTATTTATTTCTTTTTTGTGTTCAAAATAAACTTCAATCAATTAATCAATCTATTTTAATAAATAATACAATTCAATAATTATTAAAAATTTAGACTGCTAGTTCATGGTACACAGAGTTACATGACACATTGGAGACATTTCTGTATTTAAAGTCTTTTTTGCATCAGTGTTCTGTAATATTCCTTTTTTGTTTTTTTTCACTGCTGTGCTGTTGCACACCTTGATGTCTAAGTGGCTGCAGACTCAACAGAAACAGACAAAGTGTGTTCCTCGGGGGACCTAATGAGCTCAGAAATGAAGCTCTTCATTTTGCATACATATCTGCAGGACCAAATTTCACCCCTTTTATGCTCCAGCTTCATGTTTGCTTCTTCAGTTGCTGATCAAAGTGTAAACAATGTAGCACACAGAGAGGAAGTCTTGACTGGAAATCATTCATTGCAAACAGCTGGTTACACCGGAACACTTGATAATTACTCTCCGGGGCAGATTTCATCGTCCCGCAATGGCTGACGGGTTCTGAATATATCTCAATAGGATGATGCAAGACTCTTTCCAAAGACAATAATTCCTACTTTATTTCCCAGCTGTGTTTAACACCTGGGTCTGGTCAGTCACTATATTCTGTTATTTTTCTGTGATATACCAATTGTCTAGATGCAGCTTGTGTTCCTTACCTGCAGGTGACATCAAAAGCAACACATGAGCTGATTTTCTTCATCAATAACTGCCCTGGAGGTGATATACCCGACTTTTCAGTCTGTTCTGATTCAAACCTGTCCCCTAAAAATAACCTTTAAAGACCAAAAACCCCTTAACTTCACAGATGTTACATATTTGATGAGCTTTTATATCTGCATCTTGTACATACATTCCTGTGTTTAATGCATACAGAGTTTTAGGGGACTGGTTACAGATTTTTTTATTTTTCCCACACAGTTTTGGTCTTGCTTGGCCACAGCAGCTCCATCTTCTGCTGCACACGCAGGTGAAAAAAAACAAGAAGCAGCTGCAACATCTTTATGTCTCCAATTATGCCATTTTCTGCTCTCCATGTGGTGAGCTGGTTTCACACACCACAAACACTCCTGATGGCTTCATTAACTCGTTTCGGTCTCAGTCAGACAGGCAAGAGAGGAACTGCAAAGCTTGGCTGCTGCGGCAGACTCTGCGTCCCTGGATATTTGGATGGTTTGTGTTTTTGTGATAACTAAACCCCATGAAAAAATAACTCGATTTCTTGGGATAGACACCAAAAGTATTCCAATTAACAATATTTTCATGTATATTGTGCAGAAATACATATCTTTGCATGTACCTGCAAGAGTATACCAATGTATGTTTTTGCTTCCTGAAGAAAATCATCCAGGTATTTCTCATGATTGGGCATGGGATACAAGCTCAGGCCTAACCACTTCTGATGAGAGTTTCTAATGTCTGAGATACATCTCCCATGCTACTCTTCAAGGCAAATCTCATGAGTATTATCCAGCGGCACTACGGACTGTCTAACATCACAACCCGTGTTTCATGATTCTAAGTTTGAACTTTTTTTTATTAAACATTTATCAAGATATACAACATTCAGGAGATGCTTTTTACTACGTATACTTGACAATCCTTCCATCATTACACAACAGAACCCTTTGTTATTTTTTTATTGTTTAATACATAGGTCCCTTGCTATAAATTTCAAATCAGTCCCTGTTAGAGGCTACTGCAACTTGCTTACTACCACTCCTTATACATACTAGATCCATCTAGATATATAGCTGTGAATACTTAAACAAACCAAATACTACATAGTTATTCCCAAAACAATATCCAATGCTGTACCAATATTTATATTTCCTCATATGCTGAATAGAAATTAAGAATCAATTACAGAATAATAAGAATAGAGGTGACGAGAGACAAGGCATTGCCTGAATCACTGGAGACCATTTTTCATGAAATCGATCTGATTTCAATTGTAGCCTTGCTGTAATTGTTTCCATAGTCAGAGCTCTCTCAGTCTTTCTCTCTATTCTGTTAAGCTGGGAGGTTATGGTTTCAGTCAGGATGCTGTTATTGTTTTAATTGCAATTAAGAGCAATTTTCTTAACAAGTAGATCAGATTTTTATTTTTGGAGTCTTCTTGAAGCTGGAACCATAGAGAGAGCTATTAACAAGATACTGGGAATCTGATGAAACTGCTGTTTAAGAGGAGGGGTTTTTTTGCAGAACAAGCTGGAAATCAGACTGTTGAAGAGGCTATATTTGCAGGAAATGTGGAAAAAATGAGGTCTTAGGAGTAGAAGCTGAGAGTTAAAAGCTTGATCAGCCAGACATTGAAATTAAATTGTGTCCCAAGAGCAAGGCACTGCTCTGCATTGCATTGCAGTAAACACCGGCTCATTGCTGTTGAATTTAATACATTTTGGAATCTGTATATTTTAGATTTTCTTATAGCTCCCTCTGGAGAAAAATGCACCTGTGATGAATTTGAGACTTCAAACATTCAGCCCATAAAGAAAACCTCCATAAAGAAAACTTCATGGAGGCAACCACAGCAGTGATATAACGCAGTTTGTCACAATGACACTCAAGCGTAAGTGTTTCAGATATTTCACATACTCTCACACTTTCTGCATTACTAGAGTTCTTTATGGAGAACTAGACCTTGAGATGGTTTCTTGCACAATAGTGTATTTATACTTGAAAAGGATATTGACGGCCGTGCTTTGGAAACATGTTGTGTAAGGTGTTGTATAGCATGTTTGTTATCTGTGCAAGGAAACAGGAACATTGTGAGGGTGATGTTGTTATTGATCATCAGCTCACTACTGTAACTGCCCGTTAAACTCCAACCCTTAACAGCAGCTCAGGCAGGTAAATCACCATGGTAACATACATGAAGACAGTTTGTCCCCGTACATGACCACCACAAACATCAGAAAATGGTAATATCCTGCCTGGAGATGAATCTAGAGGGCAAGTAAAATCAATTCACTCAAGTATAAGGATTTATCAAATGGATTTTTTTCCTGTATTATAAGTTTTTCAATTTAAATAAATTAGTTTTGCAGGAGTGAGGGGGCAGATGGAGAGAGTGAGAACTTTCTGATCTCACTTTAATGAGCAGGTATAAAAGCAAACTAACTGACTCATTGGCGACTATATTGAATAATTAATTAATCTGGCATTTGATTTGAGAGTTGGCAAAGTGACCATGAATAAATGTTAACTGACTAGCTATAGCTATGGTTTGTTGGCTTTTACAGAGTTGTTTGCTGTGCAGAGAGGGTGTAAACCTCAGCATGTGGACACCTGGTGAGAAACCACTCAAAGTGCTGGTTCAGTCACTGTGAGCACTGATGTTAAAAACAGCTTGTACTGCATTTAGATGATACATAAAGGTGCTGTGTGTCGCATTAATGCAGCAGCACTTAGCAAATAAATCACCAGTCTGAACATCATGGAGTCTGCACAGTTATATTCAGACTTCATTGATTAAAATTAAAGGGTTGATAGCTTAACATTAGTGTTGGCTGGATTTTAAACAAAGGGTCAAACCTGGAAGGGATTGTCTCTAACACTATTACTAATTAGATACTCAAACAAACCCTGATTGATTAAACTCATTTCTATGATTTACATTATTTTTGTTAAACAATGAGTCACCAAAACTCAAAATCAGTAACACTGAAAAAAAATATAGCTCAGTTTAACATCACAACTGTTGATTTTACTGTCATTCTGTGGATAGATCTCAGACTGCATATACGATGGACAACTTGGTTCCGCTTCCCGTCATTGTACGAATCTGAAACTGAATTTCTCTTGGTAATTCTGCTTTTTTTCTCCATTTCCTTAAACCAGCAGGAGAGTCACTGAGAGTTGCTGTGATGACGCTCGGCTCAAACAGCGTATCCCAGGGGTGAGCAACGCAGTCTTTGTACCCCCATAGGCTGTATCAAGTGTCAATCATAGAAAATATGAACCCTCTAATAACTTTTAAAAATGGAGCTGTACAGAAAAAAGAGGACTTGAGCAAAAACCAGTCTTACAATAACTACATGTCAACATCGCAAGCAGGGGGGAGGAAAATTTACTTTCTGTTTAATAAATTTCTAAAGTTTGTCCACAGCTCCATAGGGATTGCTGGAGGAGGCAGGATTTATAACCTATACTGCAGCCCGTCACCAGAGGGTGCTGTTCTTGCGGTGGCTTCACCCAGCAAGGAGGCAGCTTGCATCAATTCAATATACAGTCTATGAAAGATCTCCACAGTTCAACACAATGAGACACTTCAGGGAACAAGAAGTGAGCAATAGATTATCAATCAGCAGTGGTTTAAGGGGAAAATTGCCATTTTGAAAGTGCCTTCTTAGACGCTTCTGATTGAAATAAAGGTTTATTCAAAAAACGACTTTGAAACCCTTTCCATGGAAAATGCATGAAAATTTGCTTTAGTTGCTGCTCTTCTACAGGATGAAAACAACAAAGACCCTTCTGTTTGTCCCTAACAGTACAAAGCATGGAAGAAGCGTCCTCTTGATGCACTTTCCGCATGTAAAGCGTAAAAAAGTGCCCTTTAAATACCCTATCGATCAAATGTGACAATGTGCCCTTTTTGATGAAGGGTGAACTGATCGGCTCATTTTATAATTTATCAACGAAAAACAAAAGGGTGGATGTTGTTCAATCTGGAGACAAAGGCAGATTTTTCCCTGTCGGTATGTTACAGAAAATATCAAATAAAGAAATTATTGTTACATGTGTTGACTTTTTTATGTTTCATTGGTAAAATAATCTTGAATGAGATTTTTTGGCTTCTAAAAACAAATGATTCTGTAGGTGGATGCAATAATTTAGTTAGTTTAGGACATGTCAATGATTGAGGGCTGAGGATTGAGGGTTAAAAGAAACTAAAACAAATAAAGTTTCTTTTTTTTTGGACTGTGAACTTAATTTTAAAGAATGAACTATGACGGTGAACTATAAATCGACTTTAATCTGCGTGAGCTGAATTTTGAGCTCACTCATTTTTGGTGTAAATTTGCACCACAATGCTGGCAAGATGTACAGTATAGCAAAGTTAACTTGGGTAAAACTTTTTGAAAAGTCTTCTTATAAATATGTGTTAAATCTGTGTATTTCATTGACTGGTTTACAGCTAAATACTCAATTTTAAAATGACCACAACCAATCAAATCTTGCCAAAATATCAACCTCATGCAGGGATTAGCATTAATTTCTCAATAATCATAATCTAATTATACAGAGCAGGTTTGTAAGTTAAACCATAACAGTGTCACTAAAAAGCATATTTTGCTTATAAGTCAGTATTGAGGTCAAACACAGTATCAAGGTCATATTCCTTTCCAGCTTGAGGTCAACTCTTTGATTTGAATTTAGTGGAAATAATCTTGATAATGAGTGTGACGGAGCTGGCAGAGCTCATTTTTCCTGCAGTGATTCTCTAAAGCCTGACAACAGACGGTGATGCTCTTTGAGATTTCTCCGCTTAAAGGTCTCCTCTGTGTGTGAAAGAAATATAAGAACATCTGCGTCTGTGTTGTACTGCAGCCGCAGATCCCTTCAGTCCCTCTGGTTGTAAAGGTCACGGCTGCATTTTATTATTTCAAAGGTAAACTCAACGTTTCATGACCTGCAGAGCTCTCAGAGCAGGAGAAGTGTCTTCGCCTCGCTCAGGTCTGATCTCCGGAGCAGAAAATGTGAATTATTTAAACGTTCTGTCATAGGTCTCCTGACTCATTGATTAAAAGTCTATTTCTGTGTTTTTCATCTTGTTTCAGTGTAACAGTGAGTCCATTGTCCCATGTGGTCTGTTTGTGTGCAGATCTGTCACCAGATGGTCTCCCCCTCCTCTTCTTCAGTTCAACAACATGGCTGATAGTTTTTCTCGTAGCCTTTATTTTGCACCCTGTGATTTATTTTCTATTCCAGTTTTTTAAAGAAGAAGCACAAGTTCACGTGTGTACGTGAGCGTGTTTTTAGGTTTCTGCTTCAACTGTTTTGAGAGTGTTTTGATTTGCTGCTTCAGGATTAAAAGACTTCATCCGGAAAATTAAACCCCTGACAAAGGTGTCGTATTCCAGACTGACATTCATTACACCAAAAACAATGTGAAAGACTTTGCTTTTGGATAAAGAGTCTGCAAGGCTTGGATTTTTCTATCATAGATATTCTTCTAGGAGTTGGCTATGTCTTTATTCCAAACATCATTGACCAATCAGGGATCAGCAGCTTTGAGGAATGATGGAAAAAGCTCGCAGAACATAAACGACTGTGATGAAATCTCAGCTCCTAACTATGAAAGCCAATGTCCAGCAGTTAAGTATAGATATAGAATAGACAGATACCAAACAACAGCTTTATTAACACAGATATTAACATAAAAAGCAGCGTTCATGAAAACTATCTTTTAAACAGTTGGCAGATTTGATCGTAAAAACCGTCTTTTAAGCCGTTGTGTTTGTAGTGTTTGTTTAGAAGCGGTTTAAGTGTTCCCTGTTTGCCCTTCAGTGCACCTCGAGCCAAAAATGAATAATGTCAACTTTTCTATTTTAATAGGAGCCTTGGCTTTGTTCCTGTATGAGACACGAGAGTGTGACATTTGTTGGAAACAGATCAGCTGCTCTCTGAGTTGCAGTGCTCTGCTGGAATCCTGCACTGAGGGTGTTGATGAGTTTCTGCAGCCTCTTTTTTCTTACTGAGCAACAAACACACACTCAATAAAGATTAGCAGACTCAGTCTAATTAAACACACACTCAACCTGACAATCTGCTCTGTTTAGATAAGTGAGATACTGAAAACCTGTATTATCTCCTTCAGCAGAGTGCTGCAGATTTAACAGATGATGGACCAGTCTTAAGGAGCTCTTTACCAGGAGTTTGACCATGTGCATAAAATGACACAAATTTATCTTTTTAGGCAAAAAAATAAAGGTTTGAAAGGCTGTAAATGGAAGCAGCAGAAAACAGTGACACTAAGTGAGATCAAGTGACTATTATTGTAAATTCAGTGCAACACAAAAAACAAAAAGCATTAGGGGAAAATTAAATAATAGAAGTGAGACTGTCAGACCCATACCTAAGTTTGCAGCTTTAAAGGTGGGGTAGGTAGGATCTGAGGAAGTGCCAGTTTTTGGGAGAAATCTTGAATGTAAACACTCCCCCTTCCAACCAGTTTTCCCCTCAGCTCCTCCTCTCCCCTCCCTCTCTGCTCCAGCAAGCCCCGCCTACAAATGGACGCTCCTGCTCGCTCATATTGTTCCAATTAAATTCAGATATAATGTAGATAAATACTTCAGATAATTACAAATGGGGCCCAGTCGGTGGGACATGTTTGGAACACCTCTGACGGGAGGCGTCCAGAAGGCATCCAATTCAGATGCCCGAGCCACCTCAGCTGACTCCTCTCGACGTGGAGGAGCAGTGGTTCTACTCTGAGCGCCTCCTGAGTGTCTGAGCTCCTTACCCTATCTCTAAGGCTGAGCCCGGTCACCCTGCGAAGGAAACCCATTTCAGCCACTTGTATCTGCGATCTTGTTCTTTCGGTCATTACCCAAAGTTAATGGCCAAAGGTGAGGGTCGGCACGTAGATCGACTGGTTAATCGAGAGTCTCGCCTTAAGACTCAGCTCTTTCTTCACCAAGACCGATCAGCTAAGTGTCCGATCTGATCCGCCTGTCGATCTCCCATTCCATCCTACCCTCACTCGTGAACAAGATCCCGAAATACGTAAACTCCTCCACTTGAGGCAGGACCACTCCTCCAACCTGGAGAAAGCGATCTAACTTTTTCCGACTGAGGACCATGGCCTCGGACTATCAAATGTCATCAATAACTAATAGTTATTGACTGATATTAAAAGCTTTTTTGTTTATACACCACAAAAAAAAGATGCTTCTTTAACGGATTCCTGCCTACCCCACCTTGAATGGTTTGTTTTCAAATAAGGCTGGGTTCATTGTTGAGCTCCATCTCTAGAAATGATGAGGTGTAAAAGTTGTGTGTTTGAAAATGAAACTTCACAGCTGTGGATGTCGCCCGGAGGCGGCTCTGTCTCCTGTTTACGCGCCTTTCTCTGCCACCTTAAAGTAACCAGACAGCTAATATCAGACAGTGTCAGCCATCTTTTTTCTTCAGACCGTCTGTCCTATGCCCGAACCAGCCGTGACAGCTCTGATTTCTCTCTTTTATAACACCGTCTCACACTGGGACTGAGGCGGAAAGACACATTGGTGGTTAAAATGGGTTAATTGGAGCAGGACACACCATGACCACACTATCAGAGAAAACTAACACAAGAACTTTTTTGTGGAAAGACTTTTGAAGAACATCACACTTGTTTGGTTATGCAGCCCCCAGAGAAAAATACACCAGCCACCATTATGCCCACACATCAAAAATAACAGGCCCTTGCTGACTTTTGTCCGTAGGGTGATTATCTTGTGGTGTGTACCTGGTTATATCAGTGTGCTTTAAATATGTCCAAGTTTGGTTTCAGTCTTCCAGAGGATTTGTATTAGTTATGTATTCAAGGTGGGGTAGGCAGGAATCTGTTAAAGAAGCATCTTTTTTTGCGGTGTGTATACAAAAAGCTTTTAATATCAGTCAGTAGCTATTAGTTATTGATGACATTTGGGAATATCACAATACGACCAATTGACCGAAATGACCGGATCTTTTTAATGAACGAACCGGAATGATCCGGTTCACTGAAATGAACGGTTTTGCCCACCACTATTTGACACTGAATCTTTTAACACTGAATTATTTGACACTAAATCGTTTTTTATGCTGAAATTTTTTTAACACAGTTTTTCTAAGTCAAATTTTTACTAAACGAATATTTATGAGAGACTATTATCTATGTGGGCATTGTCAGTAAGTTGTTAACAGTTATAACACATTATAATACCTGACCTTGTAAGTCATGATAAATTGCTTTATAATTTGTTATGATTATTGCTATAAAGCATAATGATCATTTATGAGTGTTTATAACTATAGTTATACAGTGCTATAACGTGATTATAACACATTATACATATATTTATCATGAGTTATAGAGATAGGCGTTAAGTAAACTGTTACCAAATTTAGCTTTAGAAATTCAAATTCAAAATCAGATGGCACAGATTTACTTCCATAATCAATATGAATTTTGGTCTATTTGATGGATGTCTAAAAATACAATTTAGCCTATTTAAAATGCACTCTAGATTTGAATCAGTCCCAAAAGTTTAGTTAAACCTGTTGCAGAGTAAAAGCAAGCTTGTGTTGTAAAAGCAAGTTGTTGTTTGCTGGGTATCACTGATGACATGAACGCAAATAACTGCTGCCCTACACTAATCTTTAAAGAAAAAAGATAAAACTGATAATCGTATTACATTTCTTTATCATATAACACTCATTACTGACAGGAAAGGAGTGTGTTTCTGCTGTATGTTCTCAACAGTGCTGTCTCATTTTAACATTTCCGACAGGACCTGAACGCATCAGAGCACGGACGGCTCCTGCGGGAGGAGAGAGCAGCAGAGGAGAAAGAGAGAGCCGTAGAAATATGAAGTTCTCCTCTTTTCTCTTCACGGCAGGGGGAACGACAGGTGACTCGTGTCGTGGATTTAGGCATGCGGGAGTGAGAAGTTTATTCGATTAGTATTAAAAATTTTTTAAAGATCTTTGAGCAACAGGAACACAAAAACATCACATCTGATTCAGATAATCATTTGAAGACTGAATGGAGGAGAAATGAGGGAAGGATAGTGAATGAAAAGGAGCAGCTGGGGTGAGTGAACTTAACTTAAAGCTGTGTTTTTTTGTGTGAAAACGTGTAGTTTAAGTGTGGTGTGATGCGTTTGTGTTTCCACAGGTGTTTGTCTGTTTGTCTGTCTGTCTGTCAGCACACACAGCCTGCTGCTCAAACTGTAATTCATAAAACAGTGTGATACTATCAGCCTCCTGCAGCTGCACCCACAGCGTCAGGTGATGTTCAGGTGCCTATAAATACTAGGATATTTTACTCTGAGTGGAGAGGAGACACTTAAAATGTGAAAACATGGAGGGCAGCTCCTGGTCTTTTTTAATGAATGGTTTGATTCAAAACCTCATTGGCACAGGAGACATGATTTTTTTGGCATGGTTTGATAATTAAGGAGAGAGTGTTCATAATTAAAGCCTGGATTACTTGTCGTTTTTTTAAATAATTTATGCAGTTTTTTCCCAATGCACAGGTTATTTAAAAAGACATAATTCCTGCTTAGAAATTATTTAATTAAAAACCCCTCTTTCTGTCATCCTTCTGAGCATTTTTTGGTCTAAAAGAGGTCTAATGGACGTCTAAATGTGGCCTTGATGACTGGTCTACAATCAGGCTACCACAGGTCTAAAAATGAAAGGTTTTTTTAGACGTCTAAATTTAGACCAAGTTTGGACCAAGTCTTAATCTGGGTTATATCTTTACTACACTGTATTTTGCTCAACGACTATCATTATTATTTTGGTGATCAGTTATGCAACTCACAGTTGCTTTTTGAGATAAATAGTTATCGAATTATGGGTTAAAGTGCAACGTCTAAATTCCGTCTAATTATATACAGAATCTAGACGGTTGAAATTAGGTCTAAAAAAACTAGACGTCTAATAGCCGTCTATTACTCAGTGGGATTCAAGCCATAAAGAGAAGATGCTTACAATATCAATCGTTTGAGGAAAACAGTCTGTACAGATGTGGGGAATTTGCAGGTCTTTCTTTCATGTTCTTTTACATTGAACACATCTAAATATGTTAAATCCATAAAAGTATTTTGGATTATTTCAAATCTACCAAAGGTTATATGTTCTTGCTCAAGTGGTCTGTGATCCATCTTACCATGTTAGAGCAGAATTTGGATCCGTTTTCTTCTTCAGGTAAACACCTACTGTGGATAAACAGAGTATGCCCTCAGTGTTGCACTAACTCTTGTAATGCCAGTCTGTCAGTTGTGCACTGGTGCAACAAAGGGGCAAGAATTAACAAATTGGCACACATTTGCCAAGGTTGCCTCATATTGATATTTCTCATCGCCTATATAGTCAAATTAGATCATCTGCCACAAGATTAGTAAATTCAGGTTGGATTTCCGTGCAAAAAGCTGAGTCATTGTTCGTTTCTCTCCCTGAAGTGTCTGTGTTTAAACTCTGCAGGTAAAGTGTTGCTGTGAGAAGTAGGTTAGAAAGCAGGAGGAGTTTTAAAGTGTTGTTTTAGATCCCAGAGCTCTCCAACAAGGGTTGTGAAGTAAGGACTCAGCACACGGTGACAATGCAAGACCATAAATGCAACTGTGATTATCACAAAGCATCATTACAAAGAAAAACAGAAGAAAAAGATTAAATTCTCTTCATTTGCTTAATCAACAATGCATGCTGTGGGTGATGGTGCTCATGGGAAATGCAGTCCAAAAGCAAGAAATTAAGCAGATACTATGACAACAAGAAGAAAAGCCGTTTGGTTTAATCTGGGTAACCAGTGTTCTGATAAAAAGTGAATACAAATTCAACTCTTGAGAAATGTCATTTCTTGGCTCAGTACATCCACCAAAGACATACTTGTTCATCTATATCTGGTGAGTCTCAGCTTCTCTGTAAACAGGAAGTTACACTGACACTTTAGTCTGGTTAAGTATGGTATAGTAACTGCAGTAAACAATGTGCTGAGCTTCTGTCCTTACAGCTTTGGGGTTATTGCTGGTTATAGCTTGATAAGATGGTTTAAGACCAGTCTGGAAGCACTGGGCAAGAAGTAATTTGTTGAAAAAGTGTATCACTTCTGCTAACGTAGGTGGCAAAGTGCCCTCTTTCAGTTCGTCACTGCGTGTACCTTTCACACAAACTACACAACAGCGTCATCTTTTTTCTTATGTCCTTTCTTCTGTCAAAGTTTTGTTCTATTGATGCACTTGAGCTGTTCAACTTCTAAGTCAAAGCCTGACGTGCAAATGTGGAGTATCTGACACATCTTCAGAGAAATACTTCTTCTGTTTTCTTCGACCTAGTTTTTATTCTTTGGTAGTTGAATGTTCTGCTTATGAAACTGTTTTGGCTCCGACAAAAGACTATCTGAAAGTTTGAAGGACTTGATGTCATGGATCCCAGCCGTGATTATTCAGTGGATGAGTAATATGTGAGTTTATTCTGAGGAGTGTGAGTTTGTGTTGAGCTGAGTCAGTCCTGTCTGTCTGTGTTCGATGTCAGACTGAAGTCCTGAAGGTGAGATGTGAAGCTGAGTGGTCATTCTCATAACCTGCTGCATGGATTGGCTGGAGATGGGAGAGAGTGGGTGCACTGAGTCACTGAGTCACTGAGCGAGTGTGCGTGCGTGCGTGTGTGTCTATGTCTGTGTGCGCAGGAAAGGACGCAGTTTAAATGACACTTAAACTAGTAATAATTTATCTTGATTTCGCTTGCAAGTCAGGGGTTGGTTGAGTTGTTTAAGGGTAACAGGTTTTGTCCCTCCTCCATCCAGGAGCAGCAAACAACATCTGTTTATATCCAACAGAGTTATTAGAGTCTTTGCGTGTCTATAAAACCACAGAGAAGAAAGTTAAGTGAATATGAAAGGTTTATTTTTTGTGATTTTTACAAACGCTTAACTCTGGTATCATTTTTTCGGCATTTTACCCCAAATCACGATTCCTCCCAAACCATAAAGTAAAGTTCAAGTATTTTCAATTAGGCTTGTATGTTTTAGGGTACTATACAGTATTACTACTATGCAAAACTCTGTTGTTAGTAGGACCACTAAGTTAGTGTACTGGCCCTTTTTAAAATTGGTCCTAAGTTCATGGTGTGAAGCTATTTAGGGCAAGTCAGACCACATTTTGCTAGTTATGCACCGCACAATTTTGGTGCTAAGTGAGGCACAGGGAGCTGGGTGATTAGATTATGTATATTGTTTATTTGTTGTTGTGTTTTGTGAGTCAAAAAAATTACACCAATCAAAGTATCACTCTCACTCCCCTAAAAAAATTAAACAGGTGATGTTACTCTTTTCCTGAGACAGAATAGGCATCTCAAGGTCAGCTGATTTCTGATACAGCCTCTTATTGGTCAATAGATCATAACATAGAAGGCAGTCTTCCATAAATAAGCATAGTCAGCTAACAGTAAGAAATAATACTATCATTTAGATTTAGACTTCCTCATAGATTACCTTTGTTTTTGAGTGATTAATTCAAGACTGTCCAGTAGTTTCATAAACTGTATTTTAGGAAATGTGAAATTGTAATATGGAGAGGGCAGGTAATGGCTGGTCCAGGTATGACAAAAATGTCTGGATTGCAGATTTTGTCCTTAGATGGACACTTAACTTTAAAATATTTTAATTGGACTGAATGCTGTTATTAATGGACTCTTTCCATCACTCTGTGGTTCCTTATATTTGCAGCAGCTGACCAGGGCAGAAGATATGAAGCAGCCAGAACTCATTTGGAGAAACATGCTGCAAAGGCTCAAACAATACAACTGCATGAATAAGAGGCAAATGAAACTATGGAAACTGTGCTGCAAAAAAAACAAAACAACTGAAAAGGTAAAATTTTGCAAATTAAAGGCACCATCAGAGACAGCATCATTGTTCTCACATCCTTTTGTCAATTGTACTTTAAATTGTGATTATATCTTATTGTACCGCATGGTGTCATATAATATCGTTTCATTCACAGATGTGTAGTTCCAAACACAGAAAGACATGACCATTCATGCAGAGGACACAGCAGTGTCAGTTTGTTAATTACTTCTGTCTGTAGAGTCAGGAGAGTTGGGCGAGGATGTGGATCTTTTCTGTTTTGTACATGACTTTGAGCTGGTTCTCATGCCAGGATTAGAGAGTGAATTAAGTCATGTTTTAAGGTCACTGCGATGGTCTTTAACTCAAGTATGCACAGAGTGGATATCTTTGCCTCTAGAAATTACATTGCAAGCCTCAAGTGATTGAGAAGATGGAAGAATGCCAACATGCGCAAGCAATTAAACTTAACAGCAAGTGTAAACTGTCACTTATATACTGCCATTTACGCCCCCGGTTATGCCACGTCTGCAATGTCTAATGCACAGAGGTATAAGGGTGGGGCGAAATGGTTCTGCCTCTTAGGGTAGTAACAGGGGTGGACTGGGTTGAAGAAGGTGTTGAACAGGCTTTTGTTTTTATTCTTAGTCATTGCTTGTCTCTAACAGCTGACATGCTAACGGTATTGTCTACGTGTCGGGAAAACTGGTGGTGTATCTTGCAAAATCATCACCTGCTGCCACGAAATCAGATGTGATATTACCCAAAAGAGAAGTCAAAAGTAGATTGTGCCCCTGTTCTATAGGAAGAAAAGTATTTTTAATCGAACTCATATGAATGCTCCCCTCTCTGTAACGTTTTTCCACCGTCTCCTGGAATACTGTGACAAACATTTATTTCACTCTACAAGTAGCATCTCCTCCTCCTGAAGTACACTGTCTACTTGTCCTCCTCTTGTTTCTGGCATCATCCGTCATTATACACTCCTCCAGGTCTGGCCTCTTTTCTGTGGACTATAAGACTAAAATAGTCTGCCTTACCATGACAAAAAGAGCTGCCTGAGGTGTTAGGTTTAAGGACGTTTTATGACAGCATGAAAAATGAAGAGCGAAGAGTTAGGGGGAGATAACACCTGCAAAGTTATAAGCTTTGTGAAGATTTCTGTGAAACAAATGTAATATCACGCTTCTTCAACCTCCATTATAGGTCTAAGTGAATGTATTTCACAGCTGCATAGTGGCCTGCTGTCTGGACCACTTTTGCAGAATCACTTTCACATTTTGCACGACAAGGTGTGAATTCTACCCATCACAGGGAAGGCTAAAGTGCGCCAATCTTCCTGTCTCTGGCCTTGCTATCTGGGCGCGCAGCACTGCAAATAATATGGAAATCTGTTGGGCAGACTGGAATATAAATGGGAGAACATGGTAATCAGTCATAATCCCCTCAGCCTGTCACATTATCCTTTTCAAAACATTTATTCAGCCCTTCAAAAGACGGCAGGGCTTCGTGGATCACCCAGCAAATACAGACGAGCGTTTTTGAAGGACTGGTGATGATGAAGGTAAAAGGCAGAAACGGTGGCTGACAAAGTGAAATTGATGAATTTGAGAGCACTTTTTTTTTTGATAGCCTTTTTCACAGCAAGAGCTTCTATAGATCTGGGCAGAGGGGCATTAGAAGTATAAAAGAGATGGAGTGTGACGTGACTAATAAAAAAAGATTCAAACCAGGTCCAGAACAAATACCCAGTGTGCCACGTAGCGTGAAGTCCCAATACAATCCTTCATAAACCACATGAACCTCCATTACTACTGAGCGTAAACTCCTGAGAGGGAATATTGATTTGAGCTTTACTTTACCTTTATTTCACTTTTACAAAAGAACCTTTTCCATAGATAATTTTCAATAACAGGAAAAAAGGCAGTGAAGAATGAAGCGACAAAGGAAAGATGGGAGGTATTCAAAAGTACAGAATCTGTAAAAGGTTTCCCATGATGACAATTTAAATATTTATAAAGCCTTTCAATGTACCCTAGGACAATTTTAAGGACAGGGAAGCACTCACAAAGACACAATACCTGGAAATAATGGAAAAGCGTGAAATCGGTAATGAGAGAAGGCAGAGCTCTGTGTGTTGGGATTTTCCATTTGTTTTTAATAGCTCTGGGCTGTTGACCAGTGTGTCAAATGATGGTATGTTTTTCGATCAATTAGACCCATTCACAAATCTTCACAATGCCAGAAGAAGATTATCTATGAATTTGGCCCACATGGACATAGGAATTAACCATGTGATTTTTGGTGGTAGAAGAAGAACGTTGACTGCACCCTTATATCTGTCTCATTGAGGGCCGTCACCGTATCGGGTTTTCAAGAGATTATCATGGCCATAAAATATCACTGTTATAATATCACCTTATACTTAAAGCACTCCCTAAGTAGAAGAAGAAGAACTTTATTAATCCCCAAAGGGAAATAATGTAATATAATTTAATGAAACTAAAAAGCTTTTGACTAAAACGAAGTGAAAAGTTCTACATATTAACAGGTACTACAGTCTGTCTCTATAATGGATTTAGGATTGACCTTTGTGCTCTAGTTGGGTTAAGGGTGACACCATAGACTGTATATAGAATGGACAGAGTCTGCCTCCTCGCTGGGTAAAGCCACCCTGAAAACAGCACCCTCTGGTGACCCCACCCCCCACCCCCCACCCCCCACTTGAAATGTTGACATGTAGTTCCTGCAGTGGTTTTCAATCTAGTCCTCGAGGCCCACTGTCCTGCATGTTTTGTATGTTTCCCTGCTCCAACACACCTGATTCAAATGATCAGCTCGTTATCAAGCTCTGTAATGGCTTAACGAGCTGATCATTTGAATCAGATGTGTTGGAGCAGGGAAACATCCAAAACATGCAGGACAGTGGGGGGCTCGAGGACTGGATTGAGAACCACTGAGTTACTGTAAGACTGGTTTGTGCTCAAGTCCTCTTTTTTCTCTACGGCTTCATTTTTTAAAAGTAATTAGGGGGTTCATGTTTTCTATGATTGACACTTGATACAGCCTATGGGCGTACGAAGATTACGTAGCTCACCCGGGGGACGCGCTGTTTGAGCCGAGCGTCATCACAGCGACTCTTAGTGACTCTCCCTGCAATGTTGGTTTTAGGAAATGGAGAGAAAACGCGGAATTACCAAGAACTTTTCAGCTTCAAATCCGTATACTGGCGGAAGGCGGAACCAAGTTGACCATAGTATATACAGTCTATGGGTGACACAAATCTCTGGACTGTAATACTGTGTTTGAACGCTAACGTTGGCTATGTTCCCATGTATAATAGGCTGTCAGGTATATAATTTTTTACTTTTTAATATGCGGCCCCGTCTCTCTTCTGAGTATTACTATGCACAATCTTTATCATCCAGTATCAACTGGGAAGCTGTGAAATTACCATAATTTGTCAGATTATCCAGGTTTATTGGAGTTGTGAACCGGATCATAGCAATAAGCCATAACACGATTCAAGCTTCCCACACTGAGAACTAGAATTGCTACAATGGGAATTTGATCAATTTGCTTTTTGTCCCCCAGACTCTCTCAAAAAACAACATCATGCATTCAAATTGTTTAAAGTGTTTTTTTTTTTAGCCTTGCCCAGCTCTCCTCCCTCAGGTTGTCAAAGCTCTCAGAAACAAACTTGGCCTCAATGAGATTGGTCGTGTATCAGTAGAAACAAGTGAAATGATATCTGAAGCACTTGACTGGATTTTTTAACCAGTCAAATAATTAGGTAAAAGAGAAAATTGGTCCAAATTGAAATAGAATTAAAACTGCAACAACACTGATCAAACTTTAAGCCAGTGAATCAGAAGAAGCTCTGTGTTTCTGAGCAGCAGTGAATAATGTGTTGTTATCTGCAGGCTGGTGATCAACACAGAGGTACCTATTCACTCCTGTCTTTGCAATCAAGGACAACAAATCAATAGTGCGCTCTCTTTGCAGGACACTGCCGAACACTCTGTGTTGTAAACAGACAGGTGACGGCCTTGCATGCTGCTGTCATCCTGAACAACACCTCAGCAACATAACTCTGACTTCCCATGACTCATTCTGTTTACTGCGCACACCGTTTCCTGTGTTCCTGTAATGATGTCAAAACAGCGGACAGAGAGGGTTGGTAGTCAACAAATCAGCAAAGTGAATTAAGCCGCAGGTATGCTGTTTTGTGTCGAGGCTCCTGCTCCACAGTAAATCTCATTACAGTATCGACAAGGTTGATTACTGAGTGTAATTGCAGGAGTTAGAGGAATCGTTCAGGTGGAGTACTCTTTCTGCAAGGGTTGAGTTTGTTTGTTTCAAGATTCATCGGCAGAGACAGTTTACATCTCGCTCTTACGGTCAGTTTACCACTTAAATTTCATTGGCAAAAGATTAGTGTTTGAATATCCTGACTTATCGCACATCTGACCAAAATAGCACCAAAATAGCCTGAGCTACCATTTATGAACTAAGCATACAGGCGCAGCTAATGATGTAAGTGGGCAACTGCAACACAAAAGCCAGCAGAGCACTGCTTAAGGGTGTGCAAATCAACACAAACCTTTGGATGAAACTAGATCATAAAGTTAACACCACTTGTTAAATAGGTGGAAACTGCAGGCCAGTCAACACCATCGAAGACTCAGGTCTGACCCCCAATTTCCACCACATCCAGAACGGTTCCGATCTGAAACGGCAGCGATTTTCACCGTCCCCCACTTCCTACCAGATCAGTTTGTGAGGCGAATTTCTGGGCGGATATGGACAGTGGAAATCGCAAGAACTCACAAGAACCTGCGGATTCACTTGCAATCGTGCGATAACGAGCTGTCTCTGTAAAGAAATCCACATAACCATAAAAGCAGTAGATTGTGTCCTTCCAAGGGAGGAAATCCATCTCTAGACTTCTAAAATCAGCATCTCCTCATCCATGGTGTAATCAAGTAAAATGCTGTCTAAAAACCTTTCACTTGTTCTTCCCCTTTTGCAAATACGATCCACCTGAAACAAATAGGGTTTTATTTTGAAAAGGAGCCGGATGTTTTTGTGTATTCCTTTCCAGCACGGACTAATCTGTGCTGAATTTATGCGGCATGCTGCGGCGTCTGGAAAAAATAGAACTCTTGCAATCAGCTGTGAAGTCTGCCAAATCACACCTTAACAGAAAGAAGCCGTCCGAAATTGACACATTAACTTTAATGGTTGCAATCAGCTATGATTGGTGGATACGGCCGTTTTGTAGCCATTCCGAAAATTGGGGATGAGGCACTTTAGCATGTTAGAACTAGTCGTATGCATCACTGTCACAGGGTGCAGTGGTTTTATGTATGCAGGACCTGTTTGAAACAAGCAGAAACCTCCAGTCATGAGAGTCAAAGCCTATGAAAAAAGGACTGAAAACTGCAGTTCCACTAAGTGTCCACTTGAGGCCGACTGAAAATCCCAGAAACCACACATACACTTATTTAGACAAGTTCATCTGAGTAGAAATCCTGCCTGTATTTTGATTTATGGGCATCAAGCAAGTAACTTTTGGAGTTGATCAATACAAAGAGACCCCATAAAGATGTCGATGGTAGTGAACATACTGTCATGTTCTGATGTTAAACAAAAAGGGAAACGACCCAAATTGCAGATCAAAAAAAATTATTTATTTTAAAGGAACTAAAAGAAGAAGCAACAAAAACTCACCTTCAAAACAGGCCAACCAAAAGAAAACAAAAAATCACAAGGGGAGAAAAACCACGAGGAGACTCTGGAGACACTGACACACAAACATCCAACACAAACCACTCAATGAACCGACCAAGAAACAGGGGAAGACAAGCACTATATATATACACAGGGAAACGAGCAACGAGAGGCAGGTGAGACACTGAGACACAGGTGCAGACAATTACAGAGGAGGGAAAACTGAGGAAGTAAAACAAGACTAGAGACACAGGGATTAAACTACTTCAAAATAAAACAGGAAACGCTGATATAAGGAATAAAACACTGAAAACCTGAGGGAACCGGCAGAACAGGACTACAGGGGAACAGGAACAATTGGTAACAGAAACAATAGGAAAAATCACAAAGAAAATACTCTCGGATAACCAAAACCAGGGGAAAACTAAAAACCAGAACATATTATGACACATATCAGAAAAGAAGAGAAAGTACAGTGCCAGTGGGTAAGGATGACTGACACAGTCATGTGTTTTTTCAACACTTTTGAATGTGAATTTCAATGTGTTGCTTTTGTGGAAAATAAAAAACAAGCCAAAAGAATAGAGTGAGCATGGTGTAACTTTCAGTGAGATTATGTAACCCTAACAACAGCGGTGCAGAAATGCCTTGATGCTGAGCAGCGCCGACAAACACATCCCTGTCTCAATGAGATTACCTGTCAGAATAAAGGTTAAATAAAAATAAACAGAGCAAATCCTGCTTTAAACTCAGCGCTGCTGTCTTGAGAAATTACTCCAGGATATGTGCTCCAAACACTCGTAAATATAAAGTCATTTTCGATTAACTTCCAGAGAACACAGAGCCCTTACATTGTTGTTGTTGTCTCTAAAATACTCCCACGCTTTTTTGGTGAATTATTGTGGAAGAGGCACCCGTTCTGCAGCTGTTTTCATAAGGAACCCAGTCACATGCAGCTCAGCACATCATGCATATGGTTTTACATGTAACCGTGATCATAATCTTAAAGTTGTATACCTGTTTTGTCTGCTCTTCAAAACCTGATTTTCTCTTCAAAACCTTTATCAAAGACACCTCAGGCTGAGGTGTCTTTGGTAAAGATCAAATCTGTATCAGCCTACTGACCACAGAACAAGGTGGCCCAAATCTAAACTGGGGAAATGGTTTCCATGTGTTTTGGGCCTTTCATACTATCATTTAGATACTATGATCTGGGTCTCTTTACCTGCAGTGTGAACTTGTCCTTCTTTGTAATTTTATGGATACCAGAGTTTTCGACTGACACAAAGCTGTTTCAGAACAACAAACGGCACACCAGGGGGACAAAAACACTTGAAACAAACCAGAACTGACCCCCACAGCTTCATCAGGCGTCAGGGGAAAATCTCAACAGTGAATCAGTGAAGCAGAGCTGTTGATTCTCCTCTTGATAAACGCTGATAAACGCCGCAGCCGGTGTGTGTCTGTGTGCCAGCTGAGCAGCAGTAAAGAACCGCAGGAGGGAGAGATTTAAGCTTCTCAGTAATAAAACCTTTCACCGCTGTGTCACACATGCTGCCTCTTGCTCAGGGTTAGATGATCATCTGTACAGCTGGGACTGATGATGCAGATGTTCCAGATCTATTTGTGGTACATTTACAGAAATGTTTGTCTGTTTCAGCATGAGGTTAAACAGCAGAAAAGTTATTAATGCATTTGTATCTTAATGTCATTCCCCCAGGCTTTTTAGTTTGAAGGTCCTCAGTCTCAGGACCCAAAGGTTTTCATCCAGTGAGGGTATATACAAGGACAACTTTTCAAGTATCCTAGAAACCTTCCTGTCAGTGACTCAAGCCGAGACTTTTTCTCTGTATAAGTTAAAACTTATGGAGTGAGATTAAACATTAGGGTTAAATTCAAATAAAAATAATGTTGTAACATCTCGGTTCATTACATTCCCATGAGAACTCCCATTTATCTGTGTCTTGTAAGTCTTAGTTTCATTGTCAATAGTAAGTTAAACTGAGGCCTCACTACAGTGGTATGAACCCAAAAAGAGTAAAATCTACCAATTTAGTATGCCAACAGAAACTAACTTTTTTTTGCCCTGGTGTCAACAAGAAGAAATAAAACATGCTGGGACTATTTTCCGCGAATTGATTTGAATCTGCTTAATCAATCTGCTACAATTTACTGCTATTCCCAGGTGTTGCTCTTGCTCTATTAACCTTTTCAAGAGGTTGTTAAAGGTTTTAATCAATCACAATCAAATACTTGACTCAACCAGGTGATTAGCAAGACAGCTGCATGATTAAAAAATATTAGTTACTCATGTATCTGAGTAATTCTTGTGCTGATGGTAAGGATCAGCCCATGACAGAATCTTAATACATCAGTCACACTCATCTCGGCCTATCAGGTTGAAGCAGAAGACTGTCCATCTATGAGCCCTGATCTGCTCAAGGACTCTGCCTTTTAACACAAGTTGTTCTTGTTTTTGTCCAGGTCCTGCGTTCGAACCCAGGTCAGGGCGTATCTGTGTGGAGTTTGCATGTTCTCCCTGTGTCTGCATGGGTTTACTTTGGGGACATCCCAAATATATGCAGAAGTAGGGTTTGGTTAATTGGTCACTTTCAAATTGCCCATGGGTGTGAATGTGAGCGTGGATGGTTGTTTGTCTCTGTCAGCCCTGCAATGAACTGGCCACTCATCCAGGGTGTCCCCTGCCTTCGCCCGATGATGCTGGGACGACCCCAAACGGGAATAAGCGGTAGACAATGGATGGATGGATGTTTTACATTTCCATGTTTATTAGGGTGACCATATGCTCTCTTTCCTCGGACATGTCCTCTTTTTGGGGGGCTGTCTGGCCTTGTCCGGGGAGTTTATAAAATCCTTCAAATGTCCGGGATTTTGTATGGAAGGTTTGAGTTTGTGTCGCTTGGACTTACTGAATTAGAAGCTAGTAAAAAACATTTGATCTGACCTGAAAAACTCTCAAAATTAACTACGCCCAACTATGTGACTCCGCCCCCTCAAAGTCGTGTCCTCTTTTTGGGGATTCAGAATATGGTCATCCCCAATGTTGATACCGCTAGCTGGCTGTTCACTGAAAAACCAAAACTACACCTTTATCTCCACTTTATTTCAGAACATGATGAATTTATTCTCATTATATTATGACTTTAATACAACTTGATTTTTGTCAATGATTGTATTCAGACCTAATTCTTGTAAGAAAATGACTTAAAAAATTATCACTTTTTTTCTATGTGGCCCTTGTACGTAAGAAACTTTTAGCATTACTTAGCTATTGCGCATTTGTGTTATTAAAACAATGAAAAAAAACAGAATTGCAATCTAAAAACTTAGCTATAGACTAAAGTTATGAAGATGAAATAAGCGGAAACATCACCACTTCATCACTTGAAACATTTTAATCTATAGCATCTACTGTGAATGAACCCGTCTTTGTCATGTAGATCTCTCATCATTTGAACGTCTTTACTTTACCACCCAAACAAGCCGATGACTTCAGATTGATTTTAGCAGCAGTACTGCAAACAAGGGGACTACAGCTATCACAATACTACAGGGATTCTGGGAAAAAGCATTAATCAAAGTGTGGTCCGTGCTCTCTTGCAGCAGGGGTGTGTTATGGGTGCGAGGTGGCACCCTGGAGAGCAATAAGATAGAATTGGGGCACCAAATGGTCTTGTAGTCTATTGCATAAATGTGAGTTCGAGGGCAGAGGTGTGGACATTTGGACCGAGATTTAAAAAAAACTGATTAATTCCTGCCTGGAGCTCCTCCTCATTAAGTGAAATTGGAGAGTCTGTAATATATGCTTTAATAACGGGGAAATGAAATGAGGCTCTTCAGGATCCTATCGTTCACCTCTTCTCTTCTCCTCCCTGTCATTTGATCCCTCCATCACACTCTGGGTTTGATAGAAAGTGACAGCTTATCCGACTTCATCTTCTCATTTGATTTCCTCGTCTGCCTGCATTTCTCTTCATTCTCTCAGTTAAATGTTTGTCATGGTCACTTCAGCTCAGGGCACGGTGATTCCTGATGTTACTGAATATCACAGATGGAATCTGACTTTCTAAAGGTCAGCGTCGTCAGTCTGCGTTTCAGCTGAACTGTGCCCCGATGCTTAAATTGCAGGCGTGCCAGAATGTCGACACTTTTATGATGATGCAAAATCTCCCCTGCAATCTCCGCTCCGTAAAGGTCGTCTGTTCTCCAGGTGAGCTGACAGCTGAGTAATGGCCCTCACTGGCGGGCTCCCCAGGCGTGACCGGCTGCTCTGAGAAAGATTCAGAGCTGAAGTCCCTGAGATATCGCTCTGAATTTACTCATGTTGTAAAAGACAGTGTCTTATAAGGGGCTGAATAACAGACATGCTGCCACATCCCCTGCAGAGATGACTTTATTTTCCTGACAGCATCTCAGTGCAGCAGTGGACGAGGTATATTTAGATGGATAAAGACACTGAAAATGCTCTTTTCTCGCTGAGATAAAGTGTTTCTATAAGGGAATAACATCAGACTGAATGGACAATATAATTGATTTGAATAGACCTTAGGACATTTACGCTGTCAGAGCTGATTAGCGCTGTGACAGCTGTGACTTACTCAGGGATTGATTGGACTGACATGTTGCTATTTCTGTAACTAACAGGCAGGGGCGAATAAAAAAATGTGGCATACTGAACAAACTGTTCTCTGCAGAGTGACAATCTGAGGACTAAAGGGGAAAAACCGAAGGGATGTATGGGCTGTGAACACAGGACAAACATGAGGTTTTTGTCTCTGCTTTGTGCAAAAAATAGTTTCAATTGAATCAAATTTGAACTATTAGAGCTGGATACTTTCACTAAATAAAGCTGTAACTTCCAACCCTCTTAATATGTGATCATATATTACTTTAATTTCAAGGATTACAATGTGGTGATGATGGAAAGGCAACAAGGAGGTCTGTCACAGATTGCTGTTTGCATAATCCATGGATATTTTGATTATATTTTGTAACAACAATAAAAAAGCTGATGGAATACTGGGTAAAAAATTGATGAAAACAGATTGTTGATGGTTTGCAAATCATTTTCACTTTGCATTTGATTAAAAATAGTGCAAAGACACGAAGCCAAAAAAGAGGCAACTGGACTGTCCAGTTGTCCAGTAGTCCAGTTGCCTGTTTTTAAGTCTTCAAGAAAACCATGACCTGGATGAATGAGAATCTACATGGACATAAGCCAGAAAAGCCAGTTTTCTTCACAATTCTACTTAAAAGGATATTCCGTCGAAATTAATTTAGGGTCAAACACACCATAACACCAGTTAAGACATCCCGTTGAGAGATTAATGTTGCCGACCGCTTGCTTCTCTAGTTATACCAACTTTAGTTATCGTGTGTTTGACCCTAGCCTAATTTTATGCCGGGATATCCCTTTAAGAAACAAATGGATTACCTCATTGACGCTGCATCCACTTATTATACAGTCTGTGTTCTGTTAGACTGTATGACAACTGAATGTAGAGCAGTGACTTTCGCCCATTTATTTGTGAAAGGGAGTTTTGAAACTTATTTGTGGCAGTCACCATAGTGTTACTTGACCTCCCTTTTGTAAGCCCAAAGGTCAAAGCCATTGAGTTTTGGTTTTTAATTAAAAATTGGGTCAGAATGATTTTAAAACCACCCAACAAGTACAAAATAGCTTCCATTCATAGTTTCAATAAAAATAAGCAGAAGTTTCAATGCCTTTTGGGCCTTCATTCTTGTTTATACAACTAAATGGAGTGAGATATAAAATTAGACTGAGGTACTTTCAAAGATTTTGAGTTTTGTGATTCAGGTTTGTTGTAGAGTCAGTGTAAGTGGGCTGAAGTGGGCTGTTGGCTCCGTGGGAGTTGAGGGGATTGTGGAAAGACTTGTGGGACCCTATGCGAGCGGGTGTGAAGACATTATGTGTGTAAAATTTAAAGTCTGACCTTCACATGCGTCAACAAAAGATGACGAGTCACTCACCCACATCAAGGTCAGTCCAGTAGTAAATGATAATACTCCGCAAGTCCGTAAACATGTTGCCTATGGACTGAGAGTGTTGAAAGAACATTCTTTACCTTGAGAAAGAAAATTCTTGTGATGCTGTGTGGTGGAAGTTACTACTTGGTGAGCCAGTTGATGAGCCAGGCTAAGGTGTACTTCATAATAGAGAAAGTAGACAACGTCAAGCTTCATATATGGTTTCCCCTTTGTATGATGCAGCTTTGACCGACCTGTCCATGCAGTAAGGGGATTTTGGGCCCATGCATTGATTTCCACTACAGAGTTTTTAATGCAGTGCTGCCTGAGGATGTGCAGATCATGGCCATCCAATATTGGTTGATGATTAAATCACCTTTTTTTGTAATTTTTACAAAGAACATTATTCTGAAATTCAAACTCAGTCTTTCTTGAATGATGTTTTTATACCCAGTCATAGTTGGTCGATGTTCCTCCAACTGTTTTTGTTTTTACTGTTTTGTTGAACCGACACCAACTTTTTTTTGTAGCAAACTGCCAGCATCAGATTTAAATCAGTGTTTGGATTTTTTTGTCTTCCTTGAATCCACCAAGAATTGTGGATTGGGAAGGTGATGGACAAGGACATGACAGTGTTTACTTTACTGACATATCTTGGGGGGACAAATTGACTACACTCAGCCACAGACCATCTATTTAGCTGTAAAAAGTGCTTCTTAATTAATAACACACTTCGATGATAAAGAAATTTGATTTTACTCTGGTCCTGTCAGAGCCGGAGGAGGAGGCGGGGGAGGAAGAGGCGGATGAGTGAAGAGCTCTGGGACTAAGCCTGTGTCTATAACAACCAGTTTTTGTAATGAAAGGACAGCAGAATCCTCCACACAGCTTTCCTGTTCGGTTGTACTGAGAGGGACAACTCACTGATGACTCATGTTGGAGAGAAGTAGATTTCTGTCCAAGTTTTACTTCCTCACGAGCTACAAAATGGTATAGCTTTGACAGAAAAAAATTCCAATAGTGAACTGGAGGTGTAGTCTACGTTGTTTAATCTAATATGGGCACCTGGACATTAAGCATGGACCTGATTAAGCTTAATGACCATTTCAGTTCTTTCTTTTCTCTCCACTGTTCTTGTTCTTTTATGACTCAATTACAGCTTTATCCTGGTGATACAAAGACTTCAACTTGATTCTTGTAATATAATGACTTTTTCTTATATTACTGTGACTCAACTTCAATTCTGTTCTTGTAATGATATTATTCAACCACTATTTTATTCTTTTCTTCCTAATAACTGTAATATTACAATTTATCATAATTTGACTTGTTTCTCTCCCAGTACGATGGCTTTTCTACGACTTTATCTTGGTTATATTTTTCCCATATTACTATGACCTAACTACATCATTATTTTAGTGATATTATTACTTTAATTTCTCAAACTATAATGATATAATTACCACTTCATTGTCATAATATAATTACTTTTTGTTCTCCTAAAACGATGGCTTTACTATGACTTCATTCACATAGTATTGTGACTTTGACTTTATTCTTGTAATATTATTACTTTGGTCCAAGTCATGTCTTTTTTTCTCTTGTTGTTTCAGACTGACCTTCAGCCCTTGAGAACGCTCTCTCCCTGGGAGTGATTCCAGGGAGGGAGGGGTCGGCTGGGTCACATGATGGACATGGACTTAGAGGGGATCACCTCTGGACCCAACATCACAAACTGCTCTGCCCCTCCAGGTGGTGGCCTGCAGGCTGTCCGGTTCACTGACAGGACGGCGGTGGTGGTTTTCGTCCTCAGTCTCCTCACCCTCCTCACCGCACTCATAAACGGTGCCGTCATCCTCGCCATCTGCACCACCAAGAAGCTCCATCTGCCGGCAAACTACCTTATCTGCTCCCTGGCTGTCACTGACTTCCTTGTGGCGCTCCTTGTCATGCCTATCAGCATCCTGTACATCACCATGGAGACGTGGTGGCTGGGTGAGGTGGTGTGTGAGATGTGGTTGAGTCTGGACATGACCTGTTGCACCTGCTCAATCTTGCACTTGTGCGTTATTGCCCTGGACCGATACTGGGCCATAACTAAAGCCATCGAGTACGCACGCAAGAGGTCAGCTCGCCGCGCCGGCTTCATGGTGGGAACCGTTTGGGTCATCTCCATCTTTATATCCATCCCTCCTTTGTTCTGGAGGCAGAGGCCACGTGAAGGCCGGACCTCCCAGTGCATCATTGAGCACGACCACCTGGGATACACCATATACTCCACTTTAGGAGCGTTTTATATCCCCATGATCATCATCCTCATCCTCTACCATAGGATTTACCACGCCGCTAAAACTCTGTACCAGAAGCGTGGCTCGTCTCGGCACCTCAGCAGCCGCAGCATGGGCAGCCAGAACTCCATGGACCACTGCAGGGTCTCACACACATTCTGCATATCGGACCTGTCTAACTCAGACCCAACCCTCCCACCTGAGAAACTCAACTCCAACATCCGCATCCCGTCATTTGAGACAGACGTGGACGGGCAGGACGAGAAGAACCAGATCTGCACCATACGAGAGAGAAAAGCGGCGAGGATCCTGGGCCTCATCCTCGGGGCCTTCATCATCTGCTGGCTGCCGTTCTTCCTGAAAGAGCTCCTGGTGGGCCTGAAGGTGTTACAACCTTCTCAGCTTCTTTCAGACCTCCTGACATGGTTGGGTTACATCAACTCTCTCATTAACCCGCTGCTGTACACCAGCTTCAATGACGACTTCAAGCTGGCCTTTAAAAAGCTGCTCAGGAGAAAAGAGCACACATAGATAGAGACCAGAGATGACAAACACTAAAACAAATGTACACATGTTCAACTAACTATCTCCAGACAGTATGAACACTGAAGTTTTCTTGTTTAACAGACAAGTGACTCTCAACAAAGTGTATATTCTCTGTTTTTAATAAAGGAAATATTTAAAACCACTCTTTGTGAATTATAACACTTTCATTCACACATTTTTGCATTAAATAATACATCTGAAATTGCCTGTCTTCTCTTTTCCAACTGTCCGTGGTGCACCTATTACATGCAGTGCAACCTTAGCATTATTCAGGGGGATGAGTTTGAAAACACAGGAAAAAGTAGTAGAAAATGGATGGATGGGTGGATGGATGTTTGAATCACTTTGACAAGATATGAAAAGATGTAATCTGCTTATTTAAAAAATTATTGCAGAAAAAAAGTGTCACATTGTCCTCTGCACATTTACCTCACTTCATTGACAATAACATTCATTTTAGTCCTCGTACTCTTTGATAATAAAAAAAAGTTTGTATGATTAACAGTTGCTCTGTGTGATACATTCAGCTGTCTGCTGATACAGTTGCGGATAGAGCCTGTTGCCCTCTAGTGGTGAGGAACAGGCATAAGAGGTGTCTGAATTTAACAGAGAGTATCATATTAGAAAGACTTTCAACAGAGACAGAAGTCCCAAGGCATGATATTTATATGTATATCTATACATGGGCTATATAAAGAGGTAGGGGAGAGTGGGGTAAGATGAGCCATTTTTCATATTTCGGATCACTACATCAAGGTAATCATAGTTTTGTCTCTAACTAGGATATGTGCATATATTTCAAGATGTTGTGCATCCCTGCAAACCAACAGAATGAGTGTAAACATAACTGTCTGATAATATAGCATGCCAAAAAAAAAAGTAAGTTAAGCTGTATCTCTACTATCCCCCCACTATCCAGCCCTCCCTCACCTTCCCTCTTCCTAAATAACAGTCACTTCTTCACATTCATGTGTATTTTTATCTATGATACACTATTCAACTGGTACAATAATTCTTTATCATTATTGCATATAACTGCTAAAAAGCGGTTTTGTAAAAAGTTATTGCATAACATGCCATAATATGAGAATGCCTTTAAGTGATTCAGAACATTCACAGCTGTATTTTTGAAAAGAAAAAGTAACACATTTCAACAATCTGAACTGAAACTCTGATCCTCTCATCAGACTCCTTTACTTTCTCAGTTGAACCACTGGCTCAACTTACCCCTGAACTACTATTATGACTTTATTAGTCCTCTAAGCTAAAATGGTGGACTTTTATGCTAGGGTTTTTGACCTCATGTTGTAGCTTATAGATACCACAATTGATGGATAAAACAAATCTAAAATGATCTTTTTTGGTCTGAGCACAATTCTAATAAAACTTATGACAGACTAAATTCACTTTCAAGAGTGAAAAATATATATATATATCTTTTTAGATAAATGTCTAACTCCTTCACCCATGTGCTTCCAACCTTCACAGACTCCATGAATTGATGCCCATCTCCTAAATATTTGGTCACATGATCAATTTCTTTTACCATTTCCAAGTAACAGGGGGTGGCTCAACTTACCCCACTCTTCCCTACATTGTAAATAAAAACATTGTTCAATAGAGCAAATTAAACAGAAATATACAAACATTAAGTAAGGTCAAATCAAAGCCTCTTTAAATTGAGTTGGGTTGAAAGGTGATGGTAGTGGGAGATGTTAGAGATCAAACTCATGATGGGCTCACTTGCACCTGAGCTGTAATCAGAATCAGAGTAGAGACACCTGTAGAGTGCAGAGGCATGAGTGTGTGTCTGTGTGTCTGCTCTGCTTCTGTTGTCCTCCCGAGGTAAAAGACAAACCTGCTGCTCTCACCTCCACCAGGTAAACCAGGAGGATGAAGCAGATATCATCGTCTTTGTTCTTCTGCTTTGGGCTGCTGTCGGGCTTTCTCTCTCTCCGCTACATGCTTGACTCCTACCTTTTACCGGACCTTGTCTTTTATAAAACGCGGGATTTACAGTACAGAGCCAATTACTCTCAGCATGTTCACTCAGGTGAGAACTTGACCAAGCCATCTAATCAGACTCAAAAAGTACGGATTCTGTGCTGGATCATGACGGGGCCCTTGTTCCTGGAGTCCAGAACCAGACACATCAGAGCGACGTGGGCCAAACGCTGCGACAAAACCCTGTACATGAGCTCTGTCAAGACTGCGTTTCCTACTGTGGGACTGAATGTGAGTGAGGGGAGGAAAAACCTGTACTGGAAGACCATCGGAGCCTTTAGATACATCTACAAGCACCACATGGACGATGCAGACTGGTTCCTAAAGGCAGATGATGACACATATATTGTCGTGGAGAATCTACGTTACTTGCTGTCTAAGTTTGACACAGAGAAACCGTTGTATTTAGGCAGGAAGTTTCGCCCTTTTGTTAAAAAAGGCTACATGAGCGGAGGAGCAGGTTATGTCCTCAGTAAGGAGGCCTTGAGGAGGTTCATAAAAGGATTCGAGACTGGAGAATGTACCCACTTCTCCAGCATAGAAGACATGGCTCTGGGGAAGTGCATGCAGACGATGAAGGTGGAGGCTGCAGACACTAGAGACATTCAAGGGAGACAGACTTTTCATGCTTTTCCTCCGGAACGTCATCTGATCAGACAACTTCCAAGATCACGCTCCTCGTTCCGGTGGTACGACGCCTATAAATCAGCACGGGGTCCAAACTGCTGTTCAGATTTAGCCGTGTCGTTTCACTACATTAAACCACACCAGCTGTATTTTCTGGATTACCTGACGTACCACCTCCGGCCATACGGATACAAATACAGATTTAACTCTGATGAGAAAACCCCTGAAGAAAAAACTACAGATAAGCCAAAAATCAGCAGCACTGCAACTACAACTAAGTCTCCATGACACCTCTCTGTCTACACTTACTGAGGGATGTAGTTGATGATCCATTTAATGCTGTTTTTTATAACTGAAACCTTTTCAGGTGTAAAGAAATATTGATCCCCTTTGTTGGTGTACTTGTCTGATTCAAATGTGAAAGCTGTTCATGAAGTTTGGGGTGTGAGTGGGCCTGAGCTGTCACTTTGTTACTGTGTGATATAGAAATGAAGATTTAAGATGGGGAAAAAAAACTTATGATGGTTAAATTTTTGTCATCGATGTATGTGTCTTAAAGCCTACAAATAAAACCACATTCAAGACAGCACTTATGGGATATAGTGAGACACATTTATCATCTTTGTGAATTGGCAAACTACGGTGGCAGAGAACCGCCACTGCTGCAAATAAAAAGGAATGCAAAAAAAAAGAAAGAAACCACAACATAATTTACTGATGCAAAAAAAAAAGGAAACCAAAGCCCACTGCAAATAAAAAAGAAACAGTGCAGATAAATCAATGTGTCATTTGGTCAGGCCATGTTGCAGCTGAGTCAAACTATGGTGGTCGAGAACCGCCACTGCTGCAAATAAAATGAATGCAAAAAAAGAAGTCACAACAGAAGCTACTGATGCAAAAAAGAAAAAAAAAACTGAAGCCCGCTGGAAATAAAAAACTAAAGTAAAAAAAAAAAAGCGATGCAGATAAAAAAAAGCCACAACTGAAGTGAGCGACGCAAAAAAAAAAAGTGGTGATGGAAAAAAAAATTACTTGCAGTGAAAATAAAAGGATGCAAATTTAAAAAAATCCACAACAGAAGTGAGCTGTCAGGGACCAATAATGATGATGCACTGTTGTTTTACGATCTAGGCACAGAAGACGATGGCTAGAAGACGAGCAAAGAAGTAAGGTTATTGTTTAATTTCGCTTTCTAAACTCTTCAATGTGTCATTTGGTTAGGCCATGTAGTTCCTGAGTCGATATGAAGTTGATCTGGAGGATGTTGGTGTAATGTTAGCTTTAGTTCAACTTCATATTGACTCAGGCGCTACATGGCCTTACCAAATGACACATTGAAAAGCACACAAAGGGAAATTAAGTAATAACTTTTCCACTAACTTCTTTGCTCATTTTCTTGACGTCCTCTTCTGTGCCTGGATCGTAAAACACAGGTGCATCATCACTATTGGTCCCGGCAGCTCATTTCCATTGTGGCTTTTTTATCTGCACCTTTTTTTATTATTATTATTATTATCATTATTATTTTTTTTGTTTGTTTGTTTGTTTGTTTTTTCATCAGGAACTTCCATTGTGACTTCCTTCTTTTTTTTTTTTTTTTGCATTCTTTTTTTATTTGCAGCAGTGGCGGTTCTCGGCCACCGTAGACATCAAATACCTCTAACTCTCTCTGGTGCACAGCAGCCTGTGACCGCTATCTCTCCTTCTTTATATATTTTAGTCATCATTATGATCTCCCCTCTTAAAAATCTAAATAAAATTACCTGATTGTTTATATTTCTTTTTCTTTTATTCTTCTTCAATATTTTACCATGCATATGTAATTTAATGTGTATGAGATGCACAGAAAGATTTGACCTAAAAACGGAACTCTCTACACAAGTTGGGGACCAGCCCCAGCCCCGATGTGACCTCCGCAGTTGTAACCAGTACGTAAACACAGTTTTGCGCTACATACGTCATCACGCAGTAGTGGTACGCGCAGGAGTTGGGTGTGAAGATGGCGGACGAGGAGGCCGAGCAGGACCGCAGTCCTGAGAACGGAATCACTGAAACGATTAGAGAACTGAGACAGCGCTTACAAGAACTACAAGAATTCATTATCAGAGAGAGCGACGAGTCTCCGGCCGAGTCGTCGTCTGAGTTCTGCCAGGGTTTCTGCAGAGTGAGTCATTTTTCTTCACATTTGAGCTGAGCTAACGTTAGCCACAGCTAGCCTGAATCCTAAAGGTCTGCCATTGCTCCAGGGAAATGTACTGTTTCACTTTAACATACTCACTGAATGTAAACGTGTTTAGAAAGCTGTTTTAGTCTGCTACAGTGTACGAGTGTGTGAGTGGGTGAAACCTACTCGGAGACATATTGTAAAATCAGAAAAACTCACTGTTATAGTCGCTAACGTGAGCTAGCTCCACTGAGATCCATTGCTCTGAACGTTAGCTGTGTCTGCAGGGGGTTTGGACTGGGATTATATTAAATGAACATAATTATTGAACCCCAAGCATCCCGGTGTATACAGTTTCACTTGAATAACTAAAGAAGAAATTTGTTTTAAAACCAGGACTATGATATTCTGTCGTAGCATGTTGAGTATTACATTAAAACACGTCGATAGCTTGTAGCCTGTTCTGTTTGGCATCATGCGCCTGAACAAGGATGTACATATGGACAATTTTTCCCCTCTATTCAACACACTTAACACTATCTGAAAATAAGAAATATATAATGAATAACTAGAATATAGTTTTCTTAGTGTTATATGAAACAGTTCATTATATTGTTCATTTAATAGATATTTCAACTGCCGCCCAGTGCTATTTTGCCACATGCACTTTAAATGGCACAGTTTGTCAGCAATTTAGTAAATAAAATAGAAGAAGCATTTTTAATTTTAAAGGGTTTATATTATAGTTTTCACATTTATAAGGACTTTAGCCTGAGAAAGAATTGACATTTATAAAGTAGGGATGCAATCTGTGTCATCCATAATCAACCTTTGCAGATGTTACGGATAATTATTAATTTAATAGTTGAAAATGTTTGTTTTTTCAATTACAAAAACAATACTGACTGCTTTTTATTCTGTGTTTCGTATTGTTTCATTTCACACGGCAGCACAATACATAAAACTGATTGTATTGTAGAGCAACAGAACATGATGAGGCATATTATCGATGCAGAACATCAAATATCAACATGCAGAGCAGGCTCAAAAAAACATCCCAGCTGACTACTAAATGCGGAACTGCTGTATCAAGAGTAGGGCTTTTTACTTATAATACCGATATTGTAGCCTTTAGTATTGGCCGATACTGATATTGATCTGATGTTTGCAGACATCACTCCTACTCCTTGCTACTTTGTTAGTACCTTAGTACACACGGTTGCTGTGATCACGTAGGCCCTGCATGCTGGCACTGAAGCAGAGTCTGGAGTGGACTGCTTGTAACAGAGTGCTGATATTGGAGATTTTAGACACAGGCAGATATAATCCAATCTGCTTTTTTGCTGATATTGGAACAATATCAATATCGGATAGGGACATCCCTGATAGGGACATCCCTATTATCAACATGTCCATGTCCATTGGCTCACTTGATCATTGAGTTAAATATGCATGTCCATACAGTAGTATGTTGATTAGTATTATAACCTGTTTAGTGATGCACGATATGAAAAATTTCAACCGATACCGATAACCGATAATTTTCTTCTTCTCGTGGCCGATACCGATAACCGATAAATTCATATTTTTACATTTATTATAATCTTCATATAATCTGCAGTTTGTGCAGGATGCAGCGATTGAAAACTGATGTTTTTGTTGCTCTGGCCTATCTAGAACAACAAACAAAAGTTTTTGGCTCTTCAAATGTGGTCATTTGCTATAAATAACAATAACAGAGCAAAAAGCAGAACTTCATTTGATCCCCTGAACTGTTCAACAGAACTGTAAACTGTAAAGGAGCTATTATGAGACGTTAGGCTTAGCATGCTGACCGGACTAACATCTGACGTCCATATGTCTGTGGTAAAACTCACGTGTAGTCCGTTCTTGTCGATCAGGTTGTGAATGTATGTGGCGACAATATCATAGAGTGCAGGAAGAGACACATCCGAGAAGAAGCGGCGGCTTGGGAGAGTGTAACGTGGCTCCAAGTGTGCTATTAACTTGTGAAAACCCGGGTTCTCAGCGACGGAAAAAGGCTGGTCGTCGACCGCTATGAACTCCATCACTTTGTCGTTAATGGCTTTAGCCTTTTCGCTGTCTCTTGAGAAGCTTTTGCAGTTTTTAAACGCCCGCTGAATGGGGACATCGATCCTCCGTAGTGTTGTTGTCTTAGCTTTAGTACCGCCAGCAGCTTCGGCGGCTGTCTCATATTCTTTTACTACCGCTTCGCCGCGATGGCGACTTTTCAGATGAGCTATCAGATTCGCTGTGTTAATACTTGACGTCTTCATTCCGCCTCTCGGAATCCTCGCTGAACAGGTTTTGCATATAGCAATGCTGTTGTCATCTTCTGCCACTGAGAGAAACGACCATGCTGGTGAAGACATTTTATTATCTGTCAGGTAGTGACGGGGTCAGGCTTGGGACCTGCGAGTAAGGCGCGATAGATGACGTAACCAGCGCGTCTCGGACGGGCGGCTACTCCGCCTGCAAACGTTACTCGTAATTTCATTAATATATCGGATCTTTCTATCAGAAAAATGCACCTATCGGACCGATAAAAAATGACGTAATTTCCCCCCAAATCGGCCGATATTTTATCGGTCCGATAAATATCGTGCATCCCTAAACCTGGTCATAATCTGTGATGGCAGAAATCATCCTCATCAGGTTTTAAGGATGCTGGTGTTCCAGCTTTGCCATTCAAGCAAATCTCTCACCATTGACTGTTTACCAGTTACCGTTGTATGTCCAGAAGATAAAGCAGCAGCTATGTATTGTCTCCTTGAAAGAAGAGCTAGTAGAACATGGTGCATGGCTGCAGCACTGGCTTAGTGTCTTTGGTAGGTGAAACACCTTCATGCCACTGAAACGTGCCAACATTAAACTCAAACTCCATCCTGTCAGCTGAATGAAGTATGGGACCACATGTTTTTTTTTCTGCCCCAGAATTCACTTTTTAGAAGTCCTTAAACATCTTTCAACAGTTTGTTTCTCATAACACTATTGTAAACATCCCTCCAAGTCGGATTTAAAATATGTAAAAATGTAAAATGATTCAAGTATGTGCAGTGAAAGACCTGCAGTTGTGGTGAGAGTCAAATCCTCAGTGTTTTAACTAAAAGTTCAGCAGCTAAAAATTACACCATCTTGCTGTCACAGATGTTGCAGGCACATGGAGATCTATTTGACCTGTTCCATCACATAAGTGGGTAGTCTTTATTGGACTAAAACATTGTCAATAAATGCTTCTTAGACCTACATTATGAAAGACTATGCTTGCAGATTTACGTGAATTAAGTCATCTTCCTCACACCTTTTTATATGAAAAAAATTTGTGAAGTGTTTTCCTACAATAACACCAAAGCAGATGTTCTACTCCTAAATGCATAGATAACTATTTGTAGTTTTAACACAGTGTCTGGCTCTGATGAGCAAAATAACCAATCATAGTTTTCAAAGGGAGGTCCATGCCACCTCCCCTGGACATACCTCTGGATTTCTCTTGCTCCATGAAGGACTGTTTGTAGTCAAACTCCCAAATTCTGTTGTCAGCTCAGTGTAACATAGCTCTGCTAACTAGCCGTCATGCCATGTTTCTGAATTTCCAGCTGTTAGTTGAAGAAAGGCGGTGTTTTTAAGTCTCACCTCTGATGAACTCCCGTTGTGTGTTGCAAGTTAAATGCACACTTTTACAGAAGATGCAAGCAGCTTTCCATCATGTTTAGACACATTTCAGAGCAGATTAGATTTAGTGTCATACAAGGCCTGCACAGTGCACATTACCATCTGTATAATTCACTAGTTGAAGAAATGTGTATGTCAAAGAGGCGGATCTACAGCAAGCATTTGCACTCTGGTGGCATATTTGGAAAGATAAGATGTGTTTCTGTCTGCAGACACAGAGCGAAGGAAAACACGTGACTGGGGCTTTAAAGAGGGGAAATAATGCATTTTCCAGACTCTATACTTCCTTTCTGATTCCTCTTTAATAGCTTTACATGATTTTCAGATAAAAAAAACAAAGCCATAATACACCGTGGCATATTAAAACTCCATCTGATAGACTTTGTTTGAGTTGCTGTCTCTTTAAGGTCCCTCCCCCTCAACGAGCCTTCTTTCCTCTGATTGGCCACCTCTCTGGAGGCAGGCCAAGGGCAGAACTTCGTGTTTTTGTCAGGTGTCACCTCATGCTGTTGGAGTCTTTGCCCAAATCACTGATGAACTAGTAAGAAGAGCCTCATCTTGCGTTTTTTGCTCATGGTTACATTTTGAGTAGTTTCACCTATTTTTCAAGGACTATGACAACATATGTTTACCTTGGATTTTTAGAAACTTTGCATACATCTAGTATGGACACCAAGCATAGTAACTCTGCCTTTTCTGGTGTAAATGTGGAAAAGCATAATACCAAATTAAATTAAATTAGAGTATGGTGATCATCTGCTATTCCACTCTGGTATAAGAGAAAAAAAAACATGTATGTGAGCATTAGATAGCTCAACAAAAATATAGATCTGAAATATTTCATTAGATTGATATTCACTCATATCTTTACCTCTGTAAGTGAAGTTGGACCAGGTTGTAAAACGCTTAACAAAGCACTTCTTTTGAGTTTAATAGTTGTGCTTGTTTTCATGAGGACTCACAAAGTGTTCATTACATTCAAGGTTTTAGGGAGTTGAGTTACCGCAAGTGGCAGGAACACAGTATAAAAAATGCAAAGATAAACCGTGATATCTCTGAGACATTTGAGACCAGAATTGCACTGACAAAAACAGACATCAGGGGGGCTGCAAGCGCTATCTCTGCCTCTCTCAACAGCTGTCTTAGCTGTTTATTTTTCAGGGTTAACAAAGTTTGTAAAGAGAGCTGAACTGCTTGACATGCAGGGAAGCTGAGAATTAAAAACAGGGGGGAAAAAACGATAAAGCCATTTCAGAGATAAGACCAGTGCCTCCTTTCTCTGAAGTAGATACTTTTTCATGCACAACATTCGCTTCCTCTGTAAGCAGCTTGCACAAGAATTTGCAGTAGGAAGTGGTACTGCAGATAATGCCTCACCTCAAATTCTACTGACCTACTTTACTTGAGCCAGTTTATGTTTTGTTAGTGGCTCTGAAATCTACCGATTGTGATGGAAAATGATCATCATAACTGATATTTCTCACTCACCTATATAGAGGTCTTTTGTAGCATGTTCTTAGTTTTGTTTTCTCGATTCAATGTTTATTCTTTGCCTCTGCTGCTCATAGTTCAGTTGTTATTCAGATTACTCTAATATCATTCAGTTTATATCATACCTGGCACATGAAAAACAATTCATGTGGATTTTTTGTGTGTGTTCGAGATGCAGGCTGCCCAGCAATCGGCTACATCATGGCCACATTCTTCTGATTGATTCAATTTTGTTAACTGTGAGTTTTTTTCTCCTCCTTAGACACTGTTGGAGTACGCAGGCAGGTGGAGGATAGAGGAAGAGCCTTTACCACTAGTGGAAGTGTATATAGTTGCCCTGCTGAGTTACGCCCAGGCCTCTCCTTATCTTTCCCTGCAGTGTGAAAGTGTCCCTCTTGTGGTTGAGAGGCTCTCACTGTAAGTACTCCCAGAACCTGTGATTAACTCAATATGAAATTTAGGTCTGGATCAACTTTGAAAGATTTATCACCGTGCTTTTGCTGATTCCTGATTTTCTTTTTTCTCCTTTTTCAGGAGTTTCGTTGAGCTTTTGCTCTCATTGAAGGAGGATGTTCCGAGTGAATTATGGAAGGAATTCAAGTCATGTGTGCAGGTAAGGCTGATGATTGTCATTAAAACAATATAGAAGTTATATATAGTTATGGACATCATTGACACAATGTAGATCCCACCCTCTTCTAGAAAAAAATGTAGACTCATATCACTGTCATGCTCAGCTTCAAATGAATATAAACTTGATATGTTACATGAAGTGCTTAGATCTAACTTGTCTAGTCTTGACTTACCCTTTAAAAGGCGGTGTCCTTCGTTCTGCATGATGTATTTAAGTTGCTGTGTTCCTGTTTTGAACAGTTTGCCTCCAGTAAGCTGCAAGAAAACAGCATCACTCAGCTCTCCCTGCTGTCTGCTCTGGGTCAGTATGACGGTGTTTGGACCAACAGAGTCCTTCAAGGCCTTCTGTCCAGTGAAAACCTGCCAACTGAACAAAGTGAGTCCATACTGGGTCTACTCTTTCTTCCATTGCTTAAGTGTGCCTGACATTTTCTGTTGCATGTTTAGTTTTAGGTGACATATCAAATAGATAGCATTGGATGTAGCTCTGTGTAGCCGAGATGACCACTTTCTCAACCCAACCCCCTGAATGAATGTAAGGCTTACATCTGGTCACCAGAGATAAGATGGTGTAAATCTTAAACTCCAAATCACAATCTATCTACAACCTCCTGTCTGTGTAAACTAAGATAAACAAGAAGCCTTCTGAAGAGGACAAACCTTCTTTCCTCTCCACTTCAAAGAGACAAAGACAGGATTGTTTATGGTCAGCAGGAAAGAACTGCAGGTCCACTCGGTCAGATAAACATTTGTCAACACACCTTGACTGTGAGGCTTTAGGTTTATCAGCTCAGCCAGAAACCCCTAAAGTTGGTTGATCTTCCCTTTTTGTTCTCTTTGAGTACACCCCAAAGAGAGTAACTACAACTAGTCTTATTACAGGTTGGATGGACACTGCACAGCGATCTTCTGTCAAAACTCTACATTTACAGTAAAACAGTCTTTGTCCCGTTTGTCTATCATGTTCATAAATCTGTACAGAATAAATCATTAAGTCTTAAAGTTCCCTGAAGTCAACAGCTTTCCAAACAGTTTCATGAACTTTTAAGAGCTGAAATTATTACATGTGAATTATTACCCTATTCTAGTAGAAATAGTGTAGAAATGTTGAGTTTATATCTTTATCATTTGTTTAGCTTTGTTAACCATTAGGTAGTTATACTGTCATTTAATAATCTAAATGTTGGTCTGTAGAATCCATAATTAATTGGGTAACACTTTGACACCTATCTCTATATTGCATTATAAATATATGTAGAATGTGTTATTATCATGTTATATCAGTATAAAACCACAGTTATAAACACTCATAAATGATCATAATGCTTTATAGCAATAATCATAACACATTATAAAGCATTTTATCATTACTTACAAGGTCAGGTATTATAATGTGTCATAACTGTTAACAACTTACTGACAATGCCCACATAGATAATGCAATATACATATATTTATGATGTGTTATAATTTGCTTATAATTAATCTTTGGACATTTATTATGATTTCAAATCGCTACATCTGATATGCCAAACAGTTTGATATTATTTAGTGCAAGTGGCTTTTTGACTTAATAGTTTGGGATATTTCTACACTGCCAAACGTTTAGTCACAGAGTTGCGGATGTGACAGACTGGTCTGTGTTTGTGTTTAGTGTCAGTTGAACCATGTGTCCCTGGAGTGTTTTCATAACCTGTTGATTGTGGTTGTCATTTCTTAACTTCTCAAGTGTGTACAGTTGAACTAATCCGGAACGCTGTGTTACTCTGTCCCCATGTTTGTGTGCTGCTGCAAATTGTACTCAGTAACAGCTGACACCAATGATAAGAATGAGATGATCAGCTCAAATTTTTGGTCCCCAGTCAATTTAAAAAAGTCCAGATAGGCTCCAGTCTGTTAGTTAGGATCAGGACTAGAATATCACTTATTTCCAGACTCTTTAATATTTTGTCCCACTTATTTTATTTCTCCCATCATGACCTAAACTTCCTTAAATTAGTTCTGCTCCTTACCCAGATCCAGCTCTAAACTGCCAACACTGACTTGAAAAATTGCTCAGAAAAAGCAGTTTGCGTTTGCATTAGTGATGTTTGAATAACTGGTGAGACCAGTTGATTCTGCTGGATGTTTTCCGTTTCCACTCATCACAGAGAGCAGCTTAAAAAAACTGTTTGTGGTCGGGGGCAGAAGTGTGCTGGCAGTCCTACTTTTACTGTTTGTTGAAGGGAAGTGTTATTTGATCCAGGGTCGGGGATAACAGATGATGCAATCAGCTGATCCAGTGTTTGTGTGTAAATGATCACTGCTTTCTCTATGCATGTGTGAAAGACTTAATATGAAGTTGTGATAATCTTCGGACTGAATCCAACTTCTCAATTTTCCCTTTCCCTTTATTTCAGTTGAGGAGTTCCTGGCGCAGGAGGGGCAGGTATTGTTGGGGATGAGAGTGAAGCAGCTGATGAAGAACAGCCAGCTGGAAAAAGCTGCACTGCTGGCGAAAACATGCTTGGCCTGTGCCTCTCTTCAGGGGAGCGGATCTTTCAAGCAGATGTACCTCGTCTGCCTCTGTGCTACCTCAGATCGGGATCAGCTGATGGAAGTGGTGAGTGTATCTCCAAACTAGAATATGTCTGAGAATCAGTGATTTCACCTGATCTTCTATTATCCTTAAACTGTTGTTGGGGTGCCTCATATCACTTTAAATCAATTGTATAAAATAACCAAATTAGTAAAACAATTAGACAATGCAGAAAGATTATTCTCTGCGGATTACGTCATGGAAATACATTATTTTTTGTAAAAATCTCCATGTATTTTGCCTGACATTGTGTTAACAGTAAAATTGTTTGTGTGTGACCCTTTCTGTACTCGCACCAAGCACAGTTAGGGAATCAAATGGTTGAATTTGCTGTTAAGTAGCCGGTATGAATATGGTTGAATTTTCACCGGTGTTGTTTCGGAGTTCAAAAACTTTGTCATAAGTTTCTCAGCCACATGATGGCAGACCTCACCTAACATTGAAATGTGTAACAGTCAGCATAAGACGCCTTTAATGAGTCTCACTTTACTTTTAAGGTATTGCAGGATGAGGCTGAGAGTTTTTCCTAAATTTTTTATCAGCAGTAAATTGAGATGAAATGTTCCGACTGTGCTCATGGGATTCATCTTCACAGCTTTCAAAGGAGGACTGCCGTGATGCTTTAGAGATGATCTGCAACCTAGAGTCTGATGGAGATGAGACTGCAGCTTTCAGCCTCTGTTCAGCCTTTCTGACCCGTCAGCTTCTGCAAGCAGATACATACTGTGCCTGGTGAGGAAACTTGATCCAGCTGCTGGACTAACTTTTTATCCTGGAAAGAAGATTTATTTAAGGAAGTGTTAAACCAAACATAGAGAATACGTTTTTTTTAATCACTGAATATTTGTGTTTGAGAGCTTGAATAATTACGTTGGACTGTTATTTAAAGCATTGCTCGTGCAGATTGTTGTAGTTCAGCTTAAACACTCTTAAAATCTCTAAAACCTATATAAACAACACATCGTTAAGACATTAAAAGCTCAACAATTTCTGTCCTTCTCTTTAATGGTTAGCTGTGAGAAGTTAATTGCTGCTGGTAGCCTGAAAAGATGAATAGCTGAATATTCAACAGAGAAATTTAATGTGCACTGAATTCCTGTTCTTCACTCAGGGAGCTCACTCTGTTCTGGAGCAAGCTGTTGAAGCGACTGGAGCCATCAGAGCAGGCCTTCCTTGACAAATGTCGTCAGATGTCCTTAATATCCAAAACCGTCTACCACATCCTGTTCCTCATCAAAGTCATCCAGTCAGAGGTACGTGATCAAAAGATACTCGAATAGAATCCGTAAGGGCCCCCAGATGTCAAGGCGTTACTCTAATCTTTAACATGTGTTGCTGTTATATTTAAGTTTTTCAATGCTGTGGTACATATTCTACAACTTAAGAAAAAGAAAGTTAGGACTCTTATTGATAGAAACGGATTTTGATGGTTTGCTGATGATATCAATCCTATTTCCAACTCATCATAGTGCAAAGACAACATGTGAAATACTGAAAGTAAACAACATTCTGTTAGGATCTGAGAGCTGAGGAAATCAATTTCTGAGATTTGAAAAGAAAATGTCCCATTTTGGCCTAAGTGGGATTTCATCTGCTGAACAGTTCAGGGTCTCCTTAGTCATTTTTTTTTTATTTTATTTTGCGTGAAAAGATTTTAATAGTAGATTAGGATAGTAGGACTGCAGGCAAACCAGTTTAACAAAAGAACTCTTCTACTACAGAGCCATGTTGATGTAAAACCTGCAGAATGTGGTTTTTCATTGTGTTGCTGAAACATGAGGGTCTTCCCTGAAAAAGTCTTTGTCTGGATGGCAGCATATGCTCCTCCAAAACCTGTTCAGCATTAATGGAGCCTTTACTGTTGCATCATTGTTCCATCAGGAACGCTGGCTTTGATTTGTGCACAAAGAACAAGTCGAGTGATCCCTCCCGTCTTCACAGCTGAGGATATAGAGTGGATGGTCTCCAAAATGTTTTTCACTTTGCCTCAGCACATGTGAAATGGACTTGAGGCCCAGAGAAACCCCATTCCTGGATCATGTTTATCTATGGTGTCCTCTGCCCATGGTGCAGTTTTAATTTACATTTGAGGATGAAGTGATGAACTATGTTTACGGACAGTGGTGATTTTGAGCCCATGCAGTGATTTCTATCACAGAGCCCTGTCTGTTTTTAATACTGTGCTGCCTGAAGGCCTGAATATTGGGGCCATCTAGTGTTGGTTTTGGTACTTGTCCCTTTTGTACAGAAAATTTTCTCGGATCCTTTGAATATTTTAATGATATTATGAACCTTAAACGATGAATATTAAATCTTTGGCATTTTACGCTCAGAAAGATATCTCTGGAATTGTTGACCCATTTGCTCACTCAGTCTCTCACAGAGTGGGAAATCTCTTCCCTTCTCTTCAGCCTCTCTGAATACTCTGCTTATACCCAGTCATGATGATACTTACCTGTTGCAAATTAACCAGATTAGTGGGAAGATGTTTTTCCAGATTTTCTTTTTTTCTTTTCAAGCCTCGCACATTTTCAGAGTTTTGCTTTTCCAACATTTTTGTGGGCATCAAATTTAAAACAAGCATTTGTTTTTAATGAAACAAGACACATTTCAACTTTTATCATTTAGTATGCTGTCTTTGTTCTTTTTAAATTGATGATTCAAAGATGATTCAGGAAAGATTCAGTCTCCTACTGTTGGGAAAATTAATGTCTCAAAGTTGAAAATGGCTGAAATGGATTGGTCTGTAGGTATGAGGCTCCAACAAGTCACATTGCTGTTTCCTATTACTCTAAATTGTTGTTTGATTAGCAAAGTTAAGTCAAATGTGCTCAGAGATACTCTGATATATAAAATCTAATGTCTAATACTTTGTAATTTTTTTTTTTTTTCCAGATTAATTATGTTTCATTGTTGAGCATCTGTAAGTTATTCTGCTTTCTGTCTTTTATAGATGGACAGCGTTGGAGTGCCGGTGTGTATCGAGATGTGTAGCAGAGCTCTGCGGATGTCTTCAGATGACGGAAACACCAAGGCCACTGTGTGTAAAACCATCTCCTGTTTGCTACCTGATGACCTGGAGGTCAAGCGGGCCTGCCAGTTGACAGAGTTCCTTTTGGAGCCCACAGTGGACTCATACTATGCCGTGGAGACTCTTTATAATGAACCTGATCAAAAACTAGAGGAGGAGAATATGCCTGTTCCTAACTCCCTACGCTGTGAGCTCTTGCTGGTTTTTAAAACCCAGTGGCCTTTCGACCCTGAGTTCTGGGACTGGAAAACACTAAAGCGTAATTGTCTGGCGCTGATGGGTGAAGAAGCTTCTATTGTGTCATCCATTGATTTGCTCAATGACACTGAGGATCCTGAGGAAGAGGAGGACGTCTTCAGTCAGGAATATAATAACGTCCCTGAACACTTAATAAGCGGCACATATAAACTAGATGATGTATCAGACAGGAGACAGAAAAACCGAGAGATGAAGAAACTGAGGGAGAAAGGGTTCATATCTGCCAGGTTTAGAAACTGGCAGGCGTACATGCAGTACTGTGTGCTGTGTGACAAAGAGTTTCTGGGTCACAGAATTGTTCGTCATGCACAGACTCATCTGAGTGGTGGAGTGTACAGCTGCCCGATATGTGCTCAAACCTTTACCTCAAAAGACACATTGATCCCACATGTAACCTCGCATGTGAAGCAGTCATGCAAGGAAAGACTGGGTGCAATCAAAACAAACAAGAAGCTGGCTGATCCGAAAACAGCTGCTCCTGTTATCTCAGCGTTTAATGCAAAGAGAGAAAATAAGCTTAAAGAGAACTCTGTCTCTGCAGGGCATAATGGTGGGTTGGTGAATAATGTTCAGAGCCATGTGGCTCAGTCTAACACTGAGACTATTGAGGAAAACATGTGTCCTGTTGGAAACTGCAAAAGAAGCTACAAATTTTTCAAAAACCTTGTTGCACACGTTAAAGGTCACGGAGACAATGAGGAGGCAAAGATTTTCCTGGAGATGCTGAGTAAGAAGGTTGTTTGCCAGTACTGCCGGCGCCACTTTGTTAGTGTCACTCATCTTAACGACCATTTACAGGTTCACTGTGGTGTGAGGCCTTACATCTGTATACAGCTGAACTGTAACGCAAGTTTCTTGGCCAATGCCGAGCTCATTGTACATAAGAAAACACACACTTCCTTTAAGGCTAGATGCATGTTTCCAAACTGTGGCAAGATTTTCAGCGAGGCCTTCAAATTATACGACCACGAGGCGCAGCATTATAAAACTTTCACTTGCAAAGAGGCGAGCTGTGGAAAGGTTTTTCATTCACAGCAGCAGCTGGAAATGCACCTGGAGGAGCATGCCCCTATAAAGGTTGAATGCCCGGTTACAGAACCGATCCCGATCCCGGTCCCGGTCCCGGTCCCGGTCCCGGTCCCGATTGTGCAAAAAGCAAAGAAGCCCGGCCCCTCACTTATTGAACAAATGCTCATGAATCACACTCCCGTTACTCAAGATAACTCACAAGACAACTGGATCAGTAAAAGTTCTGTTAATCGTGATCAAGTGAGGCCAACACCGTCTATAGAGAGTTTGTTAAAATCTTCACAAGCACCTGTTGAACCATCGAATCAATACAAAGTCAACACCGAACCAAAAAAGCAACCTCACCCACCCATTCAGACACAGAGTTTAAAGAACTCTGTCATTCAGCCTGTGATTCCCCACTTGTCTGACACTCAAGGTAACAGGGAGAGTGCCGGTGGTCATTCTTTGGATCATGTGAGACCATCTCAACAGATTCAACCAAAACCCCAGTTTCCAGCTACAGCAGGAAACATGTCGCACATGTATAAAACAAACGTCCCACAAAGCAAGCCACAAATCTTCCACAACACTGTCAGCACTGGAGCTGTGGGTTTCAAGCCTGTTAGCATCTTACCGCCACCAGCAATGCAGCCGAGGATAGTGTGTAGTACCAACCTGTCAACAGCGTCACCGATCCAGAACTCTATAATGCCGGTGATGCCGCTACCACTCCCTCCAACAGTCATCCCACAGACACATACTGTGAACAGACCAGAGAACTCAGTGACGTCCTCCACAATCACGGGTGCACCCCAAGGGCAGAGAGAGCGATACCACTGTGCATATGAGCCATGCTCCAGGACCTACAGCTCCTACAGAAATGTTACCAAGCACATGAAAGCGTTTCATTCTGAGTTCTATGAGCAGTGGAAACTCAACCGAACTGAAATCAAGGTAACCCAGATTCCCATTAAACATCCCAGCCCAGCCATCTCAATGCAGAACAAGCAGCTAAACCCAGTGCAAGCCCATCCAGTCCAGAGGCAGAATGTTATCCAGTCACCTCCCTTTACTAACATGGCGACAAGCACAAAGTTTACAGCTATGCATTCTCTCCACAACCAGAATGCCTCACTCATGATGCAAAATGTTTTAAATCCCATTGTTCTCTCGCAGCTTGGGCATGAAACAAATCCACTACCTGCACAACCCCAAGTTTCAGGTAGTCAAAACTGGCAATCAGCCCCCGGAAATGGGAATATTCAAAACTGCGGCCCCTCCCAAGTGTATCCACCTGTAATGCAAGTGTTGCCCCAGGTCAATTCGACAAATACTGCTCTGCCGCTCAGTGTCCCATCCTGCTCTGTAATTGAATCAGCATTGAGCAGATCAGAAAAGCCAGTGCAGCCACCAGTTGTGGAGAATGGGTACCAGCCAGTTAGGCCTTGTTACTCAGATGGTACTAAGTTAGTGTCACAACAAGCATTGTTGCAGGCGTCACTGTTGCAAAACAGTGTAGTCTCTGGTTCCAGAGCACCAGATACAATCAAGTCAGAGCAAAGTGTGCAGTCCCATTTTCCCTCTACAGACAGTGTTGGGCAGAATGCCTGCGCCAACCAACCTGTGAATGGCCCGGTCATGTCAGATAACAGTCCAGACAACCAAAAGCAGGCTAAAAAGAAAACTAGGACCAAATGGCCAGCTATTGTTAGGAATGGAAAGTTTGTTTGCTGCAGATGTTACAGAGAATTCAGCAGCCCCAAGTCCCTTGGAGGCCATTTGTCCAAGCGCACCGTCTGTAAATCGTATGACGAGGCGGTGCTGAACGCAGAACTGCCAGAGTCTTTTCTAGGCCTTTTAAATGCAGAGCAAACAGCTGGCGACGCACAGCAACAGTTGCCTTATCATCCTGGCTGTGCTTTCGAGGAGAAGCCCCAAGAGACGGTTGCCAATGGATCGACAGTCACCAAGGATTACCCAACTCCAAATTATCCACACAATAATTTGCCCATGTACGGGACTGAGGAGTCAAGTGACGACCTTCTGAAACAAATCATGGCTGATGCCAACATTTCTGAACTTTGTGTGCACACACCTGCTCCCAAACCATTGCTTCAAAACCCCTGTGGCCTTTACGGAGCAGGCGAGCGTTTGCCGGGGAGTTCAGTGATACAGCATACAGAAAATGTCCAGCCAAAAAGATTGGAGAACTCCTACACTACAGCCTGCTACCCTCAGCCAAGCGTGGATACATTTGTCGGAAGTGAATACCCCGACCCTCTTCTTTCTCAAATTCTCACACAAAATCCCTCACCTGCCATCCCAGGAAGTGTTTCTACAAACAACAACGAAGTGTACAATTCTGGGATGGACATACAGACAGCGAACACAGGTCCAAACCCGATGATGAGACCCCTTTTACCCGACAGTCAGCTTAGTCCAGCAACAACAAGCGGCACACAGGCTGAAACACTGAAGAAGACAACTGAACAAGACATTAAGAAGAGATTACGGGAGCAGATTTTAGCTGGCGACCTTCAGCGTAGAAACAACATGTGTCATTCAAACAACACAGACCCTAACCCCAATTCAAAGGTGTTAGACCCTATGTGCAGCCCCTCTAATAACTCTAGCCTTAACCACATGTCTCATGATGCAAACAGTGATTTTTCAAGTGTAGAAAAAGTCATTCAAGAAAACTCTGTCATTGTTCAAGGGACCTCTAACAAAATAGAGCAACTTCTGAACACACAGAGCTTCACTGGCTTCAGAGAGACCCCCAGTCTGAAGCAGGAGGTAGTGAGCCCCGCCAGAGTCTTGATCAGTGATACAGATCTCGAGCCGACTCAGTTATCTGCAAGCCAGCAACTGATGATGTTAGAAATTCAAAGAGCATTTGAAAGGCTGAACTTAGTCAGAGAACAACCCGATCACATAGCAGCTCCAGTTGTACAAATCAGCAATAACCCCGTCAAACAGACAGCACCTGCCAATGCTGGCATTCACAGCTCACCGTCAACAAACTTCATTAAACCATTTGTTTGTGAGAACTGTAGTTTTAACACCCTGTCAGGCGAAGCTCTTTGGAAACACCTCTCGAAAGCCCACAGGTATACAATCGACATGGTCAATGTGGTCAAAAAAAGATATGGTGAATACGCTCCCTACAAGTGTGAGAAATGTAGCAAAAGGTTTACCCGTAACTCAAACCTTCGCACTCACTATCAGTCAGTTCACAAACTCCCATCCGAGGAAGTTGAGAAACTAGATCTGAAGCGCAGAGAGGCCAGGATTGCGGTCGTCAAAAACTGGCGTCTTAGTAAAAGCCAGGCTCTGGCAGCTCAAGCCAATGCAAGTGCAGCTCAGCTACCAAAGCCGGAGGTCAAAATACAGGTACAACCACCCCAAAAAGATTTAAAACCTGAACTCCCTGCAGAGCCACCTGCTATCAACAGGCAGCCAGTAATTAAACCAAGCATTGAGACGCCCAAGAAGACAAAAGAGAAAAAGCCAAACTCAAATGATGCCGTAAGTCCATACAAACCGTATCGCTGCGTCCATCAGGGCTGCATGGCAGCCTTCACCATCCAGCACAACTTGATTCTCCACTACAGAGCTGTCCACCAGTCTGCTTTGTCAGCACTGGAGGTCAACAAGGACCAGAGTGAGGAAGTGGATGAAAAGAAGGACCACGATGAGGGAGATACAGAGCCAGAGAGCCCACGAATTTCAGAATTCAGATGCAAAGTCAAAGACTGCTCTAGAGTTTTCCAAGAAGTCCCCTACCTCTTGCAGCACTATATTCAGCTGCATGAATTCAGCCTGGAAAGGGTCGGCAATCTTGTGTCCACCACAAAGCTTGGCAGGTTCACTTGTGGCCACCAAGGATGCCCAACAAACTTCAGTTCCTTCTGGAGATACATAGGGCACGTCAAAGATCAGCACAAAGACATGAAGTTCACCAAACCGGAGCAATTAATCCGCTTATACAAGTGTGAAATTGAAGGTTGTGAACTTGCGTATGCCACAAAGTCGAACATGCTCAGACATGTCATGAAAAAACATCAGGACTTTTACCAGATGAAACTCAAGACCCAACAGATGAGGAGACAGAGAATAAAAATGACGAAAAAAACTCTGCTTTATGCAATGGCAAAGACAAGTAATGGGAAAGAAAACATCGAGAGCAATAAGAAGATCCTCCAGAGGGCAAGAGACACAAAAAGATTTAGCAAATCCAAAAACAACCACTGGACCACATATGGAAAGCCCTCTCTGAAATCCAAAGTGGAGGCTTCTGCGATGTGCACCAAAAAGTTCCCCTTACAATACCCCTGTATGATCAAAGGCTGCGACTCAGTCATGAAATCAGAGAGGAACATCGTGAAGCACTACATCGGACACGGACTCTCAGAAAAATACCTCGAGTTGCAGAGAAGTCATTTCATTTTCTGCAAGAAGTCCGCCAAGCACAAGTATCGCCCGATTCGGAGCGACGATTCCAAATCTGACAACACTTCTGACGTCTCCGACAACGACGTGCCAGCAGACACCGTCCAGGAAGTTGGGGAAAATGGACACTCAAAGCCTTACCTTCGCAAACGAACCCCAGCAGGAATCTCGTCTGCCTTCTTTGACAGCAAATTAACTAACGGTTCAAGCTCAGAAAGCTCTTTAGCGGTCAAACGCAAACGAGGACGCCCCCGAAAGCTGATCGGAAAAATTGTGAAACGCAGAAAAATACAAAAAGCAACAACCAAGGTCAATGTAGTTTACCGCAGGGAAGAAAAGACCAACTCCGCCCCGCCCGCAGTGACGAAGAAAGAGACGAGTGAGCAGAGTACCTCAATGTCCACTTTCAGACCCATGGGATTCGAAATGTCGTTCTTACAGTTCCTCAGTCAGTCAACGAAATGTGAAATCCCTCTGACAAGGGCGATCGTGAGTCCAGAGATGTGCAGGAAAGCTTTGGGTCTGACCAGCAAAGAAACCTGTGTCAAGTTCAGCAACCGTTTAAAACTAAAATCACTGAACAGGGTGAAAATTATCATAGAGAAGACTTTCTCAAGGTTCTCTGTCCCCATGTTGAAACAGTTGCAGGACATGAAGCCCACGGTGGTGATGAACAGAAAATACTGAGTTGTGTTTGATGGGTTTTTTTCTGTTTTGTTTTTTTGTAAAGCAGAATCTCAGGAGTAGAACGAGTAGAATCTGCTGCAGACAGTGCCCTACATCTGAAATGTTTTTACACATCCAGTAATCAAAAAAATTTTTTTTTTTTTTCGACAATGCTGTAATCTTGTCTGTACATTTCCTTTTGCCATTTTTATAGAATATAGCATGTTTTTATTTATGGACTGAAGTTGTATAATTTTTCCTTTTTCTTTCCGAAAACTAAAAGACGACATCAGCCTCTGCTGTCTTTATCATCCCTGTGGGACAAGAAGACATGGACTATCAAACGGATGTATTGTTCTGTGTAGTTTGTGATCCGAAGACGTTGATTATTGTGCGTTGTGTGTATATAGCTCAAGATCACCCACTGCCACCAGCAGTCTTACTATTAAACACTTGGCTTTTTTTACAACCACTTCGACTTGTTTCCATCATTTGTTGGATTTTATTGAATTCTGAAGGAAACTCTGAAGGAAAGGAGCCCTAAAAACTTAAGACTCTACCTCCAGTACTACTTTTGGAAACCACAGATAGACCTTTATTCAGAGTGTGGAATGAATTAGAAAAATGAAAAACCACTTAAGGTAACAATCGTAATAATTTATTGTAGACAGTCATGACAATACAAACGATTATAAAATGCATGGTTTAACAAAGAGGGGAAAAAGTGTCCTTTACATGCATCATACACACATAATAATCAGTGCTATATTCTCTGTCTTATCAGAGTTGTATCTGTTTTTTATTCAGATTTTTTTAAAAATCTGATCAGCTCTCCCACTGAAGAGAAACCCAAAGTGAGGCCAAATGATGGAGGAACATGTCTTCAACAATTTTAAAAGATGAAACTTGATTACTTTAATAAGTGTCCAGGCATACCACCTCTTTTTTCTGCATTTGAACAGTTTTATTCAGAACTATAACTTTTGATCCACTGGAAGTAGCCCACTTCAAAATAAAAGCAGTTTTACCATGTAGAAATAAAGGAACCTAAAGGCAGGACAAACCATAATATGAGACAAGTTCTTCTATAGAGAAGTTTTCCAGGCTTTCTTTCTGCCATAAGACATACTGAATTTCCAACCCAAGTCTTGACCTACATCTTGATCTTTGATAAGACCCAGCCAGTCTAGTAAACATCCAAAGTATGTAGCCTTTAAGATTTATAAACAACAACAGGTTCCTCTGTCATCTCTTGGGCTCCCGTCTCATACTGGACAAACCTCCAAAGTCACAGACAACAATATGGATGATGATTTTGTGGATTTTTTCCTTTTCTTGTGAAGAAGATCTGGGATTCTTCCAAATTCTGATAGTTTATGTCCACAAAAATAGTGTTTTTGTCTCTGATAGGCTCAATTGTTCTTTAAATTGAGGAAGTTTTTTTGTGCAGTGGTGAATGAAGCCTGGTGTCCAAGTTGTTTTTTTTAGGTAATCTGAGCTCTCACTCTGGTTTCCCTCTGATCTGGGATCTAAAGCCTTTCAGGACCGGACTGTCTGGTTTTCTGCTCTGTGTGTAGCGCCTGCGAGCTGCTGTCCTCTTTGTTTACTATGGGATCAGCTGACACAAACTTGTTGACAATAGAGACAGCTGGTTGACTGCGGTAGAAAGCTTTCTCCTCCATGGGGACGTACCGCCTGGTGAGATATTTCCACAACTGCTTCCACGCGATGTAGATGAGCTCCACAAGGTTCAGGATGATGCAGAGGATGGAGGTGCAGCCCATGATATAGAGGAAGATCTTCTTCTCTGTGGCTTTGGAGATGAAGCAGTCCACCGTGTTGGGACAGGGGCTCTCGCTGCACTGCATCATGATGGGCACCTCAAAGCCGTTGTACACGAAGTAGAAGATGAGCAGAGAGCCCACCTCAAAGGTCGTCTTAAAGACCAGGCTGATGATGTAGGTGCAGAACAGACCTCCATCGATGCTCCCTTTGTCTTTGTACAGCTTCTTCTTAAGTTTGGCCTCTCTGTGCTCCCTGTAGGCCACGTGCAGCGCCACCAGCAGGGATGGCGTGGACACCATGATGAGCTGCAGGGCCCACAGACGCACCTGAGAGATGGGGAAGAAGTGGTCGAAGCAGGCGTTCTCGCAGCCTGGCTGACGGGTGTTGCACACAAAATCCTTCTGCTCATCCTTCCACACCTGCTCGGCCGCCGCCACGTACACCAGGATCCTGAAGAGGAACACCACAGAGAGCCAGATCCGTCCAATCACAGTCGAGTATTTATTCACCCCACTGAGGATGTTCTCCAGGAAACCCCAGTTCATCTTCCCCTCAGTCTCCTGTCAGCACGTAAACAAACAGTCAGTGTTATATCTTATCTCTGAGTGTAAACACAACAAACAGGCTATTTCTCTCTTTTTGATCATGCGGGTTGGTACAAAATACTTCTGTATCACCCAAAAAATAAACAAATAAATAAAAACCATGCATTAAATTTTTCAAAAATTGTTTTGAGAGAGCAACACATTAGGAAAAAAAGCATTTTCTAAAATTGTGAATTAAGTTGAAGTAATTTAATTCATGCAAAACACTGATTTACAATGGAAAAGGAAAAGAATATACAAGCCAACAAAATTCAGGTTTTGTTTGTGTTTTCAAATATGGCAGCACTGAATGAAACTAAAACATGAGGAAACCCTTTCATTTACATAAGGTGTTCTAATAAAAACTGTATGCTGTGATCCATATTACAGAAATAAAAATAAATCTAACTTTCGCGTGGTAAATTAAAGCTGCCACTACTGATTTTGTGGTGAAATGTTGTGACAACCAAAAGTAAACTGTGTCACTCACTGAATATTTGCTGCTTAAACTGCAGTGTCCATTCCTTTAGTGAAAATAGTGATAGAAATATTATTAACCTTTTTTTTCTTTTCACGAAAAAGACAAGATGATGACGAGCTAACAAATATCACTAATAACAAAAACTCTAGCATTGACAGTTTTGTTTCTGGTGGTCTTGTTCACTAGTTTAGGTCAAAAGAGGCATCAGTATCGGGAGCTTTAATGAATAAAATTAACCACTCATAGTGATGTGTGGATGATAGACTGTGTTTATTTATAGTGATCACAGGGCTGTTTTAGTTCCGACATACTCCTTTGATACGGTCTTTTGTTTGACTTCAGTCAACACTTGTCTATCTGCTGTATCTGTTGGTTTTGTGCTGTGGCCTCGGGGTATTTTTCATCTCTGCCTGGTCGGTTATTAAACACACAATTTACTGTTGGGTAAACATTACACTCAGGTCTGTGTAAAGAGCACCTAATGGGCTCTGTTGTGCAACTGCAGTTTTCAGATGCTGTATTTCCTTCACAAAATCTCTGATTCTTTTGACCATCAGTACAAATAAAACATGTGATGGAGACTGTTGTTTAAATTTAGTATGCAGTAACAGTGAGCCTGAGCTGAGGCAACTTCATCTTTACATTTTGCCTCTAAATTATGATAAACCAAAGGTCAAGAAAGACTAAATTACTATATTTGAAGCAAACAATTTCATCAAACTTTAAACAGGGTCATGTAAGTGAGCATTTTTTGGTCTTAAAGAGGCCTGATAGACATCTAAATGTAACCTAGATGACTGGTCTAAAATCAGGCTACCACAGGTCTAAAAAGTTTTTTTAGATGTCTAAATTTAGACCAAGTTTAGACCAGCCGGCTAACAGAGGTCTACACTGTAAATTGCTCAACGGCTATCATGATTATTTTGATTAAGTACTTGAAGATCAGTTATGCAAATCATGGTTGCTTTTTGAAATAAATAGTTATTGAATAATGGGTTAAAGTGCAATGACTAAAAATATACAGAATCTAGACAGTTGAAATTAGGTCATAAAAAACTAGATGTCTAATAGTCGTCTATTGCTCAGTGGGATGAGTTTCTTTTGCAGTGTCAGTGAACCCAGCAGACCAGTTTTTGGATTCTTGCCTAGTACATTATTTTAGATCGTTCACAGTTCAGGGTCTTCTTAGTCGTATTATTGTGTCATGAATCTCCAAATCTTTTCAATGAGTTACAAATCAGTACTGCAAGCAGGTCAGTTTAGCAACAGGACTCTTCTACTAAGGAGCCATGCTGTGGTAATACATGCAGGTTGTAGTCTGTCATTGTCTTGCCAAGATACAAAGATCTTCCCTTAAAAAAGTCATTGTCTGAATAGCAGCATATGCTACCTAAATATTGTTTAGCATTATATTTCCTAAATGTGAAAGCTAACCATGTCAAAGACACCTATGATCCGCATACTATCAGAGATGCTGGCTTTGGGCTGTGTGCTGCTATCAAGTTAGGCGGTCCCTTTTCTCTTTAATTCAAAGGCATCCAGGATTTCCAAAAAGAATGTAAAATTCTGATTTGTCGGACCACAGGCACAATTTTTTACATTACTGAAGTCTATCGTCTTTGCATTGTCCGGTTGTAATCTGCTTGTATTAATGCAGGGATACACTTCAGTTAGAACCATATTTTTGAACCATCCTCCCTCGTCCGTCCGTCTTAGAGACTCATCCTCTCTGGATTACCCTGTGTGTGTATATAGTGCTCTATAACATTTAATTACTGTTTGCTGTCATTTTAAACAGCTGCTATTGTATTAAAACTTTGATTTCTTTCTTTTCTCTTAACTGGTTAAATCTCCCATCTAGGAAAGGATTTGGAAACCAGCAGAAGCCATACTCACTTCATGCAAAACACCAGTCAATGCAGCCTTTTTGTGAGAGAGGGAAGTTGAACTATGTCATTTGCATCAAATACTATGTAGATAAATAGTTCCACAGTCTTTTTACATGTGTGTTGCAAATTAACCTCATAAGTTGTTGTTTTGTTGTTTTCATTAGTAGTTGATGTTTCTACAGCTGATTTTACGCTTTTCACTTTTTTTCAGCTTTTTACCTGTTCCTGTTACAACGCTTTTCAAACATGCTGCTGGATACAAGTTTAAAATAAGCATACATTTTTATTAAATAATGAAATTTTCCTGTGAGTTTTTGTATTTGGTTAGTTGACTTTCGCTATTTTCAATAAAATATAATATTTCAACAATATTCCAACCCCCCAAATCAGCTTTTATCCACATTCAACATGAGTAAAAGTCGGAGAGATTGACTGAGATTAGATTTACTGTTTCTTAAATGGTATTTCTGCTATTCTTGATTAATGTTTCAGTTCTCAGTGAAGTTAGGATTGGTTTGAACTTACAGACTTTAGACTTCATATTCAAATCCCATCCCAAAAATATATAGTTTTTTAACGGTCTCCAGATGAAAGTCAAATATAAAATCTGGTTGTGCTTGTTGGTTTATCTCGGAGTTAATGTGAAATAAAGTGTAAATACAAAAAAAAGTGTTACTTAGTCCCCCAGTCTCTTTTATATTTAGATTACAATTCTTCCTAAATAATTCATTTGCTGAATATAGGATTTCAGTTTAGCTCACAAAGAAAGAAAGACTACTGATGTATTTCAGTGACGCTCAGTTCATTGTTTCAACAATAACAAATGGAGCACATCCCTACAGCAGCCTGTAAGACCAAAATTTAAAAGTTTGCCTTCATCCCACAGGTAAAATCTTGTTTTCATCATTTGATAATTTCACAGAAAGTGGATTTTAGTAAAGCAGATCAATAGATGTGTAGATCAGAGAGCTTACCTGCAGCGCCTCTGAGATGTGTCCTCTGTGGCAGGTGGTGATGGGAGGTGCTCTGTGTATATGTGGGTGTGTGTAAGTGTGTTGCTGTCCGCGCACCTGCAGACTTGAAGCCACACCTTACTCTTGCGTATAACAAACATCCTTACATTGTTTGTCATATCAGCACCATCACACTCTTTCTGTTTTGTTTTTAGGAATTTTACCGTGAGTTAGCAGAAGTCACATGACAATGGAAACTTCCCCAGATCACCTGTTAAACATGCATGAAGTGAAGGGTGTGTGTGTGTATGTGCGTGTGAGTTTACTGGCAGCATCTCCATGGAGCCGTCTAATGCAAATAAACGGTGCAGCCCATCGTGTTGAGGCTCACTGTGGGGGAGGAAGGCTCTGTGGTTTGTTTCCTGATTCACCCTCCTGGACTGAAGTCACACATTTAACTTTGATGAGACTCAGATCATTTTACAAACCTGATGATTAATAATAAAAGACGTTACCTCAGGTCTCTGTGTGTCTACAGTGTGCCAGATCTCCATGGTTTAAAATACCACCCCAGGTCCACCTTTTTAAAAGTTTAGTCCTCATCGTATTCACTCATTAAGTCAGAATAAAACATTGTACATCACTAAGTATTGAAAAATGATTTTGTCATTTAATTCTCTGGTGTCAGTTTTAAATTTATGCAAACTTTGAATTTAACTTAATATAATACTAACTCCAGAATATACTGACCCCCTCTGATCTGAGAGTGTAGTTGTATGTCTTTTCATATGGATAAGAACGATCCAGTTTTGGTAATCTACTTTTCAATCCAGGGTCAGGTTGTGAGAATTCTTTATTTCTGTATTCAGAATTTTAAGAAAAAGAAAAAAAAAACCTTAAGAAATATTTTGAAAAAAAAGTGTAGTTTTGAATATTTCACTTATTAATTTATCAATTACCTTATTTTACCTTTTAGGCCTTTTATTGATTTTATTGTTTTTTCCTACCCATTTTTGTTATTCCATTTAATCATTAATATTACCAAAATTATTATTTCATTATGATTTTATTATCATGATTAATTTCATCTTTTTATATATACTATCCTGTTTCCTGCTTTCTACATTTATTTCTCTTACCTATTCTATGTTTTTATTTTGGTCCTCATGGTCTCATTTTATGTTGTATGGTTCTTGTATTGTCTGGGTTTCTTATGACAGATGATATTGACCTTCAATTCAGAGGCCTTGTTTTGAAACGAGCTACTGTTTTTTATTTGTTTTTATTTCCATGTGCTGATGTTCTGTGCTTTACAACTGTTTGCCAAAGCACTTTATAAACTTCTGTTTTTAAAAGTGCTATAAAATAAAGTTATTGTTATTATCATATTATTATTAATACATTTCTTTGTTGATTCATTCATTTTAGTGCCCCTAATTATTATTATTATTATTAGTTATTCAACCAACATATTTGTGCTTGTTTTACCTAAGGTAGAAGCAGGGTTCCCTTAGTTCCTGTATTAAAGGAGCTCGTTTCCTCCTTATACTCCATTCATACTTTCTGTCAGTGTTGGGGTCTCCCGCTCATGACCACAGGGGGCGCTGTGACATTTCTTAGCATTTTTTCCTCTCCTCGCCTCCCCTTCCTGTCCGAGTCTTCGTTGACTTTGAAACATGGCTGCCCTGAATGTTAAAACCACAACATTAAAGCATTTTGTATATCTGTAATGTTTATTTTTCCTTCGCTGTTATCACACATTTCCCCACTGAATTGCCGCGTTTAGTTCCACCCGGACATGTCGGAGAAGGAGGCCGGCAAAGGGACGGAGACTCCCGGGGAGAAAGGTTTCAGGACTCCCGGACTCAGAGGAGCTCGGACTACCACACTGTTCAGAGCTGTCAACCCTGAACTCTTCATTAAACCCGTGAGATTTAGACACTCACACACACATACAGACTCATTAAGGGGATTTAATTCTACTAAATTATGGTTTGCTACATAAAAAAATCACTCAGTTGTTAACTTGTAAACCTGTATGACACAGAAGTGCAGCTCAAAACATTTGAATGTCTCGATAAAGTTAATTTATTCTCATAATATAATTCAAAAGTGAAGTTCTTATCTATTCTAGACTCATTACACAAAGTGAAAACTTTAAAGACTTTTTTTTTGTTTGGATCTTGATGATTATGGCTTATAGCTAGGGCAATGCTACGTTTTGTCTAAAGATGCGCCGATTCATTTTTTTCCGATCCAATCCGATACCTGGGCTGAGACTATCGGCCGATATCCGATACCGATCCAATACTACTTTTGAATGGATCCACTGTATTCCTTGCCCTGTGAGTGAAGACATCAGGCTTGACATTAGCCTTGTTAAAAAAAGGGAAACATATTAACATTAACATGGATCACTGTCGTTCATCGATATCCACTCCAAATATCAGATCAGTGCATCTCTAGTCTTGTCATAAGGCCTTGCGCTAGTGAAAGTGGAATAGTCAGCTGTTTCAGCTGCACAAGTGCTATGTTGCATGTAGATGCAGCCTGCTACTACGCATTTGTTTGCTGTTTGGTTCTGATGCAGCTCATGATGGGTTCAGCGTGAAGCGGACCTGGAGCAACTCCCCTTTTCATTGGCTGTTTGTATCGTCTACCAAAACATGGCAGAATGCCGACTATCGAAAAGCATTTAGACCATGTTATATATCGATATTGAGGGAAATTAATTTTTAATATATACCGTTATCGTTTTATCGCCCAGCCCTACTTATAGCTCACAGAAATCCACTATCTCAGAACATTAGAAACAACCAATACAACAAAAAAAAAAAGGATCGTCATGATTTTGGTCGTGTGTGCTGACCCAGAGTAGGGAATGAAGGTTAATTTAATCTTAGCAAGCGTTCAGGGTGAATCAGCTGCTTTGAGCTCTTTTCAAGACTGAAATAACCAACCAGAAACTGGATTTTTCCACAATATGCTATTTGAAATAATGGAGTTTTGGTTTTCATAAGCTGTTGGCTTTTGTTTTAAGTTATCATGACTCACCATTGGGTGGTTTTTCCCACACACACTTGAACCAGGAAAAACCTGTTGATCTCAACCACATTGTACATTCCAGCTTATCTTTTCTCATTCCTAACTAGTATATTTACGTTGTCTGACATACCAGCTGTCTAGCATACTTTCAGTTTTGCTTTTAAGAAGTTTACTGTGAGTTTCTGAGAAGTTGCGTGAGACAGAAACTTCCCGAAGATTATCTGTTAGACAAATAGTAAGTGAAATGTAGTTGTATAGGTGTGTGTGGCTGGGTGTATCAAAGGCCTTGGGTGCTGTCATCATACTTTCTCCAGCAGAGAAAGTTAGGGTTCATAGTCCTCTGAATACTAAAATTATGTTGAAGAGGTTTAGTTTGATTTTAGCTGGAAGATTCAATTTTGCTGGTGGTTTTTCAACTTGAATCAAGTTCTATTAAAACGTTCCAATCAGAAAGACTCAACTGTGACGACTTCAAACATCATTTTCAACTCAGAACCAGCCAAGAAAGCGTCACCAAAACAATACCAGACCTGAGAATTCATCTTCAGACTTCCTAAAATGGATTTGTAGCATCAAAATCTGCTGTGAAATCTGTCAAACCTCAGATAGATAAATCCTTGAGCTGTATCTTAAATAACACAAGGCTGTATCTTTCTGTCTTTCTGCAGAACAAGCCTGTGATGGCGTTTGGACTGGTGACCATCACACTGTGTGTGGGTTACTTGGGCTACATGCACGCCATGAAGGAGAACGACCAGCAGCTGTACGAGGTCGTTGACAGCGAGGGGGAGAGATACATGAGGAGGAAGACTTCTAAATGGGACTGAAAACACACTCTGAGAGCGTGTGTATATGTAATATATATAAAGACTCTGTGATTAAAGCCTGACTGGATTGAACCAAGGACACCTGCTCAGTTTTGTCTGCTTGCTTTTATGAAACGGCGTTTGTGCTGAGCTTGACCTGATCAGTATATGCAGATTCATTTTGGACAACAGTGAAATAAAGCTGATCTGACTGCAGCTCTTAGTTATGAGCTGGAAACTGGCGCTGAAAGGAGGTGTAATCAGTAACAACCACACAGGCTTTTTTTATGATTTATTAAACAACATAAAAAACTTCAAACTCAGCAGAAAATCAGAATGATCTTCGGAAGGCACAGATGTAAGCTCACAGAGGGTCAGCTTCTCCTTTATTTAGCTTTCTCTTCCTGCAAAAAGAGAAAAAAAGAAACTGAGTTTAAGTACAAAGTTTAAGTAGATTTTTAAACACCAAAGCTTTCAGGTAAGATTGCTGCTTTGAGGTGTGGTATGCATTTGAGCTTGAAAGTATGTGTAAACGCATTTTAGCCAATGCTCAAAATATTGTTAATATTTTCTGTCTTTCTCCCCAATAGCTTTATTATGCTAAATAATTGATTCTGATTGGTAAAAACCCCACAACAATGTTGATAAATCTCCATATCCATTTGGTTTAGGAAGACTTTGTTTCCTTCAAGAGTCTCAGTATTGAAAATAACTGTAATAAATATTGTAATTAGAAGGTACCTTGATAACGTCAGCGAGCTCTTGCAGTGTTTGTTCATATCGGGCTTCCATACTCTTCAAGTTCTCCGGTTTGACAATCTGCCTCTGAATCCCAGGACTCCCTGCTTCCTGAACCATCAGGAGGAAGTTTTTCTCCTGCACAGAAGAAGAATTGAACATATATTTATCTCTGTTTTTACTTATTGCTTACTTCTTATGTGTCTGTCTCAAAGTCTTGTTTTTGCTTGGTTCACTTCCTTGGCAACTATGAATTGCAAGTTTTGGGTTTTTAACTAGTAAAAAAAAGATATTTTATGGGTTTCCTTAAAAAAATATATTGTAAAATAGGAGTTTTATCTAATCAACTCCAAATTTGTTTGGATACATTGAAGATTAGAACATGCTCAAAGATTTTAGCCTCATCACTCTGTGTGCTCTGCTCTGATCTGACCCAGATGCACCACACTTAACGAGAGTCCAAGTCCTAACAAATCCATATGGAAATATTTAATCTCAGTCATAGCACCCCCTAGATGCGGCAAGAAATATTACGCTTAATTCCACAAGTTGAAACTCTAAGACCATTGAACACATTTGCATCATTTTTGCTTAGGATGACTTTGAGCTGTTGGTCTTCATTTGTGCCCAAAATTGTGAGTTTTCATCAGTGGGCGTTGTCAGCACAGATTTATGATTTCAATATAATCCTCACCATAAAACTTTCAACTATTCCAACTCAGTCCCACATAAGTGGAACTGCACAAACTTGCTCAAACTTAAACACAAACTTAAAGGGTTTTGTTTACTATTTAGTTTTTACAAACATTGCTACCCACTGGCAAAAAGAAGTTGCTACTTCTACATAAATGTTCTCAAATCTGGCAAACCAGGATTAAAAACTAATTTGATAACATTTACCTGAACTCCGAGCAAAAAGGTGAAGGCCAGGCCTGCTTTCCCTGCTCGAGCTGTTCTTCCGATCCTGCAAAACACATCTCGGTCATTATTCAGTACAATGGAAAGTATGAAGCATTGAATATAATAGAACAGAAAGCTCTTTATTTTCATTGTAGCAGTACAATAAAACTATAAAAGGTAGAACTGTACACAGTGCAAGATAAAAGAGAAACATTAAACAATAAAAAGACCAGCTGACCTGTGAATGTAGGTCCTGATGTACTGTGGTGCGTCATAATTCACGACACATTTGACCCCGTTGATGTCGATGCCTCTGGCGGCTGCGTCTGTGCTGATCAACCTGCAGGAGGACACCAAAGTTTAAAATCAGTTTGTATCAGAAGTCATCAGATACTCTGCACAAACACACTCACAGTTGGATCTTTCCCTGTTCGAACTCCTTCAGCGTCTTCTTCCTCTCACCAGGAGAGAGCCGAGAGGAAAACTCAGCTGCCTGGACTCCACCGAAGAGCTGCATGAGCAGGAAAAGTCTGAGGAGGGAGGAAATACAGTCAGACCAGGCTGAGGGTATCCACAGCTTAGAGCGGAGAAGATGGGTTTGATGGTGTCTGTGTGACTGACCTGTGTGCGGTCTCTCTGGAGTTGGTGAAGCAGAGGATGGGGCTGAGCTTTAGACGCAGGATGAAGTGGAGGATGAGGAGCGGCTTCTTGCTCAGCGTACAGGGAACATAATACTCCTGCAAACACAGAGAAAGCGCAGGCTTAAAAAGACCACACAGATCTTATCTGCCGCATGATTTTAAAGTTAGAGGTCCTCTCTTACTGTCAGACCCTGGGGGAAGTCGAATCGGTCTTGTTTCTGAGTGGGGGCAGCTGGCGTGGAGCTGGTCTGGCCGTGGATGGAGCTGAAGAGTCGGGGCTGGTGGAGGCCGAGCTGCTGCAGCTTCTCTGGGTTCTGTGTGAGTGTGGCTGAAAACAGGAGCTTCTGCAGCGGCATCTGAGGAGGAGACAGACTGAGAGGACAGGACCGTCTGGGTCAAATGCAGCAATAGAAGACCTGATGATAGACTCAGCTGTCTAAATTCTACAGTAGATGGACTACGAAAAGTGCAGCGCATTTTAACTAAGGTGACCATATTCTGACTTCCCAAAAAGAGGACATGACTATGCAGGGGCGGAGTCACGGAGTCGCACAAAGTTAATTTTGAGAGTTTTTCGTGTCGGATCAAGTGTCTTTTATGCACTTCTAACTCAGTAAGTTCACGCGACACAGACTCGAGACTCTCGTACAAAACCACAGACATTTGAAGGATTTTATAAACTTCCGCGGACAAAGCTGGACAAGCCCAGACAGCCCCCCAAAAAGAGGACATGTCCGGGGAAAAGAGGACATATGGTCACCCTGTTTTAACGAGGTTAAGTTATGCAGACACAGAAGTGGTGAAACTCTGTGATCAATGTCACATCAGCAAAGAAGCTCCTTTTCTCATCATTTGAAGAATTAACACAGATCAACACTCAAATACCAAGTTAGGAACCTTGACCAACGAGAACTATTCAAACAGACCCCATGTGTGGGACACACGATAAGGAAAAAACAAACTCTTGGGTGGTTTTTCCCCCTTTAGGTGTAAACACAGTCTCACCTGGCTGCTGTGACATGTGCCGGCTCGGCTCGTTTAAAAATGGCTGCAGCCTCCGCTCCACTCCCTGATCTGAACACAGCCTTCACCACCTGACTGAGCCACGACTGATGCATGCTATCAATCATCCTGTCAGCCTCGTCGATAATCTGAAATGACAGAGACAGCACTTTTTTTGTAACCCTGTTTACTTTGCTGTTTTAACAAAGTTATTTAAGGTTAAAGATCTCACCAAGAATCGGAGATGTTCCAGATTAAGGCCTGAATTCTTGTTAATGTGATCAACCAGTCGACCCGGGGTGGCCACAATAATGTCTGCTAAACTGCGTCTGGTACCGCCTCTGCAAGAAAATCAGAGCAAAATTGAAGAAAGGGTCACCTGCTAAAAGTTACTGTTATTTTTCACTGGTTTATAAATCTACTGTATGATGTTTTGGGAACTCACCTGAGCTCTGCAAGTGACGCCTGCTCTGCTGCAAACGCCTTCTGACCGGCCAGCATCACCACCTTTAGGCCGGTCCCCTCAGCGTACGATGTGAACACTTTACAAACCTGCGTGGCAAAAACAGAAGCTCAGTAAATCTGAAGAGTCACTATGACAAGATTATAGTTTAAAACTTTGATTTGGGTTAAACTAATTTGACATTAGGAACTATTATGTCAAATCTGGACGGTAAAGATAAAAACATAATTTTGCAAACATAAGGTAATTATTCTGAAACTCAGACTACAGAGAGGTGCAAACAGAACCTATAACACCGTCTATAAATAGAGATTTAGAAATAAAAAATAGAGATTTAGAAATAAAAGAATATATTGATCTTCAAAGTTTCTGACCTGTTGAGCCAGCTCTTTGGTCGGCAACACAGCCAAAGCTCGAACCTCACACACCACCCGCTCCATCAGCACCTGAGAGCAAATCCAGTTAGTCCATCAAGGTTCTGCTGCTCTACACAGAACACACACTGTACGCAGGTCCTGCAGCTCACCTGTATGACGGGTATGACGAACGCCAGAGTCTTGCCACTGCCTGTTGGTGCAGACACGCAGATATCTCTGGGCTTGTAGCCTCCTCGACCGATCAGAAACCCCGTCTGCGCGCTCTCCAAGATGGCCGGGATGACTTCTGCTTGCACTGTGAGACAATCATCTCAGTAGTATCCTCAATAGATCAATATTTCCAGTCATAAACATCCCCAAAACAACCTCCTTGTTTAAAGAAAGACTCCAGAAATACATGAAATGAAGACTGATTTCACCATAACAAACAAATAAACTACAGTATGGCCTCTGTTAACCTGCAGCAGATGACACAAAGAAGTAGAGACTGTTTTTTTTTACCTGGAAACAGATGCTGGATTCCATTATTTTGCAGTTTTTTCCCGAGCTGAGCGGACAGTCCTTGGACGTCACAGATGGGGACCAGATTGCTTTTAATGTCTCTGTGAATGACATCAGGCTGAGCGAGCCACTGAGGCAGGACTCTGTGCACCTGTGAACATTGAAATATACAATCTGTAGGTATTTATCTGTATCCAGTGATTTAGATTTAGCATTAGAAGCAGGTCTCGCTACCTTTTGGACAGGTTTGTTCTCAAATCCTCCCAGAACTTTGAATCCAGTTGAAGCAGGAGTTTGTTTTTGTGTCTGATTTTCGCTCTCTGCCTCCTTTTTTTCTCCGTCTGTGTCCTCCTGTTCTTCTTTCTCTGTTCCAGGAGTGTCCACACCTTCAACGGAACTTCCTAAAAATCCAGAGACAGACAAACTGAATCATCTCAGATATTCTTGTTGGGCTGATGTGATACAAACATTATACAGAAGGGTTCAGCCGTTCAAATGCAAGCACACTCTCAACTGACCTTCCATCGGCTTTTTCTTCTTCTGTTTTTCATTTCCACCTTTTTTCTTCTTCTTCTTCTTCTTCTCCTTTGTCTCTTCCACAGGCTCATCCTGGTTATCAGAGTCAGAAACAGACACATTTCCTACATCTGATTTCCTCTTTTTGGGATGTTGAGGCTCTTTGCTGTCCTCCTTGTCTGCTTTTCTTTTCTTTTTGACATCCTGCTGTTGTGTTTGTTCCTCAGGTTCATGTTTCTGTTCTGTGAAACTCTGTTTCTGCTTTTCTTTTGCTTTTTGCTTCAGTTTGGCCAAGAGTGCCTCAGAGCGAGACTCCTTTGAAACGCTGCCATCTTCCTCTTCTCCAAGATACCTATGAACCACATGACAGAAAATAGATTTAGTCCGTTTTTTTTCTACAGTTTCAGCACAGCAATGTTCACTGCACTGAAGTAAAGTCATTTCCAAAAACCATAATCTGTGAAGGAAGTTTGTCGCTGCATCCAAAACTGCAGGGGAAAACTGAACTATGCAAAGAGGAAACCTCATATGACATAATCCAGGCACAAGAGCAACTTCTCTGGACCTAAGATTGGCTGAGGTGAAGAGGGAAAATGTCCTTAGGTCTGATCAATCAAAATTTGACATTTGACTTTCATTTTGGAAGTCATTGAAATCATTTCCTCTGGCCTAAGAAGAGAGGGACCACCATGTTTGTTATCTGCACAAAATTCCTAGTCAGCATCTAGGGCTGGGCGATATGAGAAAAAGTTTATCATTATATATAAATTTCATATCAGTCGATATCGATATATATCACGATATTAAAAAAAAATCACTTGTCAAACTTAAATGTTCCCTGTTACTCTTAAACGAAATTTAACGGTCCTTATTGGTACCGTAACATGTCTTTTGCAATACAGTAAGCTACTGTATCTGAGGTCTTTGCGTCTCTTCGACGTTTTGTCGTGAGGCGTTGTGCTAGAGAAAGTGGACTGAATGCTCGGTTCAGTGCAGTACAGACCCATAGCAACTCCCCTTTTCATTGGCTATTCATATAGTCTACCAAAACCTGACAGAACGCAGACTATCGAAAAGCATATCGACCATGTTTCATATCGATATCAAGGGAAATCAGTTTTTGATATATATCATTATTGTTTTATTGCCCAGCCCTATCAGCATCCCTGGTGGCCTAGGGATCATAATTGTCCATGGCATGGGTAGCTTACACATCTGTGAAGGCTTCCATTAATACTGAACAATACATACAGGTTTTGGAGCAACATATGCTGCCACCCACATATCGACTTTTTTGGGGAAGACCTTCATATTTCAGCAAGACAATTACAAACCATATTCTGCATGTAATACAACAGCATGGCTCTGTAGTAGGAAAGTCTTCGTAACAAAACTCGCACAGTGTCCCACATTTTTTATTTTTTAAAACTGGTTTGCAAAAGTTTTTGTGCAGACTTTCAAGCCTATTTTGACTATTTTCCTGCCAAGTTCTCCTATCAATTGTAAAATGTATCACTTATTATTACCCTGTTGAGTATTTTACAGCAATATGAGAATACATACATGTAAAAATCCTTGTCAGATTCAGATTTTGATTCTAGCAGAGCTTGCTGTTATGTGACAAGATGAGAAAATTGTAAGCAAGACACTAGACAGTACAAAAATCCTCTTACCTGTTCACAAGAAACAGGGACATTTTCTCAGCAGTACACTTCCAAACGATAGGTTTCGTATGTTTTGTTATTTGATCCTTCTTCCGAATCTATTAGCAGTGAAACATGAATAAACGCGGAAAATATTCACAATCAGCCCAATTTCTTCAAAGTGTACTTTAAGCTCCACTTGGGCTTCAAAGATGAACCCATGTTGTCTCATGTGTTTTCAATACTGTTCAGGCGCATGCTAATGACGTAAGATAATGCGGTGTTTCAGTGAAAGTTGTGACCCTGCTATCTGTCACCTGTTGGACGTAGTCACATTTGTAAGCGTAAATATACGTCAATAAATATACACTTATGAATCTCTATTTTTTTCTCTTTTGTTTGTATCATTTGAGTATTAAAATATACTCGGTCAATGAAAAATCTCGCTGCGTGTCCTATTTATACTCTGCCCGGAAGTCGACAGTTAAAAGGGTCGCTCGTTATACCAGAACACTAGTCTCTCTTTAGCGTCACCGGTCGGACGCGACCACATTGTCTGATTAAATAACATGCGGATTTTTATTAATATCAAAACATAAAATATTAAGATTACATAATAGACAAATTGAGCATATTCTAGTATAAAACAAGTATGTTTAAATGTAAATCGTTACCTAACCGTGTTTGAATCCTCGACGGCGAAAATGGTTTCGCCCATCCGATGACGTCCACCAATCACAACACAGTACTTGAATTTAAAACACATTCGGCGGACATTAGCTCCAGTTAGTTTAACGTTCTTCTTCTTTTTTATCAATTAAAAATGACGGAGGAGTCAGCGGTCGCGGTCTGTGTTCGAGTCCGCCCGCTTATCGAAAGGTAAGATTTTGATTGATATACAGTCCATGTTAACGGTCATTTAGCAGTAGCATTAATGTCGACTGTTTGGCAATATAAGTGAGTTGAAGTTACACACGTACTGTAGCTTGAAGTGGTGGATATGCGTCAAGTAAACGTTGTATTTTTTCTTCAAACGAATTAATTTTAGTATGTATTGTTGTTGTTTAGCCCCAAGTGAACCTGCCATCAAATTAGTGCTGTCTCAAAATAAATGGCTCATTTTTATACCTCCACTAGTAAATATCCAAGAGGCTACCCCTTTCCTTTGTTTCTAATATATTTCATGGGCTGAAAAAAACGCTTTACCACCCAGCAAAAAGTTGTTAACAATTGTCAGCTGTCAGTTGTTGTTGTTAGCTATACCAGTTGTAAACAATGCATAACACAGTATTTTACCCTTACAAACACCATAGCACTGTGTTCATAGTTAGACGTTGGGCAGTACAATATATACCACTTATTTAGTTTCACAAAAACAAAACAGAAGTGCGGATAAATAATGAATGGTGGTCAGCCCTTGGATTGAACCCCCAACCTTCCAATTGGGAGACTTTACCTTTTACCTCCAAGTGTCACAGTCAACCCTGAAGTGGCTGCCATAGACTGTATGGTGGCAGCTTGTCAAGTAGCTCTGTGTCTGTGGTGCTGCTTTTTGTATTTATTAAGTACTTTATGTTGTTTTTTTGTAACTCCTGAATTATCATTATCCATTTTGAGCTTCCCTATCTATCTATCTATCTATCTATCTATCTATCTATCTATCTATCTATCTATCTATCTATCTATCTATCTATCTATCATAAAGTATCTGTCTAGATCTTCACTCAAAAACACATCAGTGATTTTCAAACACTTCATTTACAAGCCTTCACAGAGGCTGTCTTTTAATTGAATTGAAAATCTCTTTTTGTCTTTTTGTTTCAGGGAGGAGAGTGGTGCGTTAGAAAATGCAGAGCCTGTCCAGTTGTTTTGGAAAGCCGATAAGAAATCAATTCATCAGATTGATGATGGGAATTCGACAAAGAGCTTTAGTTTTGGTACACTTTTCATCTAACCCTAACCCTAACCCTCGGTCTTTGAAGACATACATATAACGGATTTTCTGTGTGCTTTGAGTTAACGTTGCTCCCTTCTTGTTCACAGACCGAGTGTTCACAGCTGATGAAACGACCAATCAGCTGTACCAGACGATCGCTAAGCCTCTGGTTGTTTCCACTGTGGAAGGATATAATGGTAAGTAATAAAACCGTAAAGCGCTCAGACCTATCTCTGTTTCTGTACAGGTTTCATCTATGTATAAATATAAATATCCTGTGTTTGATCCCCAGGAACCATTTTTGCTTATGGACAGACCTCATCTGGAAAAACATTCACCATGATGGGGAGTAAAGGCACTCCTGGTGTGATCCCTCTAGCCGTGGAAGACGTCTTCCAAACTATTAAAAATGTAAGAATCACATATTTGAACGGGCAGCATTTCTTTTGTTTTATGATTGAAATTATCCAATAGGTGACTTTTCTTTCTTCCCACAGTTTCCAAAGAAGGAGTTTCTTCTCAGAGTTTCTTATATGGAGATCTACAACGAGACTGTGACTGATCTGCTTGTGGACAGCTGGAAGAGAAAACCTCTGGAAATCAGAGAGACAATCAATGTGAGTGGGAATTGGGATTCAAAGTTCATCTTCTTTGAAATATTGTCTTTTAGCAATTGCCCTTAAAATAAACAATTGGAAAAACAACATTAAAAACAAACTAATGTTAAATAAATCAATTTAACAAAATTAAAGGCCTGTAAAGTATTATAAAGCCATAATAAACGTATTATAAAACATTAAATATTATGGTAGTAAATAGAGAATTTGTAAAGTCTTGTCACATGAAGACCATAAAAGCAGATATTAAAATCAGGTGTTATTTTTGTACCTATGGAGCACAAAGAAAATATGGCGTCTCCAGTAAAATAATGTATTCATCTGAAACTATAATTCCTCTCTAAAAGTCAGAGAATAGTCGGATCAAAACAAGGAGTTATTCATGTGTTTACTGATATTTTAAGCTCAACTGACCCAGATAAAAGCTGCTATGAGGTTTGTGGCATTCATGAAAAAGACTGAAACGATTGTTTATGCCTTTTCCAGTTATCTAAAGGCAAACTGCCTCAAACCAAAGTGAGTGGGCAGGTGTCAGCTGAGCAGCTAAACAATCAGCCCTTTTTTTACAGTCTCCACAAGAAAGTCTCTATACAACAAAAAGACATCAAAAAAACTTTCATTCTGCACGTGATTTAGAAGTCGAAAAATTACGTTTTATAGACGTCATTTTGACATCGCATTGCACAGTGGGATGACTCAGGCAGCATCTTTTGGCTGATCTAGTTCAGTCTAAGGCAGTGTTAAAGTCGCAGGGCAGCCAATTTGATTTGTAATCTAACACAAAAGTTACAGCCACATACAAAATTACAGATCAAATTCTGAAATTATCCACATTCCTCTGAACATCATTGTGTCTTCACTGTGTGCAGAAAAACATCTATGTGGCTGACCTGACAGAGGAGTTAGTGACGACTCCAGCACAAGCTCTGGCCTGGATCAGGAAAGGAGAAAGTAAGATCTCGATTTTTTATCACTCAGTTTAATTTTCCCCACGAAAAGTGTGCTGAAAACTCACCGATCTCTCTTTTTCTTCTTCTATCATTACAGAAAACCGTCACTATGGAAAGACAAAGATGAACCAGCGCAGCAGCCGCTCTCACACCATGTTCAGGATGGTAAGCCTCCTTTGACAACACAGAAACACAAATTATTTTGGGTAAATTCAGATTATTCATGATGAGTTTTTCTTCAGATTCTAGAAAGCAGAGAAAGAAGCGACCCAGCATCAGGGGAAAATGCTGATGGAGCCATCATCGTGTCTCATCTGGTAAACCATCCACTCCTCATCCCTGATCTGTTTCCATCTTTAGGAAACCTTTCTTTTGATTTCTTGACTGTGTCATTGTTTGTATTCTCATAAGTATTTATTGATCTTTTTCTTTGTCTTGTAGAATTTAGTAGATCTTGCTGGATCTGAGAGAGCAAGTCAAACAGGAGCTGAAGGTGAGCTAGAAATTTGGGGAACACGGGGTCAAAGCCGGGGTTGCTTCAACAAGGACTATAGTCTCTTTATGTGACTTTTGTATGATTGTAATTTTAACATGTTAGAATTCACTGAATGTATGTTTTCTCTGGTCCAGGTGCACGCTTGAAAGAAGGCTGCAACATCAACCGTAGTCTGTTCATTCTTGGCCAGGTCATCAAGAAAGTGACGGATGAAAACCAGAAGTGAGTAAATAAAGTAAACAAATCATACATGGTGGCCATATATACCTCCCTTAATTATTATTGTAAGCATCGGTACTCCAGATGAAACACATGTTGATAAATATGCGATAAACTGCTCATGTGTCTATAAAAGAAAATAGGAGGAAGAATGTGCAGCTTTAACTCACAGATATTAAACCTTTTATGTTTTTTTTCAGGGGTTTTACAAACTACAGGGATAGTAAACTGACCCGAATTCTGCAGAACTCTCTGGGTGGAAACGCTAAAACCGTCATCATCTGCACCATCACACCTGTCGCTCTTGAGGAGACTCTCAGCACTCTGCAGGTGGATAAAATACTCAGATTTCTGTCTTACAAACTTCCCTTTACTAACTGTGCATATACCAAGACATGATTACTGCTTTCTAAGTGGTTAAAGAAACCATTTTTAACTATTACAGAAACAAGACATACAGTCATACAGAGAAAAAGCAAACAAACACAAAACATGGTGTCATTCACAAAGAAAAAAAGAAATTGAAAAAAGGTCCCTGAAGTTCTGTTGTTACCAAATCTTGCTTTTGATACCGATTGAATTAAAGGGATAGTTCAATTTTTCAGTTTGAAGTAAAACTACAGGATGTTTCATATGCATCAATATTTTTTTTTAGTTTGCCAGCACTGCAAAGAAGATGAAAAATGACCCTCACGTGACCGAGGTGTCTGACGATGGAGCTTTGCTTAAAAGGTATCGCAACGAAATCGTCGACCTCAAACGCCGGCTTCAGGAGGCAAGTTTAAACTTTTTTTTCTTTAAACAGTCATGTTTTGTTTATTTGTGTTGCACATTGAGATATAGCATCCTTGCACCGACTAACTCATGCACAACTTTTTTTATTGTTTCACCTGCAGGTTTCTTCAGTCACGCAAACTACCGCAACAGAGAAGGAGGTTCTGTCTCAGCTGCTCCAGGAGAAGGATCAGCTCCAGAGAGAGCAGGAGGACAGGATCAAAAACCTGACCAAGCTGCTCGTCACCAGCTCCAATCAGTTCCAGTCAGTACCAAAAGTAAGTCTGCTGCAAAGTACTGCTGCAGTTTGACTTAATCCTTCTCTTAGTTTCTATGGTCATATTTATTTACCCCTGTCCTGTTTTTTTTCTAAGATGCCGAAACGCAGAGTAACATGGGGAGGAAAAATGCTCAGACTCGCTCATCCTTCGGCCTTTGAAGGAGGAATTTCTGAGCTCAGCTACGCAGAGCCGGTCGGTCGAAAGAGGAAAGCAGACCGCTCCTGTCTGAGTGAGCTGTGTGAAGGTTCGGAAATGTAAAATTAATCCGATTCATGATCAAACAGGAGTGCACTGTACGATTAAACAAGCGACTGTGTGCTTCATATTTTGACAGACGACGAGGATTTCCAGTGGGAGATTTCTGACGAGCCTCAAGAGGACATGGAGATGAGTCAGAACTATGTGACAACTCGAAGCTTTGAAGACAGGTGAGTGAGTTTTTAATGCTCAGTCTTTAAACGTTTCAACACGTCACTCATCTGTTTATCTGATTTGGTGTTTTTGTCCCAGTCCCAAAGACCCGTGGTCTCAAGACTGGATGCGTGACATTCAGCAGAAAGACGACGCCTTGACGAAGGTGGAGGCGTTAGACAGCCGAGTGCAGGAGCTGGAACAGCAGCTGCAGACAGAGAGCCAGCACAAACAGGAGGCTCTGGAGAAGGTGGAGACGTTTGATAGCAGAGTGATGGAGCTGGAACAGCAGCTGCAGGTGGAAAACCAGCAGAAACAGGAGGCTCTGGAGAAGGTGGAGATGTTAGAGCTCAGAGTGTTGGAGCTGGAACCGCAGCTACAGACAGAGAGCCAGCAGAAACAGGAGAAGATGGAGATGTTTGACATCCGAGTGTTGGAGCTTGAACAGCAGCTGCAAACGGAGAGCCAGCACAAACAGGAGGCTCTAGAGAAGATGGAGATGTTTGACAGCAGAGTGTTGGAGCTGGAAAAGCAGCTGCAGGCAGAAAACCAGCAGAAACAGGAGGCTTTGGAGAAGATGGAGACCTTTAATAGCAGAGTGTTGGAGCTGGAACAGCAGCTGCAGGCGGAAAACCAGCAGAAACCGGAGTCTCTGGAGAAGATGGAGATGTTCGATAGCAAAGTGTTGGAGCTGGAACAGCAGCTGCAGATGGAGAACCAGCAGAAACAGGAGTCTCTGGAGAAGATGGAGATGTTGGAGCTCAGAGTGTTGGACCTGGAGAGACAGTTAGAGGAGCAAAGCCACAGTCAGAGCAGCTCTGATGAGCAGGTGAGCCGCCTTTGTGTCGGACCAACACCTTATGGATCAAACTTTTTTAAATCCAGTTTGGATGTGTTCACAGTTTTAGGAATAACCTTGAAACCTTTTTATTCCAGATGAGACGAGAATTTGCAGAAACGATCCAGCTGTGTGAACAAATGGCCTCAGAGAAGGTAAAGTGTGATTGCTGTGATTTATATTCCAACTCATACGTTTGTTTTTCACTTTGACATGATTTGTACAGCTGTAGTCTATCGATTCCCTTTTCTACAGTTTTGTCAATGAAGCAAAATTAAAAACTGATTCACCCCAAAACTGAAAAAATATGGCAAGAATATGGGTGGTCTATTTCCATTATTCTACAAGTTTCTCTGTGGGCATAGGCATAACTGTGAATTGTAGCTGACTTACTAAAACAAGAGTCTCACAAAGAAAGAAAACAAATAAAAAAAACTCTTGCATGAAAAAATGATCCTGCCAGACCACGAAAATTTACTAAACTTACAGTCTGCACTACTACACAGCATTTGTTTATGTTTGCTATTTTACCACGCCTGTTCATTTTTGGGAAACAGTTGGTATGGTGGTGCGATCCAACACCAATATATATGGGGACTCTGTATAAGATGAATTTGTATGTTTGCAGGACGTGGTGGCAGCTGAGCGCAACTATCTGAAGGATGAGCTCGGCATGTTCATCGAGCAGACGGAGAGTCTGGAGAAAGAAAACGCCGCTCTGCTGAAGGAGCTGGAGGAGAGGAGAGAGGTGAACGAGTTCGAGACTCTGGAGGAAGAGCTGAGGAACGAGCAGGAGGTAAAGTTAAAAATGCTTCATTTGAGAGGCAGAGCCTGAGAAATCACCCCTGGAGTAGTCTGTTTTGAGATGTCTGTTTAAATACAGGGATAAGACGCTGAGTCCTGTTTGGTCTCCCCCTACTCCTCTATGTCTGTGACGGGAAGATGGACACGAAAAATAAGATGATGCTAGATTTGTTTTTTATTTCTATGCAGGGATTTTTTAAAAGACTTTAATTTTCTTTGTCTGCTCTTATAGAACAAACTGCATGAGGAAATCTCTTGTTTGAAGAAAGCCAACAGCGACTCTGAGCTCCACTGCCTCGAGCTTCAGGTAAGATAACATGCTAAAAATCTGACATCTTTATTAATATGGACATTTGTTTTTGCCATTTTTACTTATAAGGCAGAAGTTTAGTTTTTGTCAACATGAGGAGGTGACCCGTGTGAACCATTATAACTGTAGAGGCTGAATTGTTTACCTGCTAATAAGAACAAGCTTCAGGTTAGGATAAACAACATTCACCTGTCCAGCCGCTACACTGAGAATCTACCTCCAAATAATGACAAGTTCAATGGGTTTAAATGAATCTGTACACAAATCAATGCAAATTTGATCTAGCTATTAGTTATTCTTATTAATAGACAGTAAAATGATGTATGTTTTTTTTATCATTTGTTTTTCCAGAAAAAACTTGAGTCTCTGTCCGAGGAGCTGAAGAGGAAAAGCGACTTTGCCGAGGAACTCCAGAATATGGTGTGTTTGATTCCTTTCTTCGTTTTCATCTTAAACAAACACAAAACAGATCATTTAAAAAAGGCATTTTAACGGCATTTACAAGGAGATGACTCACAGTTAAACCACCAACAGGAGACAAATGACTGAAAAACTTACTGAAATATAAAACATGGACAGAGGCAGAGCAATCGAAACATTTTCTTGTTTTAATGTGTAACATTTTGTTATTATTTCATATATATGGCACTGGGACGAATGTTCAGACATGCGCAGTGGGGAGGAGAACCCCCTTAATAAATCAGAATGAAGAGTTGGCAAAAGGACATAAACGTCATGTTTATTGAACAGTAGTAAACAAATGTACTTTTTCCCAATAAACAGCAACACGGAATCAAAACCCCAGGTGATAAATACCAGGGGGGCTTTGCTGGGTCATGTTTGGTCAAAGTGTCTCCAGTTCAGTGTTACAAACTGTCATTGTGTTCATGTTTTTTAATTAAAGCTAAATCAGTTCCTGTCATATTTCCTCTGCAGAACGGTAAAGATTTGGTGCAGGAAGTCACGAAGCTTCGCCGCTCTCTGGACGATGCCGAGGGCGTCAGCAGAGACACGAAGAAGGAGTGGGCTCACCTGCGCAGCCAGAACATCGCTCTGGAGGAGGCAAATGTGAGTGAATTTAAGTTGTTTGTTCTTCTCTGCACAAACCTAATAAACTCTAACATTTTCAGCTGTTATTTATTTACAGTGACAATTAATGTGTTGTTTCTTTCTCTGTTTCCTCTCCAGGTGAGTCTGAGCACCAGCCACGAGAAGATGAAGGCTGAGGCAGAAAGCATGCGCTCTCAGCTCGAGGCGGAAAAATCCAGTTTCAGAAAGATTCAGAGCGATCTGGAGAAAGAGCTGAACGTCGCGTTTGACGAGAACACCAAACTCACTGCGCTGCTGGACGGAAAAGTCCCAAAGAGTGAGTCTAAAGTTTATGAATCAATTCTTTATTCTCTTTCATTTCTAGAAAATAACTTGTATATGTAGACTTTTCATTTCATAAATACAGTGAAACCTTGAAAACTCTGAACATTTTGTTGGTAATTTCAGGAAATTCAGACCCCGGTATTTTTAGAAACTTCCTGTTAACATATGATTCTCGTTTTAGAGACTGTCTCTGTCGGACACGTTCCCACAGTGTATCTGAGGGGAACAAACACTAGCGGTCTTCATAACATGACAACTCTGAACTGTAAAATCAGATGTACGATGTTCTATTTCTTTAGATCTGATGGATTCTGTGGAGCTGGAGAGGACGGTGTCCAACCTGAACAAAGAACTGACAACGTCTCGAGCAGCAGAGGAGACCCTCAGAGCCCAGCTGGAGGAGCTCGCCTCTTCACAGGCTCAGCTGGAGAATCTGATGCAGCAGGTCAGTCCTCTGAAAGCCCCCCCCACATGAGAATATTATCTCATAATCTTGATTTAATCCCGTGGTCTCATTTTGTGTCATCAGGTACGTGAACTGACCGAGGAGCTGTGTGCGACCCAAACTCAGAGAGATGGTCTGATCTCAGCTCAGACTCAGAGTCAGGAGGAGGCTCAGCAGCTCCGAGACTCCCTACAGGCGAGCCAGGAGGAGATCCTGAGCGCACGAGAGGAGGTTAGCGCGGCAACGCTGAGAGAGGAGCAACTCAGGGAACAGCTGGAGTCAGTGCAATCTTCCCTGGAGAACTCTGAGGCTGAGAAAAATCTGCTTAATACTGCTGTCGAGGAGAAACACTCAACGGTAAGACACAGAGTCTTCAAAAGGATGTTTTGGTGACAGAAAGATGAGAATAATAAGCTTCTCCTTCCATTTATAAATAGTAGTAACAACAAAAAATGCATCATCAGTGTTTGAAGTGTTTGAACTGACATTAAAAATGATCCCTGCAGATCCAGAGTCTGTCAGCAGAGCTTCAGTGTGTGCGAGAGGAGAAGGAGACTCTGCAGACCATCGCTCAAAGCTCTGCAGAGGAGACGGAGAAGCTGCAGTCTGCTGTGTCTTCTCTCACCGAAGAGAGAGATCAGCTCAAGACAGACATGCAGGAAAGTGTGGAGATGGTGAGTCAACAACAGACCATGATTAGTCTGGATTACAAGTTTTATGTCAGCTGTTTATCTTTGTTTTAGCAGTTAAAAGTCTGAAATATTAACATGTTATCGAATTGAACAGATGATAGAAAATCAGGAGGAGCTCCGGTCAGCTCTGGAGAAAACTAAGGAACAGAAGAAGCTAATCGAACAACTACAGACCGCACAAACATCCAAACAGGACACTCTTCAGTCTGAGACAAGTGAACAGCTGGAGAAACTACAAACACAGGTAAGAGTTTTTTAGGGCATCAGGAAAACTTTGTCTGTCTGTTTGTTGGTCAGATAGTCAAAATCATTCCTTGATAACATTTTTATGGCCACTGTGCTGATTCCTGATCAATATTTTTCCTGATCCCTCAGATTCAGAGCCTGACGGAGCAGCTGCAGAGCGTCCTATCAGAGAGAGACTGTCTGCTGAGTGAGAGGACGGCCAGCTCTCACAGCGAGGAGATGGAGAAGCTGCAGCACAGAGTGACGTCTCTCAGCACGGACAGAGATCAGCTGCAGGAGACTCTGGAGGCTCTGAGAGAGCAGAAGCAGCAGATCACACAAGAAATGCAGGACAGGGTGGACACACTGCAGGCTGAGGTTGGTGCTGGAGAGACTTCATTTTTGGGTTTCAACACCAAGTTCCCAGAAACTTGAATGTACTTGTCTGAGGGAGAAGAATTTATAGACCTAGTTTGATGATTTTTTTTTTTCCTTTCTTGGATTGAAAAAAATCCGATTTTATTTTTCGCCTGTATTGAACAGCCTTAGTTGATTCAAACTGTTAAATATCAGTTGTTTTGTTGTCTTTATTTTAATTTATCATTTTTTCACTCTGTCATTCCAGTATGCTGAAACCCAAATTCTACTTCAGACTCTTGAAAACAAGCTTGAGGAGAAGAATTCAGATCAGAAGACACTCTTAGAGCAAAAAGAGTCTGGTCTAATGGAACAGGTGAGATTTCTCTTAGTGAAGCTGTCTTCTTTTCCTTCCCTGTCAGTGTTAAAACTGACTGACCTTGAAAATGATCCCTGCAGATCCAGAGTCTGTCAGCAGAGCTTCAGTGTGTGCGAGAAGAGAAGGAGACTCTGCGGACGTTGGCTCAGAGCTCTGCAGAGGAGACGGAGAAGCTGCAGTCTGCTGTGTCTTCTCTCACCGAAGAGAGAGATCAGCTCAAGACAGACATGCAGGAAAGTGTGGAGATGGTGAGTCAACACCTGACCGTGATCAGTCTGGATTACGACAGAAAATAACAAAAGTTTTCTTTCAGTTGTTTATCTTTGTTTTTATGGATCTCCCAGTCTGAAATATGAATGTGTTCTTGAATTGAACAGATGATAGAAAATCAGGAGGAGCTGCGGGCGGCTCTGGAGAAAAATACAGAGCAGAAAAAACTGATCGAAGAGCTACAGACAGCACAGACACCCAATCAGGACACTCCACAGCCTGAGACAAGTGAACAGCTGGAGAAACTACAAACACAAGTAAGAGTTTCTGCTAGAGCTTTATTTACCTCCATGTGTCTTATAGTTCACTTTCACTTCAACAGCTTCATCACTCTGGTTTTTGCACACACAGATCACACAAGAAGACGGTTGTCAGAGAAACACAAACATACTAGGCTGTGCGCATGAAGGCATCACAGTCATCAAATGATCTTTCATTAGGGCTTACTGGTCATGCCACCCTGCTGATTTCTTCTGTCAGGATACGATTCTGCTATTTTTGTATGTCTGCTTCGGTTCAGCATTTATTCAGTCAGACTTTCCAACCATGTGAGAAAAAATGTCTGAATTTGAAACAGAGACAGGCACACAAAGACATAAACCTGCAGCTTCTGTGTATCATCCAGGAGTGTAATGTGTTTGTATTAAGAGTAATGTTGATTATAAAAGCGGGGATGATTTGAAAAATCTATTTATGGGACAAAGTCAGATACTTAGGGTTCTAGCAGCTTCTACTTCATATCTAGTTTGATGTCTGATTGTTGAAGATAAAAAGTCTCAATAATAAAAGTACAAAAGATTTCACATTGAGGGTTGAGGTGAGTGCTCTGTGAATAAATCCTGATCAATATTTTTCCTGATCCCTCAGATTCAGAGCCTGACGGAGCAGCTGCAGAGCGTCGTATCAGAGAGAGACTGTCTGCTGAGTGAGAGGACGGCCAGCTCTCACAGCGAGGAGATGGAGAAGCTGCAGCACAGAGTGACGTCTCTCAGCACGGACAGAGATCAGCTGCAGGAGACTCTGGAGGCTCTGAGAGAGCAGAAGCAGCAGATCACACAAGAAATGCAGGACAGGGTGGACACACTGCAGGCTGAGGTTGGTGCTGGAGAGACTTTATTAGGGTTTCAATACCAAGTTGTATGCAGCCTGAATTTAATTTATAGTTCAGCATTTTGTCTTGATTTTAGTTGAAGATCTACATTATCCAAAATTAAAAAAAAAAAAATTGGTCTGAGAAATATCTCTAAAATATCCTCCAATGATTCACGTCAATAAGAGCTGCTTTGTTTGGATAAGCTACTGCTGTCTTCATTTTTTTTTCAGAAGCTTTTGATCCCCTACTGTTGCTTCTGCATAGCTGTTGTATCATCTGTTGAATATCAGTTGTTTTGTTGTCCTCATTGTAATTCATCATTTTTCACTCTGTAATTCCAGGCTGCTGAAACCCAAATTCTACTTCAGACACTTGAAAACAAGCTTGAGGAGAAGAATTCAAATCAGAAGACACTCTTAGAGCAAAAAGAGTCTGATCTACTGGAACAGGTGAGATTACTCTTAAGTGAAGCTGTCTACTTTTCCTTCCCTGTCAGTGTTTGAAGTCTTTGACTGACATTAAAAATGATTCCTGCAGATTCAGAGTCTGTCAGCAGAGCTTCAGTGTGTGCGAGAAGAGAAGGAGACTCTGCAGACGTTGGCTCAGAGCTCTGCAGAGGAGACTGAGAAGCTGCAGTCTGCTGTGTCTTCTCTCACCACAGAGAGAGATCAGCTCAAGATGGACATGCAGGAAAGTGTGGAGATGGTGAGTCAACACCTGACCATGATCAGTCTAGATTACAATAGAACATAACACGTTGTTTTCCATCAGCTATTAAACTATTTTTATGGATCTCCCAGTCTGAAATATGAACGTGTTCTTTAATTGAACAGATGATAGAAAATCAGGAGGAGCTGCGGGCGGCTCTGGAGAAAAATACAGAGCAGAAAAAACTGATCGAAGAGCTACAGACCACACAGACATCTAAACAGGACACTCTTCAGCCTGAGACAAGTGAACAGCTGGAGAAACTACAAACACAGGTAAGAGTTTCTGAGGGAATCAGGAAAACTTTAGATCTGTTGGTCAGATAGAAAGTCACAATCATCCTTTGATGAGATGTATCAAAAACAGGAAGGTCACTGCCAGAGCTGGATCAACTTTTTATTATCTCAAAGTTCAATCAAGCTGATTTGTTTGTTTATGGTTTTGACTTTTGCACATAAAGAGGCTGCTCTGGTCTTGTTGTTTGCTAAGGACAAGGTCAAATACCTCGGGTTAGGACCGCTCCTCCTCCCTCTATTTTGATGCTTAATAGTTGTAGATAAGAAGTCTGAATGATCAGAGGACAAAAAGATTTTACATTGATCCCTCAGATTCAGAGCCTGACAGAGCAGCTGCAGAGCATCCTATCAGAGAGAGACTTTCTGCTGAGTGAGAGGACGGCCAACTCTCAGATTCACAGCGAGGAGATGGAGAAGCTGCAGCACAGAGTGACGTCTCTGAGCACGGACAGAGATCAGCTGCAGGAGACTCTGGAGGCTCTGAGAGAGCAGAAGCAGCAGATCACACAAGAAATGCAGGACAGGGTGGACACACTGCAGGCTGAGGTTGGTGCATTCACACACTGATGTGCTGCCCCACCATAACAAAAAAAAGAGTGTTTTTGTTGTAAAGCTCAAACCTGAGAGCCCTACAAAAACAAGTTGGTTCAGGTCTTCTACCAGATTTGATAACAACATAAAAAAGCATGAATTACGGCCATATTTGTCTTAAAAAATTTTCAAAGTTTTTTTAATACGGTGTGATTTTTGTCTTTCATAGATGAACCAGCTTCAAGGTACACTCCAGGCTGTCAGCCAGCAGAAGAACCAGCTGGAGGATGACCTGCAGCAAAACATGGAGACAGTAAGGCGACTTAGATATTAAGAGCCTGCACTAACACACAACTATGTTTTGGAACTCTTACAAAGAAATCTCAGTTTTTTTTTTTAACCATTATTTTCATCTTTTTAGGCCACACAGACTCAAAGTCGTCTGAACTCACTTCAAGAGCAGCTCCAGGAGCAGACAGAGAGAAACATGGAGGTGGAAAGACTGAGCCAGGAGAGACAAACTCAGGTATTAACTTCAAACCATTTCAACTTCATCTGAAATCTTTGTTTCTTTTCTCAAAGACTAAACTTTTTTTCTCTATATCTTGATTTCAGGTCACTGAGGCTGAGTGTCGTCTGCAGTCTGTCCAAGAGGAGCTCCAGCAGCTGAAACAAAAACAAGCGAATCAGATGAAACTCTCTGAGCAGAAGGAATCAGACTTGGAGCAACAGGTCATTTTAACCTTAAATCATTGATGTTTTAAATCGTGTTGCGTCTTCTTAACCAGGGTTTGAGACTTAAAGTTGAATATTTTTGTTCAAACAGATAAAAGGTCTATCAGAGCAGCTCGTGGGTGTCCAAGCAGAGAGAGACGACCTGCTGTTGGAGAAAGAGGCGAGCTGTCAGAGAGTCTCAGAGGAGATGAGGAGACGAGTGACGTCTCTCAGCACGGACAGAGATCAACTGCAGGAGACTCTGAACGCTCTGAGAGAGCAGAAGCAGCAGATCACACAAGAAATGCAGGACAGGGTGGACACACTACAGGCTGAGGTTTGTGCATTCATACAAACATGGTTAGTCTTATTGTTAGTAAGGCTTTTATTTGACATGTTTCCTTTTATCTTCAGATCACATCCCTCCGAGAGCAGCTGAGCAAGCAGAAGGTGGAGGAAGCGGAGAGAGAGGCTGAGCTGCAAGAAAAAGTACATCCAACTCATCTCATAGTGCTGGAATTTTCTCTCACCTGTGAGCTCTGTACTGACCATGTCTCTGTCGGTGAATTTTCAGGTGCAGCAGCTCAAGGAGGAGCTTCAGGTGACCAGGGAGAAACAAACAATTCCTGAGACTGAAGCTGACACTTCACAGCAGGTCTGTTATCACCCCTTCTGGTCTGAACTGAACTCAGAGTTTCAGGATCGATCATCCTCATCGAGTTAGCGGTCACTTCTTTTAGCTCCATCTGCTGAGTATTAGGATGTAACAACAAAATATGGAGGCTGTTTATTACAGATGGGAGAAAAAATTTATTCATATGCGTATCGCAATTTTTTTTTTTTTACAATTCGGAGATCTTTTTATTTGTTGTTGTTCAAAAATTGATTGTTTTTTTTTTTTTTTTTTTTTTATTCCAATTTGGGGATCTTTTTTTGTTCAAAAATTGATTGTTTTTTTTTTTACAATTTTGAGCTTTTTTTTTGTTGTTCAAAAATTTTTAAATTATTATTATTATTTTTTTTTTATTTAAGGATAAGTCTTAAAAAATGACTTACATGTGATGTGTATTTTTGGGGGAAATATGGTTCCTGGAATAGTCAGTAGACAATTCTAATCATTCAACCGTTTCATTGGTGTTAAAAATGCAGACTAAAAATCAAGAAAATCGACAATATAATAGAATCACAATTTAAATCGAATCGGCATCCAAAAAAATCATAGAAGAATCGAAATGGGAGAAAACCATTATGTCCCAGCTCTATTGTTTATCATAGCATATGCAAAAAAAAACAAATAAATAAAGGTTCAGTCCTTCATTTTTTTTGTTTGCTTCTCTTTTAGTTGCTCAGTGAAGCAAACAAAAGCACTTACGCTCTTCAAGAACAGCTGAGCAGCAAGGTCAGAGAGTCCGCAATGTCACGACTGCAAGAATCCACCGACCAGCTTCAGGTAATTTCAACACATTTTGACTTTATTGACGTCTAAGAGCTGAGCATAAACTCTGACACCACTCTACTCCCATTACAGGAGGCCCTCAAGAAGTTCGAGGACTTCCACAAATTCTGTTTCAAGTACAACTCTAAAGCTCTGAAGAAGATTCAGCGCGACATGCCTTCTCTGACCCATCTGCCAAATACCACCTTAAACCTCTTCAATGCCGTCGATGAGATGGGGCAGCAAGGTTTCCGGACTCTGGGAGAATTCATGGTAAAAATAGAGTTTCTTACAATTTAAAAAGTGAGAGAGGTCTCATCAATTAAGGGTCTAAAATGAACGTTCCTGCCGCTTGCCTCCTCAGGACAACTTGCAGGCGAGGGCCCAGGGCTACAAGACTGTCTTTGAGGATCTGGTGCAGAAAGATCTGGATGTTTACGAGGAGAGACGCCTGCAGGACGTGCTGCAGTGCAAAGCTCAGGCAACCAGCTGCTCTTTGAAGGATGAAGATTTCAACATGTTGTGGGAGCAAAGACTGAGCAGGCTGCTGGAGAAAAGAACCCTCTGCCTGCAGGTGAGCTCTGATGCTCTGCATGTCACTTTTTCTTGAAGGAGTTTCTGTCCTTTTTTAGAATGAAAAAGCCACAACTCCATTTCAAGGCAAGAAGAAGAATCATTGGAAAATCTGCAGTGAAACAGGAAGTCATCATTTACAGTTTCTCTGTGTTTTACAGGATATGGAGAGCGTTCTGGGGAAGCTGTGGAAAATCATCGAGCCTTTCTGCCAGGAGCTGCAGATTGAGATGAAATCGATGGAGAGATTAGCTGGCAATTTCAAGAACATCATGAAACAGCCAGTCAGCTACGGCAACAACTTCCTGAGTCAGGAGCAGGACCTCAGGTCTGCAGAGGCTCACAACCGGGCGAAAACTTTCCAGGTAAAAGCAGTTAATACACACCACTGTTTTTGTATATCCATACATTTTTGTTTGTTTGAAAGAAGTTATTCTGCTCCCTGTTTTTGACTTCATGTTTGATCACTTGATTACAGTTTGGATTGTTCACAAAAGAAAAGGTACCAAACGGATTCCTACACTAGATTAATCTAAGTGTAATTGCTTGTCTGCGCCCCACAGAGCATCACTGATGAGCACAACCGACAGGCTGAGTCGCTCAAGCTGCTTCAATCTCAGACCGACAACGAGCTCAGAGAGGAGAGAAGCAGGAGGTCCACTCTGCTGCAGGCACTAGAGGGCGCTCCTCTGAAGACAGAGCCGTCTCTGCTGAAAGACAACCAGCGACTTCTTTTGAAGCTCCAGCAAACTGAGGAGAGAATCAGAGTAAGTACGCTTCATGTGTGTCCTTTGACATTCAGTGCAAATGAAACATCTAATCTGTAGTAACAGTGAGCTCAAGCATTTCTACTTTTGAGTAATCATAATCCACATCTGAAGAAAGATTTAGTAACTGTACTTCAAGCAAACAAATTCATATAACTCAGGACAGGGTCGTGTTCACCTCTGTGTTTCATGAGCGCCTCTTTTACCAACACTCTGGAAATGTTAGTGAGCCCAAGAGACCCGTTTCTGGAGTTTTTGCAGGCTGCTATTTGAGTTACAACAAATATGAGGGTTTGAAAATCTTCATATGGAGGTTGGATCCACTACCTACAAAAAGGGATAAGGGCCACAAGAAGAGAAAAAAATTATTACAGGAGGGAGATTTTTAAAATTTCGAGATTAAAGTCAAGATTTTAAAAAGTCAAATTTTCGACTTTATTCATATTGACTTTAATGTCACAATTTCAACTTAAATTTAAAATTTTATTAATTAACATTAATAACTTTTCAACATTTTGTTATCTCCAAATTTCAACTTTAATCTGGAAATTTTGTTTTTAATGTCAAAGTACGGACTTTATTAACATAATTTAGATTTTTTTTAGTCTCGAATTTCGATTTTAATCTCCTTCCTGTAATTATTATTATTTTTCTCTTCATGTAGCCCTAATCCTCTTTCACAATTATCTCATCTCAAACAGAAAGAAAATAATTACAGGAAGGAAATTAAAATCAAAATTTCAAGATTGAAAAAAATCCAAAATTATGTCAATAAAGTCAATATTTCGACATTAAAAATTGAAATTTCGAGATCAAAGTCGAAATTTGGAGATAACAAAATGTCGAAAAGTTAATAATGTTGAAATTTTGAGATTAAAAAAATTTAAATTATGAGATTTAAGTTGAAATGTTGACATTAAAGTCGACATGAATGAAGTCAAAACTTCAACCTTTTAAAGTTTCGAATTTCATCTCAAAATTTGGTCTTTAATCTTGAAATAGAAATTTGAAAAAAACCTCCCTCCTATAATTATTTTTTTTCTCTTCATGTAGCCCTTATCCTCTTTCATGATTATCTCATCTCAAACAGGCATGGCTGGAAAACCTAAATGTGTGACAGTTGTGTTTTTTTTTGTGTTTTCAGGCTTTGTGTGAAGAGAGAGAGCAGCTGGAGGAGGCTCAAATCACCACCAACAGCCGCTTGTCCAACCACAAACAGGCCACGCAGCTTCTGCAGACCGAGCTGCAGGACAGCCAAGCACAGGTGGAGGAGAAGGAGAGCATAATCCAGACTCTGAGAAGCAAACTGAGGCAGTCTGAGGTTCGTCTAAACAGCTTCTCTTATAAATATCAGGGATGGCTGTGGCTTATATCTTTGCAATAAATTCTAACTTTACATGCTCTGCTCTGAGCAGTTTTTTTGACATGATGATCATTTTGTTTTAGGAAAACGCCCCCCCAAGTGTTGCAGAGCTGGAAAAACTGAAAAATAAACTTTTCAAAGTGGAGACAGATTTGAGCTCAGCATCTGAGAAACACCAAATAGAGTAAGAGCTTGATTCTCTTTCTCTGATATTGTGATTGGTTAGTGGTGTGTTGTAGTTTTAGGGTTTTAGTGTTTTCCTTCTTTTTAAGTCGTTATATAAGAAATGATTAAACCTTTCAGTTTGTTTTTTGTGACGAATAATGGGGAAAATCGGACGTCCTCGACCGACTTTGTTTCCCCTCTCAAAAAGAAAACGTAGGCTCTTCATTTACTGACTCTTTGTCTTTGTCAGGATCAAGAGGATGACTGCACTGCTGAATGGAAAAGAGGAGTCTCTAAGAAAGCTGAAGGAGACTTTGAGGAAATCACAGCAGCAGGGAGAGGAGTCCTGTAAGTCAGCAGGAAGTTAGTTTTAGTGTAATAACTATTTCAACATTTTGGTCCCTGTTTGTGGAGCTCTTTGTTTGTAACTCATCTAAAGAAGATAATAACACACTGTGGTTGTTTTGAATTCAGTCCTACAGGGTGAGGACCTTCATGCCAGACTGACAAACCCCAAAGGTTCACTCATCACGAGCAGTGTCCTGCAGGAGAAGGCCAAGCTGGAGGAGGAAGTGAAACAGCTTCATCTGAAAATAGCCGAGCTGGAGAGGTGAGGCAACGTTTGACGGTGAAACTTCTCAGACAGGTGGTGTTTAAATTGTCGTAGCTGACATCTTGTCCCTCTGTCACATCAGCCTGGTGTCCAGTCAGCTGGTCGAGATCAACAAGTGGAAGAGCCGAGCCGTCAAGCTGAAGGCCAAGAACAAAAGCGACACGGACAAGTCACCCCCTCGCACTCCAGCCAAAAGAGACCTCCCCGACACCTCTGACTCTTCCATCATCCACAGCCCACTGAAGAAGTTTGTAGCTGCTCCCAGGGAGGTTCTCGACTCTCCAAGAAAGATTTTGTCTGTCAAGAATCTGCCCGACTCTCCCAAGGTCCCTTGGCTCAACTCTCCTAAGAGCAGGTTCTTCGATATTGAAGGGAGTTCAGATCTGATTTCCAGGAACTGTCCCAAACAGTTCTTTGATAACTCCGGCCTGGGAACTGTTCCAGGTAAGTTTTAGCTTAAGTTCCTTACTGTACTGTTATGTGATAATGGCGACATCATATAGACCTGCACTGTTTGTTTTGACAGAGATCTCCCAAGCTCCTGACACATCAGATGCAGAGAGGGGTAATTGCTGTTTCGTAGAGCTATGTTTCACTGAGGGTGTGCTAACAGAAACACAGGGTAATAGGGTTTAACCAGTCTCCCTTATCAGGACACATGCACCAACCCTCTTTCGTCAAAGCCATAAGACTCCATTGACAAAATCAATCAATTTATATTGATCAGGGAGAGGGTGCTGCTGTCCATGTTGGCTTAGTTTCACTGGGTAATTGTGTGTAATGAAAATATCTTGAATCTGAACTAACTATCCATTTAAAGCCTCTGATTGTAAAGCAAACTAAAGATTTATTAAACTTGATAATTGAAAGAAAACACCAGGTCCTGCTGACTGCACTCTTTAGCATGTTAAAACCCATAATTTGTTGTTTGAAAGTACTTTTCTCCGGTTTAGCCATGCCCCACGGGTCCAGGTCCAGTTTCCCCTTGTGGCCTCTTTCACGTCACTCATCACTCTCTCCTTTGTTTCCTGCTCTATCCACCATCCTCTATCTGTCACTTAAGTCCAGTAATTTTCTTTGTTTCAAGTGTGGATAATTGATTTTGTCTAAAACAGAATCTGGTGTGTTGCAGGTGCAGCAGTTGGAGGACTGTCCGCGGACAAAAAGGAGGAGTGGTGGCCTCTTACTCAAGAGAAGGAACAATGCAAAACTCAGTAAAATGTTCCACATGTGCAATATTTGTCTTTTTAAATGTCTTTAGCTTCAGTATTTTTAGTTTGAAATAAAAGTATGTCTTAAGAAAATCTTGATTCCGTCCTCTTTTTCATGAGTCAGTCTGCTCACTGTTTGCTTTGTCCGTATTTGTTCTGATATTTTAATTTTGTCAAGGTGCACATTGGTCTTTTTTTTTTTTAGTCTTTTTTGTATGCATCTCTGTGTGTGAGCGAGTTGAGAGTGCTGTATGTGTTGAATGGGGGTTGGGAGGGTGGCTGGGGTTTGGTATTTGTGTTTTTATTTTATTCAGTAATTAAGTTTGTTTTAAATGAAACCAAAATGATTAAAATAACTAAAACTGATTAAACTGCAGGAAGCCATTTTGATTTTTTAGTAGACTACATGGTCAGTCTTGCGTACTTTTAAGCAAAAAAATACTTTTAAAAGTATATTACATTAGATATTCATTAAAATTTGGAACTTAACTTCATATGTAAAGGTCTACAAAGAGTATCAGAGTGGATTCTTCTGAGAAAGATACACGGTTTATTTCCTGAATTTTTAAAGTCTTGCAAAAAGTAACTTACAGCATATCATACATTTGCTGAAAAGGACGAAAAAAAACATAGAACGTACATTTGATCCTGATAAGATTCCACCTCGTTTTCAAAGTGAAAAACTCTGGCTTTTATTTTGAAGGGCTGGTATACAGTGTACATGATGCAACCAATGGGGGAATACGAAAGTGAATGCGTCTGTACGTAGAACGTCATTACGTCGTGCGCGCGCGGGAGCTTTGGTTATCAAACAGTCGAGTTTGAGGGAAACACAAAAAGCGAGCAGGTAGGTGAACAATTCTGCCAATATCCCCAAAATTACACTACAATTTCAGCTGTTGGAAAAAGGTAACATATAGGGAAACATTGGTTCGGGTTTACTACTTGATTCGGTTGTGGTTTTATGTTGTTAGAGGATGTTTAACGTCAGCTTCATGGTCGAACTGATGTGAAATAGCGCTAATGCTAAGAAGGTAACAGCTGAAGTTGGAGGAGGACTGAAAATTCGGTCAACAGTGTTGCTAAGATCTGTCAGTTATGCAAGTCGTTTAAGTTAGTCACTGAACTGTTGATGGCACTAAATGAAACTCAGACGATAGTGAAGACTCAGCTCTAACATGTTAGCTGTCCGACTCAGAGTAAAGAGACAGAAGGACTTCATACATGTCAGGACTCTTCACTTCTCTCTAACCCTCTATGTGCTTTAGGTTTTCTCAGCATGGCGATGAGGAGCGAGGCCCGGGTGGAGGCAGAGGTGGAGGAGGAGGAAAACTTTGGGCCACAGCCTTTGTGCAGACTGGAGGTGTGTATCCTGAGAATCACAGACACAGTGCTTCACTTCGTCTAAATGTTACAACATCCTATAAACTGTCTCTACACGGCTGATTAGGAGAAGTGAAAGCTCATTAACTTTATGCATAATGGTGGACAAAGTGCACATTTGCATCACTTTAGAGGAAGAATAAGGCATTACCACGGCGCTAAATAAAGAAAGCATGCAAATTCCAGGACCACTCTGACTGACCTTATTCCCTACATGCAGCTATCAAATCCACCCAAACCTACGTGTTCGGGTGAAAATCATCCGAACACGACCCTGTAGGAAAAAGCAGGTTTTGGATCAGGGAAATAAATATGTCTTCAAAGACGTCAAAGGTAATGCTGAAGCTACACAGAGACCCATGATACTCAGACAAACGCAACATAGTGAGAATCACGTAAACATGTTCAGTCGGGTGAAAATCACCCAGTGATAGTGTTCTAGGGTTAATGGTCTAGGAGCTTTGTGAAGCAGGGCCTGCCAGTTTAATTTACATCTAAAAAGAGGTCATTGATTCATATATTAGATTTTAACACAACGTATGTTACCATAGGGAATATTTTTGGGGTGTTATAACAGTTTAGGGGGGGTGGTCTAAACAAGAAACAATCTTTTTTTACAATATAAGCTGGTAAACAACCCGCAAACAGACACCAGCTGATCAGAGAGAACATTAAACAGGTAGAGGAACCAAAGGCGTATAGTACAAGAGCAAATATTTCTAGTAACCTGATCTTATTCAATAATAAAAAACAATTTACCTGTTGCCAATGTGATTTGTTCCACCTTTTGTGAAAAATAAAATGAAATGAGAATCAGCTGAGGTCCAAATAAAGAGCTTGTATGAGTGAATTTATGTAGTCTAGTGGCTCCATGAAAACAATGTAACAATCTGCTTCACACCTTTTAAACAATCTACTTGTGCAATGCAAAACTTTGTCATCATAAGACCCAGAAATATAGGTTTAATAAATAGAGAGAGGCTTGATTTGTCCTCATATCCAACAACCCTCTCAGAGTTTCATTCCTTGAGAATTTAAGCCGTAATTTCTGCTGCTCTGATGTCTTTACTTGAAGCAATGTGGAATCAGTGCCAGTGACATCAAGAAGCTGGAGGACGCCGGCTTCCACACCATCGAGGCGGTGGCCTACGCTCCCAAGAAAGAGCTCCTCAACATTAAAGGAATCAGTGAGGCTAAAGCTGACAAAATCCTGGTGAGGAACAGAACCACATTGTCTCTTTCAGCATTTAGATTTATTTACTGAGGCTCATGCGTCTTCGGTGTCTGACCTTTTCTTCTTCCTTTTCAGACAGAAGCTGCCAAACTGGTGCCGATGGGTTTCACTACAGCTACAGAGTTCCACCAGAGGAGAGCCGAGATCATTCAGGTCTCTACAGGCTCGAAGGAACTCGACAAACTGCTGCAGGGTTGGTACAGCTATCTGTAAAATAACCAGAAGTTCAGTCAGTCAATAGAGTGATTAGTTATGTAAGGAAACAGTCTCAGTCACCATGAATAATCAGAGGTGGTGGGAATCCTGATGCGAACAGAGTAACTCCAAAAGCAGGAAAAAATGAATGTTTATTCCTTCTGCAGGTGGGATTGAGACGGGCTCCATCACGGAGATGTTTGGCGAGTTTCGGACAGGGAAAACCCAGCTGTGTCACACACTCGCAGTCACCTGCCAGGTACAGTTCAGACAGCTAGAGGAGGAAACCTGCCAGTAAGGACTTTGTGTGGCGAACTTAATATGCTGAGCAGACAGACGGCAAGCATACGAGTAAAAGAAGTTGTTTTGACTCTGGTTTGACTCTGTGTCCTCAGCTGCCCATTGATCAGGGGGGAGGAGAAGGTAAAGCCATGTACATCGACACAGAGGGAACCTTCAGACCGGAGAGACTGCTTGCTGTCGCTGAGAGGTCAGTCACATCAAACATCATGTTACAGGCGTTAACAGTAAAAAGCTGGAGAAATACTGTTTAAAACCTGCAGCAAGATGAAAAGACATCTCTCTGTGCTCTCAGGTACGGGCTGGTGGGCAGTGACGTTCTGGATAACGTGGCGTACGCTCGAGCTTTCAACACAGACCATCAGACCCAGCTGCTGTACCAGGCCTCTGCAATGATGGCTGAGTCCAGGTCAGTCTGTCTTCTTTTGAATAGAGTCTAAGGAAATTTGCTTCTTCCTTTTGATTTCAACTAAGAGAGGTTGTGATGTTTATGTATGTTTATGTAAGGGTGCTGGTCAGCTTGGCACCGTTGTTGACAAACTGAATGGAAGCGAGGCTGTCAACCAAAGCTATTTTTTTGCAACAGGGTTTAGTAAATTTAACAAAAAAAAAGTCTGCAGACTCAAGATGTGTGTGGAGTTTATTTCAGCTCAACTGCAGAGCCTTTAATTCCTCATCAGAACAGAAACAGCTCTGCAAGACCCTAAAGTGACTTTGTTAGTTACATTTTTTCTGTGTGTTAGAGCCATCATACACAGATCAAAGTGTGTATTCCAGCAGCTAACACACTCTCTCTGCATGTGTGTGTGTCAGGTATGCTCTGCTGATCGTGGACAGTGCCACAGCTCTGTACAGAACAGATTATTCCGGCAGAGGAGAGCTGTCAGCCCGACAGGGACACCTGGGACGATTCCTCCGCATGCTGCTCAGACTGGCAGACGAGGTAACAGCTTCATTTTTATTGTAGTTCTACGGTGGCCGAGAACCGCGACTGCTGCAAATAAAAAAGTACGCAAAAAAAAGAAGCCACAACAGAAGGACCGAAGCCTGCTGCAAATAAAAGAAGAAACAGTGCAGATAAAAATTTTTTTTAAAAGTCACAACGGAAGTTAACGACGCAAAAAAGGGGGTGATGCAAAAAAAAAAAAAAGGTTATCCCTGTGGAAATAAAAGGATGCAAGTTAAAAAAAAAGGCACAACTGAAGTGAGCTGTCAGGAACCAATAATGATGATGCACCGATGTTTTACGATCTAGACACAGAAGACATCAGCAAGAAGACGAGCAAAGAACTAAGTGGAAAGGCAATTGTTTAATTTCGCTTTGTGTCATTTGGTTAGGCCATGTTAAGTCGATATGAAGTGAACTGAAGGATGCTGGGGTAGTGTTAGCTTTGACTGACATGGTAAACTCACTGTGCCTCAAAAGACCACTTATGAGAGGAGAATCGAGTTCAGTAGCTGTACGGTTCGGTTGCTTTACTCATAAAAATAAGTATGCAGACCCCTCGCTTTTTTCCATTATTGGTCCACGGCAGGTCACTCCTGTTGTTGCTGTAACTGTAACTTCCATTGTGGCCTTTTTTTAATTTGCATCCTTTTATTTTGGCAGTAAGTATTTTATTTATTTTTTTTTTTTTTGCATCGCCACTTTTTTTTGCGTCATTAACTTCTGTTGTGGCCTTTTTTAAAAATCTGCACCGTGTTTTTTATTTTTATTTTGCAGCTGTCTCCCATTTCTTTTTTTTTTCATCAGTAGCTTCCATTGTGGCTTCTTCTTTTTTTTTTTTTTTGCATTCTTTTTTATTTGCGGCAGTGGCAGTTCTTGGCCCCCATGGTAGTCAGATCAGAGACTTTGTAAAGACCAGGGGCCTCATGTATCAACGCTTGCGGCGCAAGAAAACCTTGCGTACGCCAAAATCGGCGCACACGTCCAGATTTATCATCGCGAAACGAGCGTCGGTTCCAGCGCTAATCAACGCAAAGTCAGGAGGTGGTGTAGAAATTGGCGTTGAGCTGGATATTTGCGTTGACTGTGATTCGCACTTTGGCGACGCTGTGTGGCGGTGTTTGGTGACTCACTATGTGACAAGCGTGCACCACATCCCCGTGGCCGGGCAGCACGTCGCCCCACATGACGAACCAGCAGCAGACGGAGGGATGCGAGCTGATCCCTGCCGGGCCGCCGTCCTCGCGCGGGAGAATCTCATCGCCACAGTGTGAATGGGTAAGAAGTGAATACACAGTTCAATGAGCCAAATTAATTTATTTTCTCCACCAGACGCTCGAGGAAATTTACGAGCCGGTCCAGCCGCTCGTTGATCCCCGCGATCCCCCTGATGATTTCTTCCTGCGATTGCAGGACCCCCTCCGCGAGGACCCTTCCACTGCGTCCGGGTGGTCCAGCGGAAGCGCCGCGGCTGGTGGACGCTCCACCGCTTGTCGGCGCGCTGGTGCTGATGCTGGTGCTGGGGCCGGGGTGGCCCGAATGCCGCTGGTCCTGGCCGACGACTCCGAGCCGGCGGACGGGCTGCCGCGGGCCGGGGTTCCGCAAGCCGGCGACACGGCCGACACATTAATTTCTGTGACACAATAAAAATATTAGTTCATTTCAATTCCTGCTTCTGTGTATCTGTTGCGTTTACATCTCTCTCCACGGTATCATAGGTAATGTAATCCAGTATTTCGAAGTCAGTTATGCACATTACAGTTGTTTATTGCATAAAAAGTTATTGAAAAATGAAGTTAAGGGCGAAGTATAAATCACGTCTAAAAATAGACTGAATCCCGACGTTGAAATGAAGTATAAACTTAGACTAGACGTCTAATATACGTCTTTTGCTCAGTGGGATGACAAAGCATGTGGACATTTGTGTGACACGCCACTTACCCTATAATAATAATCGCCACCACCCGCTGCTCAAACGGTGTGAGGGTCTCCTCCCCCGGACCCCCACCTGTCTGGCCGGTACTCCTCCGGAGGGCAGCTGTACGCCGCTTGACCTCCACCTTGAGGTCCGACCACTTTTTTTTAATCTCCGCGGGGGTGCGTGTCTCGGAACCCACCGCATTCACCCTCTCGCAAACTTTCTCCCACTCCAAGCGTTTTTGTTTTGCACTGACGCCACTGGACAGGCTGCCAAACAAAACACGCTGTCGCTCCTCCACCTCCGCCACCAGCACCTCCACCTCGCACGCCGTAAATGTAGTTTTTCTTGTCATTTTGTCTGCGTGCGAGGACAGGGAGACCCTATTTAAATAAATCTGCATATTTATAGGAGGGCGTAACGGGGACGGGCCCAGTCACTCCGACATCTGCGCTCAATTCCACGCTGATTGGGATTTATCAAGGAAACACACGTGGATTTCGGCGCCCGCACACATTGATACATACGGATTTTTTTCAGCGTGACGGACCTTGCGTGCGCTCGTTTCTGGTATGAGTTCCACGCAAGTGTTGATACATGAGGCCCCAGATCCCCACATTTCTAAATCATTAAACCAGTTAATGGTTTAGCTACATTTCTCTTTATTTTATTGAAACTGAGTAAACATGATCCAGATATATCCTGCTGCAGACTCCTAACTGTCTCTTTGGTCCATCATTATGCTTTCCTGTGTTGTGACAGTTTGGCGTTGCCGTGGTGATAACCAACCAGGTGGTAGCACAGGTGGACGGGGCCGCCATGTTTTCTGCAGATCCAAAGAAGCCCATTGGAGGAAACATTATGGCTCACGCCTCTACGACACGGTGAGAAGAACAGGGATTAATTATCTTTACTTTACAGACTGATGGACTCTAAATCTAGAGGAAAAACGACCCAGGCTGAAAGTAAGTTCACGCAAAGTTCTTGACAGGCTCAGATTGTTATTATTTTAGTCAGAAATAACAATGATAGATAAAATAAGACAGGGGTAGGATGAGACAACAACTCCTCTGTGATGGGACTTATTCACCGGGTGAGGGTAGTGCTATCTTTTCTGTCTTCAGCTCCATCACAAAATGTTGTCATGACTCTTAAATTGTCTCAAATTTGATCTTTTCTTCTCAGTTTGTACTTGAGGAAAGGACGAGGAGAGACGAGGATATGTAAGATCTACGACTCGCCCTGCCTGCCGGAGGCTGAAGCCATGTTCGCTATCAACGCAGACGGAGTCGGAGACGCTAAGGACTGATGAGAGCTGGGTGGTATTTGTCTCTGTCACACTTGCTGCTTCATCCATGGACTTTATTGTGTGTTTGTGATTTTCATCCCCTAACATCGCCTTCACAAAGCCTGATGGGAGGAGGGACGGAGGGAGTGAGTGTAGGATTTGGTTTGATGTTGATTTAGAGGAGGAGGTCAAGGCTGCAGAACTGAAGTGAACATCTGTAGCTCGGAGGAGCATGGATGAGGACTGTTTAGTTTTCTGCGAAATGAGGCCAAACTGCATTCAGCTCTGGAAAAATCTCAAGTCCTGCATCTCAGAATGTTCGCAACATGACCCAAATTACAAGATCTTTCTTATTACTTCTTCATTACATTATACAAAAGATTTTTTTTCATGTGATTTGGGAGCAACCAGAGCTACGAAGATCTCAGGATAATGAAACATGAAATCCAAACAAAGTAAGCCTCCTTTTTTTTGGTTCAATGCAGTTTGGTGCTGCTGTTATTCAGAGGAGTGATGGAAAAATAATTTGTGAACTGTTTTAATCATTTATAAGAATTTGTTTCCTTTTCTGTTTGTTTATGTGTTCCTGTTGTGTGGTGTGTTTCTCATTTGGACGTCCTGACAGTAAAATGTAAACTGTGGAACCTTTTAGAGCAGTGGTTCTCAAGTCCAGTCCTCAAAGCCCAATGTTCTGGATGTTTCCCTGCTCCAACACACCTGATTCAAATTATCAGCTCGTTATCAAGCTCTGTAATGGCTTAACGAGCTGATCATTTGAATCAGGTGTGTCAGGGAAACATCCAAAACATGCAGGACAGTGGGCCTCAAGGACTGGACTTGAGAAACACTGCTTTAGAGGAAGATGTAAAAAAATATATATGTTATAAGATTTCAGTTCTTCTAGAAACCTTACAGAAGTGTAGCTTCACAAGAGGTTCCACTCTTAACTCTTCTAATACTCCCTTTCAAAATAAAATACAGGCAAACGAAGCCTAAAATTTCCACTTTGGTCACACAAAATTGCAGCTTTATCAACTTTCTCTGAAACTCCTCAAATCTCTTTTTTTAATTTCTTTTTGAAGAGTATCCAGTACTCTTTGAAAAAAGATCTTTACACAGCATGACGTTCAGAGAGGAAGAAGTTGTTTTTGATAGTACAATTTTCATAAGTCTTCAGTTTTATTCCTCAAACAAAAGAGTGACTGTAGATAAAGACAGAAGATTGAAAAGTTTATTTGGCACCTTTTCTGAGAAATGTAGACGCACTTCAGCGCTCTGTGGCTGAAATCTCCATTACAACAACAAACACTTTTCCTGTAACAAATAAGCGTAGAAATACAAAAGTTTCAAGACTGTTTAAATCTAAAAAATGGGCAAAAACACTATCGTGACACAGGCGAAATCTTCCTCTATAGGTTTTCACATTTTGTTGTTGACGCTAATCCTATAATTCAGCTCATGTAACTTCTTTGAAGTAGTGTTTTGGACGTCACCACTGTTGCTTTTTTTTCTCTCCTTTCTGTTTGTTTGTATTATAACCTTCTGTAAAAAAAGCTTTGTCGCTAAATTAAATTTGTTTTACTATTAAACTGCCATGTTTTGTTAACAGCATCATGAAAGGGCTTCATATCGTTATGCATCATCAGCTTGTGGTCATGCTGAATTTAGTACAGACAGGGTGAGACAAGACACATCCTTGACATTATCATGTTAATTATCCAGCTGCCAACTAAATATGCAAACAATAATCATTAGAGATGAAATTATGAAATTAAAATTTTCAATTAGGATGAAAAAGTAGTAATTAGTAGAAAAAAAGGCATCATAATAATAATATGAAAAGTCAAAATTATGAGGAAAAAGTCATGATAAAATTACAACAAAATTGCAAAGTTATCATCAAAACAGATTAATCAACAATAATGAGGTCAGAATAACCATCAGTACAGGCAGTTTTGACCAATCAGGGATCAGCGATTCAGGCTGTAAGAGAAATACAACGACAGATCAATGATTAAAAAACAAAAACTTTATTTCATGTAAACCAGGTGTCAGTCAAGTGCATGTTTACCTCTTTACGGTGGTATAGAATAATATGGGTATTAAACATGTCAGCTACAGCTGTGACTGCAAAATAACTTCAAAACATCAGAACAAAAATGGAAAAAATACAAAACAAACAGCAGCTTCACTTTCACATCAAAAAAATAAGTTACTCCAAAATTAAAGGCAAAAAAAAAAATCAGTGTCATCTTTTCAAACACACCAATCAGATCACTCCTCACATTAAATCCCTGCAAAACATCCGACTGGAAATGGTCCAACACAGCTGCTTCTTTTTACTCTTTGTTACTGAGGGTCAGTATTTAAAATAAACACCAAAATATGACAGTATCACTTTGTTTCCACATCACACACACACACACCAACCATGGGCAGCTGAAATGGAGCCGTTCATCAATTTTTAATCCATCAAGAATAGAGTTTTAGTTTTGTTTCTAGGTTTTTTAAAGCTTTTCAAACGTCCCTGATCAAACTGGAGCTCTGTTTTCTCTTCACATCAGTATCAGTAAAATTCCCACATGGTGAACAACTTCGCTCCCTTTTACATCGCGAGATATTGACTCCATTTGCCGATAACAAGCTTTGGATCCAGTGAGTTCTTTTGGTGGCAAAGAATCAAAAATAACCATGACCAAATATAATCAAAGGTCGATCTGTCTGTATGGATATTTTTCTTACAATTTACTCTCTGAGTTTACCCCCAAAATATTTGTTTTTAGTTGAACTGTTCCTTTAAACTATATTACATTTATGTGACCGTGCTAATCGGTTAAAAAGGCAAACAAAGTGTTAAAAAAAAGCACTGAAGAACAGAATAAATGGCATGTACATTACAATATATATTACTCTGTTAAAGTGACTCAATTAAAGTTTGCAAAAAATTAATATACATCAATAATCTCTTAATTTATTTCACAGTGACAGTATGACGGAAATATCAACTGGTTATAGGAGAGGAACGAAAAGGAAGTGCCGAGCATGTCTGATTGGATAATGAGACGGCTGAGGAGCCAATGAGAGACTTCTGCTCAATGAGTTCAGATCTTTCTGTTGGTTAAGACTCGAAGCTGAGACTCCAGTTTGGATGTTTCTTCATCCTGTAAACGAAGAAAAAAGAATTTTGAGGTCTCAAATAAAAAATCTGTCTCATTAAGACCAAAATAGGACCCGGGTACAAAGGTACCAAAGTCTTGTATTAACACAGGAAAAGTGTTGTTACATCATCGTCGTTGGTGTCCATCTTCAGAGCCAGCTCGGTCCAATTTGTGGCCTCAGAGATGTTTCCCAGCTCCTGGTGACACTGCAGGTCGGAAAACAAGATGAGGATGGTGAGAGAGTATGTACAGTCCTTACAATCATGTCGAACCACTTTAAAACTGGGGGCAACATGAATTCTGGCATCAAGTTTACCGAGTCCCATCATCAAAATGGAGACAAAGCTTGTGAAGTGAAGGATTGATGCTTTTAGTGCCAGAACGTATCGTTCAATTTCATCAATTTGAGGTTTTAAGGCATTTAAATAATTGTGGTTCTGATTTTTGCCATGATCAAGCAGCCTAGCACATATTAATTGTTGGTTTCTCTAAATCTGTCCCTTTCGTTTGTTGTTGTCCTTTTCTGTGATCTATCGCATGACTCTGTGGTAACCAACTGTTTACCTTGGCGATGTAAAGTCTCACGGTTTTGGAAAATCCTGGACTGAGTTCCTCAGCCTGCAAGTTCACACAAGAAAAAGATGGTACATTTAAAAGAAATCATTTGAAGATCAAATATCCACTTGGCTATTTACTTTTGCTGCATTTGAGTTACTTTGGAAGTCAGTTGTCGGAACTGAAAATTACATCACACCCGAGTTCCCGGCGTTTCAGTTACCAAGTCGAAAAAAGTCGAAAGTTATTTTAGCACCTATCCTTATATTCAGACAAGGCAAGAGCTAAAATAACTTTCGTAGATGTAGCCATCTTGTTTCCGCCCCCTTTTGCTTTTTTCCGACTTTGTAACTGAAACGCTGGTAACTCGGTGTGACGTCATTTTCAGCTCGACATCTGACTTCGAAGGTAACTCGAACGCAGCAGATCTACTGCAGCAGCGTGGTACCTTGAGGAAGTTTTCGAGGGCGTCATGCAGCGTGGAGGTGGGCGGGGTCTGATAGACGGCAGCAGCTGCCTTCTTCTCCAACCAGTCCAGAGTGGCGACCTGCACACACAAACACATCTAGTTTCAGCATTGAGGGCTGTCTCAGGGTTAGATTTTTCACAGCCGTCAAAACGACAAATGAATTCTGACTAACAAACTAGTGTAAGTCGCTCATTATTTAAAAAACAGCCTCTAGTCTCACCTCGTAGCACCACCTGCCGAGGAGGTAGAAACACATGGGGTCATCATCTCTGAGGGCGATGGCTCGGTCCAGATGCTCCTGAGAGGAGAAGGAGGAGGAGTCACACTCTGTTTTACATCTTTATGATTCAAATGAACAACGGATCACTGACACCAGGGTCACCTTTAAAATGTGGCTGCTCTTCAGTTTGCTGTGCATGCTCTCATGCTGGGTGGTGAGTCCTGTCAGCACAGCCAGCCTGCAGACAGAGACAGGATAGTTACACTGTTTCCCACAGACACATACATTTTCAGCCACTTAAAGATGAATCTTGACTACTTCAAACATCTTGTAATGTCATAACTACATCAGCCTTTGATTTTATCACAGCTTTATTCTCATTACAATATGACTTGATTTCATACTCCATATAATTCAGCATCTCAGTGTCCTCAGCTCAAAAACACCCACAGCGACAGTTTAGGTCCCTTGGTACTCAGTGCTCTCAGTTGAAAATAATTCAACTGGTTAGTGTCGCATCTCAATCACCAACTATAAAAAAATCAGAAGGGGCGGGACTTTTGATATCAACCATGGCTGGAACGATATGCTTTTCTCCCGATTCAATTTTTCTACGATTTTTTTTGGGATGCCGATTTGATTTAAAATGCGATTCTACCATATTGTCCATTTCCTCGATTTTAAGGTCCTTTCACACCGGGACCATTTTTTGCGTGCGATTATTTCAGACATCAATCTTTTTTTTCGAACCCGTATCCTATCAATACAAGCGTTCACATCACCAACATTTTCCCGTCTTGCGATATCGCGGGATTTATTTTTTCGTATCACGGTCGAATTTTCTAAGGTTTCGCATACTGTGTGTCCACTTCTGACCAATCAGATTTCGTGTTGTTGCAACATCAGATGTATATCCAACATGGCCGACCGGCTGATTGTTTACGTGTCGGAGAACAGAGTGCTATTTGATAAAAAACACAAATATTACAAAGATAACGACCTGAAGGACGACTTGTGGAGAGTCATAGTGTCAGATTTCTCATCTGTGTGCTTTAACAGTTTGCTAAACGTCTTTATTTTAACTTTCATCTGTGCTAAGTAACTTTAGCTCGTAAGCTAACCTGTTCAGATACAACATACCATATGTATTTTCACTCTCAAACTCAATCACAGCGTTGCTGTCACAGCACCATTAGGTCTCGGTTGTTACCTTACGTTTATGGATTATAGTTTAATGTGCTTATCTGGTACTGGCCCCGACTCAGTACATGCTATCATGACAGACGGTCATCTCAACACTAGTGCCACCTGGGACGCGTCGTAATTTCGCGTTCTATATTTGCATTGGTCCCGGTGTGTAAGGACCTTTATTCTTAAATTTGAAAAAAAAAATGATTTTTGAACAACAAAAAAATTAAACAAATTCTAAAACAAAAAATTATGACACTTCCACCCCTAATATCAACCCTGTCAACAACAATGACAGGTGTCCATATAGAGAAACTCACTCAGTTTTCAAGCTGCAATTTCCAGATCTAGAGCTGCTGCTCATGCTGCCACACAACCTCTATCAGCTGTTTTTGAGCTTTCATTTTAAGATGCCGTTGAATTAAAGTACATTTCAAGCATTCGCATCTTCAGAGTGGATCGAATGGTCACGACTCAGGGAAGATTGAGTGCTGCGGGATAACTTCTGTAACCCAGCAACAGCACATCATGCCGGCGATAAGTGCTCTGAGATTGAGGTTGTGAGTGCTGCCGTCTCAAACGAAAGCATTAATGGACAAAGTCTGTGGTAGATTGAGGCATGTTTGAGTGAGCAGAAAAAACCACCACGATCATGTAACCATGGATGTCTACTTTAGCGCTTGTTTCACCATCTTACCATTTGTGACACTCGGCGTTCAGGCCATTTTTCTTCAAAGCCAGCTCTGCCTCCTGTCGACCTGCAACACCAGCGCTCAGGTCAGTGACGAAAAATCACAGTACAAGACTTCAAATCGATTTAATCAGACTCCCAGATCAATAAAAAGGTTAGATTCGCTGTGATGATGAAGAATAATGAATGAAGTCTTCAAGTCTGTGTGTGCATCACCTTGCTGTGCGTAGTTCTTCTTCTCCTGTTTGTCCTCTGCAGACTCGTACATGTCACGGTAAGCTCGAGCCAGACGCCATAAAAACTCCCTGCTGTCTCCATACTGAGGACACAGAGTCAGAAAAACGTAGTCAGTTAGTTAAAAAGATGAGTCTGGGTGATTTTGTTTCATATATGATGAAGAAGAAATTGTAACACACACAGGGAGAGAGCAACAGAGAGAGGTAGATGGAGTAGTGTGTGGTCAGAGGGAGTACAGAGGTGTAGGTGTGTGTGGGTGAGATTGGATAAGAGGAGTTGGAGCACCATGAACTCAATTCTTGTGTGAAAAGTGCTTTATGAATATTGTATTATTTAAAAATGAAGCAACTGTGCAACAGAATTAACTTCTTCACACTTGGTTAACCATCATTTACGAGGTGTATCCAGGCCCCTCACCTCAGCTCTGTTCTCCAGCAGCAGCTGAAAACCTTCAGCTTTCAAACGTGCGTCTCCTGTGTGGAGGATGTCGCTCTGAGCCAGCAGGAGAGCCAGCTCTCCACTGGGGACCTCCGTCAGAATATCAGTCTGCCTCTCCGTCTCTCCTTCTTCTTCTTCCTCCTCCTCTTCCTCTAACCCTCTCTCCTCCACCTCGTCCTCCTGGGAGTCTTCCTGGCGGAGGGTGAGGACAGTAGCACAGCTCTTGTCCTCCTCCTCCTCCTCTTCCTCGGACTCCGGCTGAGGCTCCGGCTCCTCCCTGTCTGTGTCTCTGTCTGTGTAGTCCGACTCAGCATAAGCTGTGGAGTAGCTGTGAAAGAAACACAGACATATTTATTCAGTAATTCAGCAGCTGTGGATTCACTGGTACTGCACCAGACAGGATTAATACACACATTTTTTCATAACTCCTTTTTTTAACGATCATTTTTGACGATATTTTTAAAAATAATGGATTCTCCACCTTCCAAATCCATCTTGGACATCAAGACTTGACACGTATCTGTCACTGTCAAAGCGCTGATGCCAAAAACATTGAGCCTAAATGCAAAATGAGTGAAAAACAAGCTTCTTTTGAAAGGAGAAAGACCCAATGAAGAGACAAAAGAAGAATCGAACACTTCCAGGAAAAAGAAATCTGCATGTTGAAGAAAAGACTTAAAGCCCGACTTCAGATATGGCTTTATTAGAGTCTTATTTTCACCATGATGATTATTCGGTTAAAAAAAATTAAGGTGGATCGGCACATAAATCTTTATAAAGCAGGTGTTCTGCGGTGACAGCAACCAAAACAAAAATATAGAGATGGGACATATTGGAACAAATTCTGATGTCAAATATAGTTAGATGTATCTATTGTGCTTAACTATATGTTCTTTTGTTTGCAGAGTTTTTTTATGAGTATTTTGCCTCCTCTGAAACAAACAGCAGCCTGTGTAGGAATTTGACTAATAGCAACATGTGTTTAGTTAAAATGTAGATGCTGTCAGAGTATCTCACATGTGTTACTCTTAGTAAAGTCCCCACTGCCAACAAGATTTACTCCATCACTTTTTCAAATCAGACGCAGGCCAGAGTTACTTCTTTGAGCTAAATGCTTGGCTAGAAATCAGAAAGGTGATTCTTTTTTTCGTTTTTGTCTTACCTTTCATTATAAACATGTTTCTGGTGCTAGAAAACATGGGACTTCAGCTAAATGTTTAATATTTTATAGTATTAGACATTCAGCTACAACACTGAGGGGGAGCGATGGTACAATGTGATTAATTATTCATATTGAAATGGGACCTCTGCATTTGAGAAAGAGGAGCAGCCTCTTCAGGAGGCTACGGCTGGGTCCATTTTTCCTGCAACAGCACTCAAAAATATTCAAGCATATGGAAATTATAAACCTCAACACTGCGATACAATAGGTTACCATAAAAGAGGAAAGATCATTCATTTACCAAAGTTTTTATACTAACTTACTGGAGTATAATCCTCCCTACTTATACTTTTAAAAGTTTTCAAATCTCTTTCTTTATTTCCAAGAAAGTCATTTTTGGTCCAAACAGTTTGTACCAGCGAGATAAATCACAGTAAATGTCTTAGAGGTTAACATCAACAAGCTAATAAAGCTTGTTAAGAGCTTGTTGAGCTGTACCTGGATGCCAGCCTGACCCGGTCCTGCACAATGACTGTTAACACGAGATTAATTTAAGTCTTTTAAGGAATTAAGAAGGCAGACAAGAGGATTTTGTCCAAACAGATGCCAAAAGCCAAACGCACTTTGAACCAAAAGAAAAAGAAACAACACTTCAGAACTACAAGAGTGGAGGTGTTAATTTTTTAAAGTTTAGATTAAGCAGAAAGGACACTGTGACTGAACACTTGACATCTATAAGTGATTTAGCTTCCAAAACTTTAGCTTCCACCTCCAAAAACCAAGCACCAAGTGAGCATGCAACTTAATTTTACTAACAGCAGCCCTTTACATACCCTCCTTCACTGGTCTCTTCATAGTTGCTGGCCCCCTGGCTGGCAGTGAAGTAGATGGAGCTGGAGCTGTTGGAGTCAGTGCGCTCCCTGTGGATAACATGCCGTCGTCGTCGGACCCGTTGGCTGTCCTCAACTCCCTTCCTGAAAGAAACGCAAGGCAAGGCACAAATATATGATTCATATGACATCCGTAACTTCTGATTTTTAACACCATTACTGCAACATCCTGGTAATTCTTACTTCTGTGCAAAATACAAACCAAAATGTGCGTCATCTCAGCATCAGTCTGCAAGTTTTAATAAATAAAACTGGCTGCTGTGATTGTAGGAAGAGCTTCTATGTAGCACAGCAACATGTGAAGGTTCTCACTTGACATCCTGGATGATCTGCACAGCGATGTCCTGCAGGCCGCCTCTCAGCTCGGCCACCTCTGATCTCAGAGATGCCACAGTGTTCAGCACCTGATCCAGCTGGTTCCTCAGCTCCTGCTGCTGCTCAGGAGACAGACCCTGCACCACCGCCTCCACCACTGCCAGAGTCTGCTGCTGGGCTTCTGCCTCTGCAGAGGGGAGAAAAAGGGGATACAGAATATGAGACATGCAGGTTTGGACTTTGCAATCAAGTCCATCTGGAGCCAGATCCCCTTTGGTTTTCTGTTGTTAATCTGCCTACTTTCTCTGACCTAAAGAGCACTATAGCTTAGACACAACACATGGGCCTATAGTAATCATTGGTGTGGCCATCTACACCAAATAGTGCTAACTAGTAAGGTTGACTATGTCTGTAATCATTGGTCTCTAATAAAACCTGGATTATATCAGGAGCAGTGTATCAATAATTGTGGGCTATATGTAGGGTTGCAAAGGGGTGGAAATTTTCCAGTAAATAATAACCATAATAATAACCACCATAATAAGCTAGCATTGCAAAATGTAGTGACCATCCGATGGTCACTCACCGGTGGTGGGCATCCCGTCCTGCATTGCGTCATGCCATGTAGTGTCTGAAACCTCCGGTGATTGAGCTCACTACATAGTCAACTTTATGTTGAAACCCCATATGGGGATTAGGGGTTAGGGACTCAGCCACAGCCCTCGAGTGCATTGGACTAGTGTTGTGTCATTCACAAACGATTCGTTCAAAAGAACCGACTCTTTAAAGTGAACATACTGAACCGTATCACTTCCTCTAGTGATTTGTTTGTTTCTCTTCGGTTGAGCTGAAATGAGAAACAGCATTGCCAGGCCAGCAGCCAGTGAACGAGGAACCACATGCACCAACGCCTGAATCATTTGGTGAACAAATCAGGCATTGAAGTACACTCTCTGGAATCATTTTGGTCAGACAAAACTAACAAATAGTGCATTAAACCCACAGCATCCTATCACTGCAGCGGTTTGTGAGGGAACAGTTCATGTTCAGTGTTTAACGATCTAAACGATTAATGAACGAATCACTCACTGATCCCAATTTACCGAGCAGACCTAATAAATGGTATACAGTAGGATTGTACACTTAAAACATCAAGACTTTTGCCAAAGCAACACAGCCAAACACTCTCGTCTCCCAGTCCTAGAAACTATGAATTGAACTGAATCCTGAATCGTTCAGCTGTGTATCAGTTCAGGAGGTCAGCGTTGCAGGCCTCTCCCGCCAAGTGTAAAGTGATACGATGATGTGGTGAACGAATCTTTTGAACAAATCTTTTTAGTGAACTGATTCCAATGATTCAGTACATTTAAAAGAACTGCTCTGCCCATCACAACATTAGACTGAGCTCCAGAGTTAGTTTAACCATGGATTTCCTCCCACTGTCATGTATTGTGTTGTCAGTGACAGGCAGAGCAGAGACCACCCACCCTGAGCATCCAACGCCTCCCGCAGAAGAGCACCACCGTCCACCCCCTCCAACAGCCGGGGAGCTAACCGGGGAGCTGTCCGGGCCTCCATCAGCAGGGTCTGGGATTTCCTCCGGCTAATCTCCCGGTAAATTAAAAAAGCGATCAATCCCAATCCGGCTGTGGCTCCGACTGCCAGCCCGATCAGACCATTCCTCCCGAGTGGCGTGTTCATCTCGTCAGGGTCCGCAGGTATTCAGTCCAGGTTAATCACAAATACAAATTAATGTCAGCTTCTTCAGACTGCTGCTTTTAGAGGTCACAAAACATGGTTTAGCTGTGATCAATCTCACGATCACTTGTTGTGGATCTTTTTAATCTATTCTGCCCTGTAAATAAATTAGACGAAAGCACGCTCCCTGCTAACCAGTTAGCCTCAATGTCATTAGCATCTCGTGGCTAATAACGCAGTGACGACTTTTGATAAGATATAAAATGTCTGTTTTTCTCCCCTCCAGAGCCTCTACGAATAAATCCTACTGTAGTTTTAAAGCGGGGGGAGTTTTAGTGCTCCTCTAACCCAGGTGTCAGTTCACAGCGGAGATGCTGCTTAAATAACAACATCAGCACCACGAGCCAATTCCTGTCACCCACGGAGGAATTACAACTTCCGCTTTCGACTTTCAAAATAAAATGCGGTGACGAACAGCATGTAACGGTTGCTAAAAGCATTTCCGTTTAAATGAGAAAAAATACATAGCGAGATGTGAACATTTGTTTTACAAATGTGTGTGTATATTTAGAAGTTTAATTAAATTTAATGTATTTATGTTGCTGGTAATTTCTTTTTCTTCCCCCATAACTCAACTAGTCCCACAGCTTAACCGGAAATATACTGTTGTCAAGCAACCCAAGGATTCTATAACAGCAACTTAAAGGGATATTCCGGCGTAAAATTAATTTAGGGTCAAACACACTGTAACTCTGAGTTAGACACCCACTCAAGGGATGAATGTTGCCGACCGCTTTCTTCTCTAGTTATACCAACTTTAGTAACGACCGCACGATAGCAATACACAGCGGTCTATGGAGCCACATGCACGCCTCAACCAAAAAGACACTCTATAGCCACAAATAATGCTCAGAACAGCACCTAACTTCATCAAAAATACATATAGGGTCCCAGTCTAACTCAGTGTTAGGGTGTGTTTGACCCCAAATTAATTTTACGGCGGAATATCCCTTCAAATGCACAAAGTTTACATTTATGCTTCAAGTTTATCATACTCCAAGTGGATTTAATGTCTAGGGGGATTTAAAATAATGTGTCGCATATTGGGTTATTTTTAAACCTGAGGATGGAAATTTAATAAAACTATCAATACAACAGTGTGTTGTAATGGTGTTATTGTAATGGTCCCTTGTGCAAATAGATTTGATTCATTTGATTTTATTTTAATTGAAAAGTGCTTTTCAAAACCTGAGAGAATAAATATAACGGAAATTGAGGATTTTAAGGAGTGACTTAAGATTCAAAAGTAAAAAAAAAAAAAATAGAGATGATACAGAAAACATGAAAACAGTACAAATTAGAGGAGTCAGGCGATTGAAAAAAAACCAAGATGTTACTCATTAGACTGTATAAAATCTTTGTATTCTGTTTATCAGACACTTCATGGATACTCCTCAAGGTAGTTTTACACTGAAAACAGAAGATGGCGCCAGTAACAAGCTCCAAACCTAATCAGCATTCAACATTGTATATCATCGATTAAAGCAATGATATTATAAATCCTATTCAAACCCTCACATAAGTGTTTTGCAAATAATAATTAAATATTTATATATATCTTTAGGTTTATGGTGGATGTAGGCCCTGTTTACATGTATGGTTTGACTTGGATTCCACATATTCAAACTTTCTTTTGTAATTATGTAAAATCTTCACGGCATAACTTTTCACAATCATTTCATCTTAAAATTTTAATGCCTACAACTTCTTGAAATGTGTAGTTGTCAGATAGAGTGATTCATGGTACAATGAAGAGGGAAAAAAACTTTTTACTGATCCCACAGTCCTCTGTACATTTTACTACAAAAAGAAAGCAGGATGTCTTATTATATACATGAAACACACTTACATATGGGTGCAGAAGATCAGTAAAAACAGGGGGTATTTCTGTCTCTTTCATATATTTTATGTATATATTCTTGATATGCTGACCTCATCAAACCTCGAAATATATTACATTTACAAAAAATGTAAACCAAAGGTGATTCAAGACATTAAAGTGATTTCTGATAAATGTGACCTCAATATTTCTCATCTTCTTTGTAACAAAATACTCCAAACCAGTAATTATACCAAACATTGAAAAATTAGTTTATCTGAAAACTTTCTTCAGGTTTTTGCTTTCCTGTCAAACTACAGTGTCCCCTGATATTTTATACAGTTAGTGGAAACATGCAGCAGGACTACACTCCCACATTTCCTGGGATTGACTTGGCAATCTCTGCTAAGCCGTGTTTCCTGTGTGAACCTGACCCAGATGTGTGAGAAAAGAGACAATGGACAGCTAAAACTGTTTGTTTCTTTTTAGCTGAAACTGAAGCCTCCCAAGGAATCTGCTTGACGGAAAGAACTGTGTCACCTATGAAGAGGTGCAGCGATCATGTGACAGAAACCTTCAGGGTGGAAACGGATAGTTTGGATAAGTCAAAGAGTGCAACTTTGGGGGTTTGTTCAGTCCAAAGAAAAGGAACTGAGCTCATCACACTAATAAATTCTCTGTTACCGACTTACTCTGCAGACTTTGAATCCGAATTTAAGATACTCTTCAGCCAGGAAATAAAGGAATCATGTAGGTAGTGGTCTGAGAATGAGATTTTTTTTACAGTTTAGGGAGTAAAAGATACTAAAATACAATTAAATATAAAATACATGCAGCTTTTTTTATTTAAACACATTCCCATGACAGTCAATTTCCTCTTGCATCCTAAGAAATTGTTCTATATATTCATTGCCGTGTATTGGCTGCCATGTTGGGGTGCTTCATTTCAGCTGATACCTCTGTTTATGAATGAATGTATCTAAATATAGCTCAACTTTATTTTCACACAGTACCACCATAGACAACAGTGCAGTGCAGGTGTGTCAAACGTGAACACACCTGCACTGGGACACTTAGGAGCTCTTTGATGTTGTTACTGAGCAGAAAATTTTCCTCCAGGTTGACGTTAATGACTTCATTTAGACAAAGGACCTCAGTGAGAATGACATTCCCAGGAGGTATGTAGTCAGACCAGTCCAGTTAATAACTCAAATGTAGGACTTGGCTGTTTAAACAGGAAGTGCCTGCAGGTAAGAATTACCTGACTGACTCAGAGCTGCACAGACTTACAGCCTCGGAACAGAAAGAGAAAAACTATGTTTTTATCTGAGTTTTTCAGGTTCAGGTTTGGATAATAAAATGTTAAAAGCAGGAAAAGGTTGTTTACGATGTCTTGTCTTGTCTTTTTAATCATGGCGTTCAAATTCAATATTTTCCCAAAAGTACTCCTGGTCTGTGAAATTTATCATTGAGTGGGACATACAGATTTTATAACTGGTATTTTCCTTCTCATTTATGCATTTATTCAAACAGCAATGTCATGTATTCTTGCACAATGAAAGATCTGAAAGATAGCTGATTTTGTCTTCCTCAAAAGATAAATTGACCTGGGATTTCAGGTTCTTCTTAAGAGCTCTGAAAGTGAAGAAGATGATAATTTTAGATTCTGCTGCTATCATTATCTGACTGTGGTGCAAATAGAAACACCAGAGTCAAAAATAACCCCCAATTCTGGGACAAGTTCTTTACTTCTGATGTCCAGCTAAGCTACTGTTAAGCATTAACTGTTGTTATCATGGCTGCATTTGTTGTGCTTCCTGCCCAAGCTGTACCCCACCCCTCACCCCAATAACCGTATTTCTCATTGCAAGCAACCAAGATGTTTAATTTTCATGAGTTTAAGTGAAGATAAGCTAATTAAGAAGATAAACAGATTATCTATGCACTGTATGTACTGTCGTTGTTGTTTTGTTTACCACTATCCATCTCCCCCTTTCTGCAGTCTCAGCAAATGACTGTCTGACATGAGTCTTTCTCTACTGGGGGTTTCTACCTTTTAAAAGGTTTTTCAATGCCAACAGAGGGCAACTGGAGGGCACTTTGTTTGTATCAAGTGTGCTTAATTAACAGCTAGAGGGCTGCACCAAAATCCAGCACCTTGATTGGTTGTAATATTTTTGAAGGCCAATGGGAAGCCTGAATTTGCTTTTCCCCTCCCCTTATTAGCATATAAGGCTTACTAGTACTACTAGTAGACTTTTTTGGTCTACTAGTAGTACTAGTGACACTTTTTGCTTCACTAGTAAGGTCTACTTGCGCACTAGTATACCAAAATGGAGTACATGTAAGCTTAAATTGAGTACAAGTAGGGCTAAATATGGTTGATATCACTGATATCGAATTAATGCTCAAACGGCTTTCCATATATTTTTGCTTCACTAGTGAAGTCTTCTCGTGAACTAGTCAACAAAAACTGAGTACATGTACTCCAAACATGAATACTAGTAGAGCTTAACTGCAGTTGATACCACTGATATCAAATTTATGCTAAAACGGCTTTCCATAATCTAGGGGCTTGTAGAATTTCAGTTGTGGCTCAGTGAACCTCCTTCGCCTTGGTCCCCAGCGGCTGGCCGTCCTCCTCCTCCTCCTCCGTGTTGTCTCCGCCCTCTCCACTTTATAAAACAGCTGAACACCGACCGGTTAGCGGGGTTTACTTACTGTCCGCCGCTGAATGGACGTAACATGGCGGAGGAAGGAGGCAGCGAGCAGCCGCGGTCCATTTCCCCAGCACCCCAATAAAACAGGCAGCCCGATGATAGACCAGGTGTGGGGAGAGTACACGTTTTGTGGGGACACTACGAAAAGTAAACTTTGTGGAAATGCACGCGAGGACTTCAGAATGAGCCGACACGCAACAGGTAGGAGAGACAAGTGCACGCGAGGCGAGCAGCCTGTGTATCACTGAGGTACACGAGTGTGCAGATACACTGTGTTTGTTTGTTTGTTTGTGTAGGTAGACTGTGTTTGACCTCAGTTAGTGAATTAAAAGGAAAAAAACAGGTCTCATTTCGATGCTTTTGTTCACTGGCAGCTCTTCAGCTAACTTCTTCTGAGCTGGAATTTGTTGGACCGGTTCCCCCTGCAGTCATAAAGAAAGGAGGAAATTCTTGTCGGGCGTGTTTTCAATCAAAATAATCATTTTCCCACAAACCTTTCAGACGTGCAGGAGTCTGCAGAGGAGTGGACCCCCTCCCCACCGCTGCCTGCGGATCATGTGTTCAACTCCGGAGCTGTGCTGTTCCCTGGTAGAACTGCTCTTACTATTATCCATGCCTTTGTACAAAATGGCCTTAATTTACACAGTTAAAAGTAGCCTTAGATGTCACTGCATATGCAAAATTGTTACTGTAAAATACTTCCCTTAATGTCTTAAAGGAAAACTTTGGTGTTTTTGAGATTTGCAGCCTTTAACTATCATTAACTTTGCACAAATTGGGGTCAAAAATTGCTGGAGGGGTAAAACAAGCAGTCATGGGTGCAGCTTGATCCTTTTGAGGGTATTTGCAAAAACAGAACGAATCAGAAAAGGCTGTTACATCAATCTCTGCAAAACCAGGAGGATATATAAACAAAAACAGCGATTTTAGCCCATAGATGAAGGAACTGTTGGTCTTGGGTGAGATGATTCGTGTGACTTAAGGCTTAAAGATTGTTCAGGGAGATACACCAAGAAGCAAATCCAGCATACCCAGTTTTGTTTTGTTTTTTTGAGGAAGCTGACTTTAAAAATCCTGAAACTCCAGATAGAGATCATGAGAATCATGAAGCTGATTATGAAACTCTTCTTTCGTTAATGTTTTGATTCACTCCATGAGCATGCTAATGTGAAAAGGGGTGTGTAGTGCAAAATTTGGCAAAGAGGATCAACCTCTGAGTGTTGGCTTCAGTCAGACTGATGCAGTGAAAGTAATGATGAATTTACTTAAGGATGTACACTGCTGCTGCAACCAAAAGGACAAATCTTGCAGAAAATATTGCCACTTCTTCGATTTATGTTTTGTTTCAACACATTCTGAGTGCCCTCTATTTATTTCTGATGTGACAGCTACAGATTTCACAACTCAGAAACAACAACAAGCAAGATTTCAGCAGCACTACCACTTCATAAAAACATAGAAATAACTTTTATTTCCACTTGTCAGACTCACAACATTTGTAGAGAGGCCCAGCTGTAATTACCGTATCAAATATGTATGTTTGCTTAAAGCCAACTGTGTTTTATTTTGGTGGGAATATCATTTCCACATGTGAGATAATGAGTTATATCTGCTTGTACAGGTGCTTATGATCAACATGGCTGCCCTTTGATCGTGTTCCCGGTGGATGGGCAAGAGAAACTCTCCTCAGATCTGAGCAAAGCAGAAGTGGTGGACTTCATCAGTTACTTTCTGTGTCTGCACAAGTACGTGGAGTCAGAAACCGTTTCAGCGCTGCTGGTGTTTGTTAGAGGGAGAACAAGCTGTGCTGATGGTTGGATTGTTCTGTCTCCACAGTAAGAAGCAGCAGAAAGAGAGTTTAGTGTCGGTGGTGGCTGATCTGAGGCAAGCCTCGCTCCAAACGACCAGGTTCATCGCTGAGACTCTGCTTCTGCTGGAGGTACGGCTTTGGTAGAGTTTACTAGAGTGATTCTGTTCTCTAAATAAATACTCAAATAACACCAAGATTTCCACGCTTAGCTCGAAAGATGATTAATTTTTTTAATGGATTTTCGCCACTTGGCTGACAGGATGTTTTATGACAACCGAATACTGAACTCCATTAGTGCATTAGTGCAACTCACCTACTCTCTTCCAGCAGCCGTTTGTTTGTAGCAAGACCTCGGGCCAGTACATTACGGACTGTTGTGGGGTGCCGCAGCTCAAGGAAGAACATTTATGATCATTTCTTTATCATTTCCTTTAAGTAATAATCCCTATATTAATCATTTTGCACTGCAGACACGGTAGTTCTTCTGCCTTAGCGTCTCGGTTGGATTGCATTTCCATGAAAAAAATGATTATTTGTGGCTATAGAGTGGCGTCTTGGTTGAGGTTTGTTTATTGCTTCTCAGTCCGCTGTGTATTGCTATCGTGCGGTCATTACTAAAGTTGGTATAACTAGAGACCAAGCAGTCGGCAACATTAATCTCTGTCTAACTCGGTGTTACGGTGTGTTTGACCCTAAATTAATTTTACGCCGGAATATCCCTTTGAAGCCGTGCCAGTCCTTCCCACAGAATAGAGCTACTAAATCTTTCTATAGTAATAATACAAAGAGTGATATTGAACTTAAGGTGCAGAGGGTCATTTTAGGGATTTTAACGGACGTATTTCTATGAAGGCCTTTGGGTGAAATACTTTTTTGGATTCAGGGAAAAATTAAGTTGCAGAAAGCAGCCAAGTGGTATCAAACTCTAAATCTTCTACTTCAAAACCCAAACGTTAAACACACCAAAGTTACACGGCTGTGAGGTTAAACTAGCCGGTCTTGGTTGTGATGATGGATATCTACCTTCCCTAACACCAATGCACTGCAGCGGTGGGAAAAACTGTTGTGCAACGGAGTGACTGCATCGTGATCAGAGCAGAGCTTCAGTCGGCATGCTCATCAGAGAGCCCTCCCTCTTCCTTGAGCAACTGTTTACTATGAAAGTGTATCAGGGTTCAGCATCAGGTAAACAAGCACTCTTTTCTCTCAGCAAGAAACAATGCGTAAGTCTGACCTCAACCCGAACCCTGTGTTTCTCAGTTTGACACCTTTTGGACTTCTGGAGTTTTTTCTTTCTTCCAAGCTTCACTTTAGCAGGCTAGAGTCAGCGTCTGGTAATATTTACCTTGCAGAGAGAGGAAGTGAGTTCACATGAGTTCACTTCAGGTGGTACATGAATAATATCTTTCGCTGAGTTAAAGTCCTATATTTCAAATCTTGGCTTTAGATTTAATGGAAATTTCACCTTTTTTGTGTTTTAATGAAACCGAATTTCAAAATCAAGTAGGAAGTCATTATTTTGTAGTCCTTGCCTGACCTGAACCCTTCATTCCTTTATGTAACCAGGCAGGAAAATTTCTTTGGCACAAGTTTTTTAATATCGAGTGTAGTCTCAGAACCCATCAGTAATACCTCTGGAGAATAAAGATCAGCTGTTCAGATATCTCTCATGTAGCCTCGAGCTGGCCACACACAACTTTAAAATGAAGGCTTTGTTTTCTGCATCATTTACAGTAATATCAGCAGCATCCCTCCAGTATGTGCAGAAACCAAAGTCTGCAGATACCTCGATCAAAACTTGAACTACAAACCTACAAATGGGAACTGGGACACTCCTAATTGGCGAACAGATTTTACCTTTTTAAATTCTAAATCCTTAACTTTGAATAAAATGCAGCTCAACTGTTTGATTCCTACAGGAGAAATGTAACTGCATGCTATCTGTTCTAGCAGATAGGATTCTTATTTTTATGTATGAATCCTCCACATTAAAGTTAATGTGTAAGTTCAGTTGAGTAAATTGTACTCTCAGTGAAACAGCAGCTTTGCGTTTCTCCTGATTGAATTATACATGAGCAGGACTTTGAGTCGGTACTCTGAACAGGGAGACATCCTGAACCCGTGATCCCCCCCTTTTGACTAACAGATCTGTTTCCTCCAGGATGAAGTTATGCAACATTTGTTTTATTGCTGTATAGAGATGGAGCCTGATCTTAAAAATGAGACCCCGAGTGCGTCATCTCTGGTTCTCGTGGAATTCCTCCGTGTTTGTGTTTGAGAGGAGGGGGAAAGGGGGTTGGAGGTCACATGCACGCCTTGTCACATGTTGTTAACCGGACAGAAAAGCCTCAGTGAAATTGCATGAAACGAGCACTGTTGTGTAGAGGGATGATACATTTTTCCACCCAGATGAACTTTTTAACAGGTTTTGTGGTGCAGTCGTAGTCGCTGTCCTGCATTCCAGCATGTTTAGACGTTTATTTAATTACAAACTGCTGCGAAAGGGAAAATCTGAGTGCAGCTTTGTAATGATTTATGTGTGCAGTGGTCCATCTAAACTTAAGATGACTTCTGGAATTTTGTTTTTCCATGACTGATGGATGCATTTAAAAGATGCATTCATGGGTAAATTATGGTATCCATTAAGCGTGCACATATAAATCAATGGATCAAACGAGGGAAAATCTCTCAGGCTCATTTCCTGAATGCCGGTAGGTCCTGGGAATAATAATTTTCCACGCGTTAAGAAACTTAAAACACTTCTAAATCCTTGTGTCAACAGCATAGGCTCTGTACTGTTGGCTAATCTTGTTGGACCATCCCAGAGAGGCTTTGTGTCTTAAGTTATACTTTTACTGTTTGTAGTTTATACTGTGCATGAACCACATGAACACCTTGGTAATCTTATCCATCTCAATACAGCAGCTCTATTTTAAAGTATGTATTTGTGTTATTACAGTGATCAGGAAAATAACAGCAGCACCTACATAAGATAGTGTTTCCGATAAACCTTCTATAAATATTTTCTTCTCACTTATCTGGTCCTGTCGCTCTGCCAGAGCCCACACCCTGTTGCAGATTCATTGCTTTGTATTTGTATCTGTTTTCTTCACTTTGGTAGATGTCCCTGTTCACTCAGCTCCTTTGCTAATTCAACATCCCTCTCTAGTTTCCTTCCCTTGTCTCCTTTTCTGAGAATCATGTCAAAAAAATATCCTCCAACTTGTGTTTTTGCCACACTGTCAACAGGAAGGGGTAAAATCATAAACTTTGTAAATGTTTCGGACCACTTCCTGTGGATTGACTCCCTAATGTGTAATCAGGTGTCTCATAGTGTTACTCTTGCTATTTATGTTGCGTTCCAGTTACCTCGGAAGTCAGATGTCGGAGCTGGGAATGACGTTACACCCGAGTTGATGGTGTTCCAGTAAACAAGTCGGAAAACCAAGAGGGATGCCTACTGTTAGCCGTTGTTAGCTGTTGTTAACAATTGTCAGCTGTTGTTTGCTGTTGTCAGTTGTTGTTGTTAGCTATACAAGTTGTAAACAATGCACAACGCAGTATTTTACTTTTAAAAACACCATAGCAGCGTGTTCACAGTTAGACGTTGGGCAGTAAAAATTATACAACTTATTTAATTTTACAAAAACAAAACAACAGTGCTAATACATAATACATAATGCACAATACAAGAGCTTTTACTGTTACTCTGTACTGTTGATGCACTGCGCTGCCATCTTGAATTATGACATTGTCGTCAGCATTAGAAGTGATAACTGTCAGGTTTTGACCAATCAGAATCAAGTGTTTTACATGACTTTTTTTCATTGTTTAGTTTTGTTCTGTTTGTTCCAGCTGCACAAGCGGACAGTCCACAGTGTTTACATCGTTCAGCCCAAAAAGAAAGATGTTCTGAAGTTGCTGCTGAAACTTCTGTCTCCATCAAAGTCTTACGCTACCTCTTTCAAGGTAAGTAGAAACACTTTGCCTAGACCTGAATTTGATAGTGGTTCCAAAAGGAAATTGAACCTCCATCCAAACCAGATTTGTTCTTTTTACAGAAAGTCTTCCTGAAGGAAATCTCAGAGCTCTCAAACCACATCGACAGAAGTCAGCTGACCGTGCCGCTGGGTGGTTATCTCATTTACTGTCATCAGAGCTGGGTAACCTTTGTGAAGGTGATTTGTTGCTTCATTTTTTGGGCCAGAAAAACATATTTGCCATGTTTTTTTTTTTTATCTGAAAAGCAACATTAAAGTTTAAACAGTTTCAAATTAAACAGATTTCAGACACTGTATGCTGTACAGCCCTAATTTCATTGACTCCTAAAGCTCCTGTGAGGAGTTTCAAACTACTTGAGAAGCACATTGCAGATGTATGAGCTACCCATGGACACATGATCCCTCTACTATCAGGGATGTTTGCTTTTGAAGTACGTGTTGAAAACAAGTTCAGATAAGATGAGATGTTCCTTTTAATAGTCCCACAGGGGAAATTCCAAATTTACATCAGCATAGTACAGATACAAAAAGAGAAAAATTCAAAGATAAAGAAACTTTGAGTTGAAAAAAGATATTTACATGGTTCATATTTATATCTGTACAGGATTTACATATCTTTCTGAATCTTATCCAGAAATCTTGGACATGCAAACCTGCCTAAAAAAATAAGAAGTGTTGAATAAATTGTCCAAAAGATTCTTTCATAAGTGAGCTTCAGGGAAATCTGCATGAATACCCTCTTTGATTTCACAAAAACGACGATAATTTAGCAGAAAAAAACTTATTTCATGAATACATGAATAAGTATACCGTCATAAAGTAAACATTGAGAATATTTCTGTGCATGAGACTCTTATCTATGTGAATACATCAAAGCTGAACCCACAAAGCCGTCTTATGATCTGTCAGAGGGTTTAAACACGAGGTCATATTGTCCCCCACCCCACACACACACACACACACACATACACACACACTCTCACACTCAGTGATTCCGCTTACGTCTGAACGCAGATAAACTCTCGATTTGGCGTCGAGCGGTGCAGCCAGAGTATTTTTATTCCCTCTGCCTGTGTGTGACGGAGAGCGTGCTGCGCTCACTCAGTCAGGAGATGTTCATTTTGTGAATTCATTCATGAGATCCGTCCATGCGGCCGGGCCTATTGTCCGTTACCTTGGTGAAGCTCCAGAGAAAGCCTGCTGTAATCAGCTGACCTTATTAGCAAGTGAAAGGAGCCCCTCTCTCCATCACATTATACATTCAGTCATGTTCAACACGGGTCTTTGGCCACGATGACAGTGTTCATTAACCATGGCTGCTCTCCGCCTATAGAGGACCTACTTTGGATGCTACTGCACAGTCTTCACATGACCTACTTCTGGATTATTTGGGGTGGAACTCTGTTGAGCTTAAACCAGTGAAGTCTGACATATTAGCAGCTTTTTTTTGGTTTGAAAGTACTCGAAAAAGGATGTTAGAAAAGCCAAATCTAGGTTTTAAAACTAGTTAGTACAGCAGCAGATTTAAAGCAGAGACAGATAACCAATGATGATTTTGAAGATTAGGACAGTGGCACAGCAGGTTGTAAAAGCTGCAGTGTGAACCTTGATCAAGCCCACAACCTGATTAAAGTGTATTCACTTAAAAAGTAGACAATTGTGAATCAAAACTTTTATTGTGAATTTCAGTCGTTTGTATTCATATAGGGCCAGGTTGAAGTCTGACATCATTAAAGATACAGATCCAAAAAAGTCAAATTAACTCAACTTTATTTGTAAAGCACTTTAAAACAACCACAGCTGAACGAAGCGCTGAACATAAATAGAAAAAACAATGCAGACATAAAAAACAATTTAAAAAAATGGATAAAATAAAAGCAGATATTAAAAAGTAAAATATAGTTTCACTGTTTTTAAAAACTAATTTAAAAACATAGAAACAAATAACTAAAAACAAACCATAAAACACTGGAACAGGAGCCGAGTCTCATGCCAGGTTGAAATCCAATGAATAAAAATGGGTTTTAAGACGAGTTTTAAAAACTTTGTGTTCCTTGTTTTTTTTCTCAGGAGATCAGTGGGTTCGTTCAGGAGTTCCTCGTTGTGGTCCAGCGGCTGCCTTCGTGCATCTCCACCCTGCAGGCCCTGTCCGGTCTGCCTCTGCCCTCCACCTTCAGTGAACTGCAACACTTCTGCTCCACCAACGAAGCCAAATTTCAGCAGCTCAGGAGGTGAGGATAGTGAGGATGTACTTCACCTCACACAGGCCAATACTGCGTCATTGAAATATTAGACAATGATGGTTTTGAACCTTTTTGCTGACCAGGGTTTTCCTTTTTTTATACTAATGTGAAAAGGCAAAATAAAGATCAGGATTACTTTTAAGAACTTGTTATTTCTAAAGGAACTTTTAGTAAGTAACTAAAGTTTATTTATAGAGCACTTTTCACAGATAAAAATCACAAAGCGCTGTACATAAAATAAGTGCAATAAGATAAACATAAACAGTACAAAAGATACGTACAGATACATACTCAAATACAAATACAGTACAGGTGAGTACAGAAGTAAGAGCAGATTAAAAAAGATAAGTAAAAGAGACAAAACAAAACCTGTGTATGCGTTAAAGAAAAGGGTCTTCAACTGCTTTTTTCAAAGAAACAATCAAGTGGAGGGAGAGGGGCAGATCGTTCCAGAGTCTGGGGGCTACGATAGTAAAAGCCAGGTCTGCCTGAGTTTTGAAACGGGCCTTCAAGCTTCTGGCCTGACAACAGAAGGGTGTGCCCTGAGGAGTTGGGACACAACAAGTCAGCGATGTACTGGGGGGGTCTGACCATGCAGCTCCCGGAAAGTCAGAACTAAAATTTTAAAATTAATATGAAAATTGACCGAGATAAGACAGGGGTGATGTGAGCAGATTTGGGCGTGTCTGTCAGAGGTCTGGCGGCCGAGTTTTGGACAAACTGAAGTCTCTTTATCACCGCCTCATTAAAACAGATGAACAGAGAATTGCAATAATCATGAGATGAGATAAATACACGAATGATCAGTTCAAGATCTGGTTTCTTCTCACTTCAGAGATATTTCTCAGGTGATTAAAAACAATTTTTGGTCAGCTGTCACGAATGACCCTCTAAAGACACAGCTTGATCAGACACAACCCCGAGGTTTCTGAGGCTGTTTTTAACACATGGACCCAGAGCTCCAAGGCGATTTTTAATCAAGGGGATTTTTTTCATCAGGAGCAATAATCAGAGTTTCTATTTCGCTTGAGTTTATCTGAAGGTAATTTGAAGAGAGCTAGTTATCGTGTTGTTGTGTACACACTCTTCGTTGTTGCCCTGAATATCATCACGCTGCGATCATTTCACACAACCGAATCAAAAGCATGGCTGATGTCCAGCACGACCAGCTCTCCATCTTTTGTTACATCCCTCTCAGTCATTTGCAGCCAAAATAAATCAGGGCAGACCGAGGCGGCGACACCCTCATTATTCCCCAGCAGTGAATAAAGAGGCTGTAAACACACTCGCTCTCGTCTTTTGTCTTCAGCTTTGTCGCAACAGTTTCCTCTGGGTTTCAACACGGATGAAGAACTTGAATAACCTGCGTGGAAAGCAAAACACCGGTTCATTCAAAGGCAACAGAGCATTATATTACAGTGACTTATTTCCTTCTTAATCTAAAGAGACTCACAATAAGAGCATTCAGTAAGAAAGAAGGGATCCTGCCAGTTCATCAAATTGTTTTAGTGCTGATTAGAGCCGTGTCTGGAAAAATTATGTAAATCTGCAGGTAAAGAAAGACGGTTTTCTTCTGATTCCTCTGTGGCTGATAAGAGACTGATGTTAAATTTAAAATGTGTATCCAGTTTCTCCGTGGTTTGGGTTGCATAACAGAGAAACAAAACATTTAATTGTACTGAATGACATTTCCGTGTGGCCTCCACATCGTCTTTAAACTACTGTGAATTTGTTTTTTTGATACAAAGGGAGCTGGGTTTGGACGAGCTGCTGACTCACTGTGAGAAAATTCTGGAGAAGCTGCGTTATCCCGAGAAGGAGGCGTGCTACCAGGCGATGGCCGGCACGGCGCTCTTCACTCACACAGCGGTGGACATGCTGCAGAACCACAGCAGGTACAGAGAGCTGAGTCACTGATGGAGTCTTTATCTTAATCCTCTGTAATAACACTGACCACACATACCTTAAAGCGCTGATGCAACGCTGCGTGTTGCACAACAGGAGCGCTGCGTCTTAAACAGTGTGGGTTTTGTTGGAGGGTTTTTCTTCCACTTGAGGCGTACGTTAGTGAAAGGAAGCATTTTTTCTGGACTTGCTCCAGTGAAAAGAAAATGGGCTGTGATGACTGCAACATGATCCTTGTTCACTAACTGAGGCTTAAGTGTCTTGAAACATGGCAGGAAGGATTCACAGAGAGAGAGAGAGACGAAGAAGAGACGCTTTGTTTTGGACTGATGTGTTTTGTCCTTGTGGTATTAGCCAGGCGCTTGTTACTTGTCATATTCTAGTGGTGATAATAGATAATTAAACAATGCTAAAGTTTTAACAAAGGTGCATGACTAAAGTAATAATTATAGTGAATATTGCAAAAACAAAAGAAGAGAGGAGGAGGATGTTTTTATTGACCAGCAACAGATTATAAAAACTGATGTCTACTGAGCAAAATAAGAAATAAGAGTAACTCTACTGCAGTATGCTGTCATTGATTTAAACTCAGTGTTCCTACGTAAATATGGAAATAAATTCGATCAATTTCCAGGTCTTTAAAAGTATGGAAAATAAAAAATAAAGTGTGGAAAAATATTTGTTTCCAGGCTGTTTCCACAGTTCTAAAAATACTGTTTTCTGAAATAGAAAAGTAGTTTTTTTTTTAATTTCTAAAAAGTAGGGTGTGGAAAAGTATGGAAATTCCAACTGTGTAAAAACCCTGTAAACTATTGCTGCAGAAGTTTCAGGTGTTTTTTTATCTGTTTGTTACCTTTTTCAGGATAACCTCAGCTGTAGACAAAGTGGACCTGTTATGGCATCAGGCTTTTTCCAAGGCTCGGCTGCAGCTGCAGGTGTGTCAGCTGAGAGAGGACTGTCTACAGGTGAGCCAGAGGACAACTTTGAACAACGCACTGTTGTAAATACTATGAATTAAAAATGAAATACTGACTATTTCAAAGCTTCAATCAGCCTTCATTAAAGGCCAGTAAGTGCTTTTAAGACAAAGTGTATTTTCTTCTGCTTCAGGTCACAGAGCAGATCAAAACTCTGTTTGAAGAGAAGCTTCAGCCGTATAAAATAGAGATCGCTCGGGATGCAGCAAAAGCGGCGAGGCTGGCGTCTGAATTTGAGACGTCTGTTCACACTCCTGCTATGGTACTGTTTACTTTCTTTACTTATCCTTTTTACTTGTTTGATAAGAATAAACATGTATCTCAACTGTCTGTGAATTCAGTCTAGTTCTGCTGCAAGGAATTTTTCATCATGTGTTTTTCCCTTCTTTGATTCATGCCTTAATTAACTCTGATCGCCCTCCTCCGGTCTTTAACAGGCTCTGGTACGCCGTGCTGAAGACGTGATCCACACGCTGTTGGAGATCCTGCCGTGTGACGGTCAGCCTACAGAGCGTTGGGCTCAGGATCTGGAGAGGCTGAAGGAGAAACTTTACTCTGCCGTACTCTTCATCCTCCAAACACTGGCTGCAGTTTCCAGCTACCATCGCTACTACAACAAGGTAAGACTCTTATCTAGGCCCTCCGGCGGCCTTATTACCAAAGACTCTTTACGAAAACAGAGTTCAAAACAACAAAAAAGTGTCCTTTAACAAGAACCATGTGTTCTCAAGGGTTCTCATTTAAAGTATACTTTCCTTCTCAATCACATTTGTAACAAAATCACTGAATTAAAGCTCCTGTGAGGAGTTTTTTTGATTTTTAAAAAAAGGACTGAAACTCAGATTTATGCATCTTTATAATGCCCACAAAAAAAAAGACAAGGGACAAGATTGAATATTTTCCTCATTAAATATCAACAATAAATGAGAAATTTGACTGTCAGATTCAGCAGGACGAGATTATTTGTCAGAGGACATCACTTCAGAGCATAGAGAACAAGATAAACAAAGACTGCTTTGTCCACAGAGGGCGCCAGAATTGACACAAAGTGAAAGTCCCTTACAGGAGCTTTAATATTCCTCCTTTGTCTTGTGAAAAACATATTTTGGTAACACTCTATGAACTCACCTCTTACAATACAGATAAACAGAAGAACTGTAACACCAGGAGGAGAATTGGGTTTCATATGATCAAACTTAAGCTATTTTAAGACATCACTTTAAAGCTTTCAGTTCCTCTGGCCAGCTAATTGAGGAATTGTAATTTTGGAGGACCATCCCTCTGTCCCACTTTTTGAGGAAGGCCTGGAGAGCATATTTTTAAATTTGGCTCAAAACGATGATGCCTGTTAATGACCATTTGGCATCCTGCCCTTGCTCCACTCTGTTCTCTTTTGTTCTGCTGCAGTGAGGAAAGTTCACTCATTATTTGCTCTGCAGAGAAACCGAGAAAGAGATGTTCTCGCCCAAGAAGTTACACCTCCAAAATTCAGTCCTCCCTCCTCTTCCTCCTTTTTGCCTCTCAGGCCAGCGGCTGGTACCGTCTGATCCTCCGTGAGAACTTCCTGCAGGAGCTGCTGTCGGGGATAAACGGAGGAGGAGATCTGGCACAGAGGCAGAGGATGAGGAACTTTGGGACGATTCCTGCATGGAGACACAAAATGTCTTCCTTCCTGAAGAGGAACCCTCCTCCAGATCAGGAGGAGCTGGTTCACTTGGCTCACCTGTCCTCCGTCATCCCGGATGAGGAGGTAAAACAGGCAGGGAAGCAGATGTCCCAGAGGTGAGAGAAAAGAAATGAAATCTCTGAATTTGTCTTTTTTACTGAAGTTTTGTTCAGCAGATTTGATGGCCACAGCAGTTCAGACGTTTACAGTTTTTGCACTTCTTCTCAATTTCACCAGACTTTGAACCTGAGGGTCAGTTTTGGATCAGCTGGTGTAACCCTTTTAAAATATGTAAACATTGTCTTTAAATTAAAAAAAAACTAAATGAATCACATAGGCCTTTTATTTTCTCTTGATATCAAGGTTTAAAGTAATCTTGTGTCTTCGATCCCTCAGGTGTCAGACCCTGAGGAAGCTGCTCCTCTCCTCAGGCCCGGTGTCTGTGGGGCACCTCCAGCTGGCCTTACAGTGGCAGTATGAGCTGTTACGGAGCAACCATGTTGATCCTTTCCCCGCTGACGGCTCTACAAACAGAACAGCCCAGGAAGTTCCAGACATGAGTAAATGTGAAAGCGTTAAAGGAGCCGCTGATCTCCTCACTGCTTCTTCTCCGGCTGCAGTACCTGGGTTGGTTTCGGCCGAGGGTAAACCCGCCTCCCTCAGCTCCTTTGACTCCGGCTTCGACGGAGCCGGGAGCAGTCAGCTAGAGACCCGAGACTGTATGAGACCGGCTCTGAGGCAGCCACAGACCCACAGAGAGATACTCTGCAGTGTTTCAGACTGTGAAGATCTCAGAGAAGAGTTTGATCTCGGTTCTGTGGGAAACTCCTCCAGGGCGAGCATCCATATCATCCCCAAAGCCTCGGTGGAGTCTCTAAACTTTGAGATTAAAGTGAAACGCTCGGCCGCTCTGCCCAGTAATCCCTGGCTCAGTCTGCCGGTGGACGATCTTGAGAACTCGTACACTGTTACCATCACGCAGAACTCCACGCCTCAACAGAGAGACCTCCAGCTTCAGCCCAGCAGGTCTCGAGATCAGCCCACTCAGACTGATGTGCCTAGCAGCTCTCAGCCGAGTGGGACTCAGACTAGAGACTGGCTCCTGCACTCACAGAGCAGTCTGGACGACCCTGAATTAAGTCCTGTTCGGAACATCCTTTCCAGCACCATCACGGACCAGAGGGACAAGTCCGCCTGCACTACTGTGGAGGTCCCCACGCTGCTCTGGGACTCCTATGACCTTCATGACCAGGAGCAGGATTCTGTTGATCGGTATAGTGGGTTTTTTGACAGCAAAGTAAAAAACTGACAAAAAATTTGGTAGAGCGTGCGCTAAATTTTTAAGAAACCTTGTTTTCTTGTATTTTTTGCAGCCTGATTGATATGAAGGACTGGGATGTGAGGGAGCAGGAGGGTTTGATGGAGGTGGAGAAGATCCTGGACAGAGCAGATGAGATACTGGAGGTAATTACACACCCGACACACCATAAATACTGAAAAGTTGTTCCTAGAGGCACATTTACTCAGATGTTGTCAGATGACTGTCGGTGAGTTGTGAGATTTGATAAAATATCTCATATGACGTGATTTTTCCAGTTTAAGTTAACGACATGATGATGATCATCAACTTTATCGCCTCTGTGCAGAAAGAGGAGAACGCTCTGGCTCAAGAGGCGGTGCTGGATGCTCTACTGAGGTCAGAGGTCAGGCGCGATGACTGGCCTGTGTGGGACAGCGAGGCCCAGTCTGGTCTGGTATGTTAAATATAAACTGTAGAGGACATGAGGGACGTAAGAAATGTTGGTAACATATATTGCAAAATTTTATTTTATTGCAGGGTTCCTACACAGTTGGAATTTCCATACTTGTCCATACCCTATTTTTTGGATTATTTTTGGAAATACCTACTTTCCTATTTTAGAAAACAGTACTTTATAACTGTGGTAATGTAGTCTGTTAACATCAATATTTTTCATTCTTTATTTTTCATTTACCATACTTTTTGATCAAATTACTTTCCATACTTGCGCAGGAACCCTGTAATTAAATAAATTTTAATTAAACGGTTCTGTGGGAATGGTCTTGACTGTCTGAAGTCAAGCATCTGTTCCCACACTATTGAGGTCTCTCAGACGTTAGTCATGTGTCGATTACATTAATGGCGGGTTATCTGCTCAGTCAGACGCTCAGGCTCACAAACAAAAACAAGTTTTCACTTTCAGTCCTCTGTGACTCAGATGTCAAATTCTACCTTTCACTAAATTACAGTCTGCAGACCCAATTTAAATTATCAACAACATGATGTGAAGCCTCCCCTAAAGTGAAGCCAAATTATTTAAAGCTGCATTGTCACTCTTAAAGTCTGTCTCCTCCATGTAAGCAGATGGGACATGGCTCAGACGAGAAAAATCATATTACTGTTTGATTAAATTTTACTTAAAGGGGTATTACGGTGTAAAATTAAGTGAGGGTCAAACACACAGTAACACCGAGTTAGATACCCCCTTGAGAGATGAATGTTGCCGACTGCTTGCTTCTCTAGTTATAACAACTTAAGTAAAGACCGCACGATAGCAATACACAGCGGTTTATGGAGCCACATGCACACCTCAACCAAAACGCCACTCTATAGCCACAAATAATGCTCAGAACAGCACCTAACTTCATCAACAGTACATATAGGGTCCTAATCATAGTACTAGCCACCAAATATTTTTTTAGCTTTGCCTGATTTCTTTAGCAAAGAGACTAAACACAACTCACCTACTCTCTTCCAGCAGCCACTTGTTGTAGGGAGAGCTTGAGTCCATCAGCGAGTGAGTTTCGCAGCTCAAGGAAGAACATTTATGATCATTTCTTCATGGAAATGCAATCAGACTTAGACGCTAAGGCAGAAGAACTACCACATCTGCAGTACAAAATGATTATTATGATGATTACTGCTTCAAGGAAATGGTAAAGTAATGATCATAAATGTTCTTCCTTGAGCTGCGTAACCCCGCTGCACTTGCTGATGGACTTGTCCAAGTTTCAGAAGGTGAAGGTTTTGATTGTCTTTGGTTGTCAGCAATGTCCACAATGTGCAGTTTCAGTGCAGATCTGTAGCTCTAGTTGTCGTTTTAGTCAAATCATCACCCCAAAGGGTTTATTTCCTCTAAAAATGTATCACAGTCTTTTTTAAATGCATGATTGCAAAAAATGCATTAAACCTGGTTAAACCTGCAAAAACTAAAACTGCAAATGTTTGTTCAAACCTCCAGTCTGCTCACAGTGTTTTTTCTTCTTCTGCTTATTTTCAAAGATGTCGTCCAGTGAGCTGGCTGAAGCTGGTGTGATCGGCCTCGACGATTACCTCAACACAGCAGAGTCTGACGTCCTGAGTGAACCCAGATCAGCTGAAAGTAAAGATGATGCTGCTTCAGGGGCAGAAACAGAAGCATTTTCCTATCGGTCAGACCTGCTGTCAGAGCTGAGACAAGTCCAGGTTCTGGATGAGCTCATCATGGAGGAGAACCTCAAGATCCACGAGCTCCGACACCGTGAACAAAATGCCATTGAGGAAGTATTTGACACAAACAGATCTGTGAGCAAAGAGAGGGAGTCTTTTCGTTTACAGGTGGAAAAAGAGAAACGAGAGGTGGAGAAGCTCGAGAAGAGTTTGGACAAAGAGCGTCAAGCCAAGAAACACAGACGCAGAGCTACAAAGGTGATCAAATGTTCCATAATGGAAAGAACCAGAACTGACAGCGAGGAGGACCGAGCTCTCTGTGAAGAGATTTTGTCAGGTAACAGATCACAGAGAGCAAGTTCAACAGATTTGGTCTGCAGTGAATCTCAGGAATCTAGTGAACCAGTATCAGGTCCTTATGCTGCCAAAGATGCTTTAGAAGAATCAGTTCAACTTCCAGTTTCCCAAAATCAGGATTATTCCTCTGAAGCTGAGCTAAAAGAGTCAAACAGACCAACTTTTAAAAGTACCTCTGATTTAGACGAGCCTCCTGAAGAGCCGGGGATCAAACTTCATGGAGTTTTCACCAAAGAAGAAGAAGAAGAACATGGAATATCTGAGGAGAGTGCTGCCATGTGCAAACCAGAAGCTTCTTTAACCCCTGAAACGAGGCCAGATGATGGAGCGTTTGATCCAGGTGGAGACTCGCTCTCTCCTCCTGTGCCCAAGCCGAGAAAGACCTCACTTCCTGTGAACAACATCCTCATCGAACCAGACCCTCCTCATTCTCCAGAGATGCAAAGTCCATCTCCAACCTCAGTCCCTGAAGACCCTGGTTTGACACTGTTTCATTTCCTGGATGAAAACCCTGATGCTCCTCCTGAGAACTTAACTCCGGGTGTCGACCACAGTTTGCTTCTGAACCCTAATGTGAAAGAGCACAGCAACAACAACAACAACAACCACATTGGGCAAGAAGTTTCGTTGTATGAGGTGAACCCTGTAGATGAAGAGGACACACCTGTGGGACCTGCAGAAGAAGAAATCCAGACTCGGTCTCCTACAGACGAGCACCCACACCAGCTGCATCCTGACGGTCCTCTGTACGAGTTTGACCCCAGAGGAAGAGACAAAACGACGCAGGGTGAAGACTGGACTGATGGGGTCCAGGGATCTCAGGTCATGAGGGTACCAGAACCTGAACCACCTGGGATCCAGGTGAATTAAAACATCTCACTATTAATTGATCAATGATTTTTGGCGTCTTTTAATGCACTAAGTCACTTATTCCTGTTATTATATTTGCAGATAACAGATTTTAAGACCCCCATAATTCTGGATACAGGGTCCGGTTTAATGAAAGCTGGATTTGCAGATCAAGACCTTCCCAGTGTTGTATTCCCAACAATAATTGGGAGGCCAAAATATGAGGTAAGGTTTATTATTGTCCACTAATCCACATAACAAAATAAAAGTCATAACAGACTTTTATTACATGTGTTTGTTTCTGTGTTTGAAGGAAATCATGAACAGTAACCTTGATAGGGAGACTTACATCGGACATGACGCTCAGCACATGAGAGGAGTCCTGGCTTTACAGCATCCCATAAAAAACGGCGTCATTACGAACTGGGACGACATGGAAAAGGTGAGCGGGCGTTAATTTTACTGGTTTGGACTTTGACCAGACACTAGTGTTGATATTGTGAAAGAAAAAGTGAAGGTCACCCTGCTGATACATCTGTTTATGAGTAATTTACTAACATTTAAGCTAGGACAGTGGTTCTCAAGTCCACACCTGATTCAAATGATCAGCTCGTTATTAAGCTCTGTAATGGCTTAACGAGCTGATTATTTGAATCAGGTGTGTTGGAGCAGGGAAACATCCAAAACATGCAGGACAGTGGGCCTCCAGGACTGGACTTGAGAACCACTGAGCTCGGACACACATTTGATGACCGGGTACTTTGGTGGTCACTCAGAATTGTAATATTTTAAAACCTGGTCTTTTCAGGTCCAAACTGAAGTTCTCCGAACATTTTTTTCTGCAGTAATTTATAAAGTGGTTTGTTTTTCTTTCAGATTTGGCATCACGCCTTCCAGCTACTTTACGTAGAACCGGAGGATCACCCAGTTCTGCTCACGGAGTCCGCCATGAACCCCTTGCAGAACCGTCAGCGGATGGTGGAGATCATGTTCGAGTGTTTCAGCGTTCCTTTCACTTACGTGGCCATGCAGGCGGTGCTGGCTCTCTATGCAGCCGGGAAATCCACTGGTAATCTTCCATTAAAATCTCCTTTCTGCCTTTTGATTTGACATTCATGACTTCATTTCTCATGAAGTTGCAAATCAAAAGTGCATTAGGACCATGTAATGTTCGCGATCCTGCTTATTACTTGGCTATTAATCTGCTGGTGGAACAGACATGCAAGCTAGGCTACAGTTTTTGGACCTTAGGTGAATGCTCTACTGAGAAAGATTGCTGCATGTGTATGAGCACGTTAAGTGTGTTGTGTCTGCAAATATTACAAAAACAAACTCGGCTTTCTGGTGGCAAAGTGCTGAAAAATACAGAAATGTCCCTTTTAAAATACTTATTTCTTCAGTTGTCTTATCTCTGCTTGCTCAATGGCTTGTTTTAGAAGTAGTTTTGTTTAAACAGAGATTTTTGTTTCACTTCTGTAGGTGTCGTGTTTGACTCTGGAGATGGGGTGAGCCACAGCGTGCCGGTGTTTGAGGGATATAGTCTACCTCACGCAGTGCAGCGCTTCCCTCTAGCTGGTGTCGATGTGACAATGCATCTTAAAAAGGTATAAACGCCTTCATTTGTTTTTATGATGTCAATTAATAAAGAGATCAATATTAGTGGCTCAATATTTCCCTGCTCTTGTGCGTGAAGCTGCTCCAGGAACAAGGGGTGAGCATGCGCACCACAGCAGAGATGGAGATCGTGCGGGAGATAAAGGAGAAGTGCTGCACCGTCGCTCTGAACTACGAGTCTGAGCTGACTTTGGGGAGGTCGTCCTGCAGAGAGATGCATTACACCATGCCGGATGGACAGGTTGTCACACTGGGCACAGAGAGGTTCAGGTAACTGTCCGCACATCATGTCCTGTTTTATAAAGACACTCAATCCACTCAGTGGGGCTCTGAAGAAAATGACCAAGGGGAAAGAGGAAATTACTCCATATGATGAGGAAAAAAGAAAAAATCCAAAGAAAAAATTAGATGTCAAAAAGCTGTCTATTGCTCAGTGGGCTGACATATATTGAAGTTTTTGACTTATTGTGACAGAAAGAGTTCACTTAAAGTTCTTGTTTCTCATCACTAACAGGCTCAGATTGTCGTTTAAAGTGCCTGACAACATTACACAAAGGATCCCTAAAGAGAGAGACATATGTTGTAGAGGAAGATGATTTTTATGAAGCTGTTATAACACTTCTTTGTGCTCATAAATTGCAGCTATTGCAGCATGTTTCGCTGCTGCTGCTAATATAATAAATCAAAGCATTTCCAAATCTATTTCTTGTTAAACCAGCAGCAGTCACTCTGGCGTCAGTCTTGTTATACAAAGTGAAATGTGAGATGTTTCAGAGCACAAGAATGACATGTGTGCAGCACCTGCAGGATGAGACAGACTGTTCTGACGGGCTACCTGCTTCTTTACAGAGCTGACTCCTCAGACACCGCAGCTCCATTTTTATTCCTCATTCTTTCATATGTTTACTTCCTCCTGTCCCCCTTTTTTATCCAGGGCCCCTGAGATTCTCTTCAAGCCCGAACTCATCGGACGGGACCATTACGGGATGCATGAGAGCATCTTCAAGTCAATCCTCAGCTCAGACATTGACCTGCGGCGCTGCTTCCTGGGAAACATTGTGCTGTCAGGTAACAGCTGACGTTTGTTACGGTGTTACACAACAGTCTGAGGGTTTTCTCCAGCTGTGCTCTGATTCCTGCTTTGGTTTGGATTTGTTTGGTGCTTATTTTCCCCTCTAACTAAAGCGTGGAAACCTTGGATCGAGCAATATTTAAATCAGATCAAACTGATACTTTCTAATCAATAACCACATCCCAGTCTACGGGTACGAAACCACAAAAAGAAAAATGCCGGTGCTGTCTAAATGCTGTCTCCCTCAGAGCACTGGTTTCGCCATGTTTCAGTTTCTTTCTCACCTCTTACTGTAGGAGGGAACACCCTGCTGGATGGCCTACCTGAGCGACTCCAGGCTGAAATCAAAGGACTGGTTCCACCCGACATGGGGAAGGCCGTTCGCGTCACCAGCCCTAAAGACAGAGACTTCTCAGTGTGGAGCGGAGGAGCGGTGCTGGCCAACCTCCAAACTTTCAGCTCGACGTGGATCAGTCAGGAGGAATACGAGGAGTACGGACCCCAGATCGTCTTCAGGAAGTGCTTCTGAGACCGTCTCCTGTGTGACGTACCAATTAATTTTATACCACAACAAGTGCAATATACATAGAGCTGTAAAAGAGTGCCATGGACTGGTCCTTTTGTAATACCTGTCTGTCTTTTGTATGTATAGATGATTTTAACTTGTCAGTGTGGATCCAGACTTGTGAGCTCTTCCCTCAAGGTTACTTGCTCTAAGCTCTCTGCTCTAGGCTTCATGGTCTAGGCTCTTGGCTTTGCGCTCTAGGCTCCAGACTCTAGTTTTCGTGCCCAAGGCTGTTTACACTTACCTCTTTGCCCTGGAGTCCATTCTTAGAGCTCATTTTGTTGTACTCTTTGCTTCAGGCTTTCTAATCTGAGCCTTTTTCTTTACGCTCTTGTTTGACCTCAAAGCTTTCTTCTTCGTGTTTTCTGCTTTTTGCTCGGCTGAGATCCACAAACTTGGTAAGGATGGATTTTATCTTAAATTTTACTGTTCTCAAAGCACCTTGTCTTAACCTTGCCACATTGTCCCAAACTATTTATTAAGCATTATTAAGTGAGATTTCTAAGCCTAAGTATGTAAATTTCTATGGTCAAGAGACAAGAATTGAAGCTGGCTTTTGATTGGTGTCTGCCAAACTTTTCCCAAATTAAGTAATTGAAGAACATTTATTAATAATCACTCAATGTGCTGACTATATAATCAAATATCAAATAATAGATTATATTTATACAAAAACTAAAGCACAACAAATTACTTTATGTGTTTAAAGTGGTGAAAGTTGCCTTAATTTGGAGAGATTAAATCAGTGCAGCTGTGCAGAGCTCACAAGTAAAAATATAAATTATATTTAATGATTTTTATGTGGATGATTGGGGTTTCTGTAAGAAAAGAAAATGGTTCTCAACAGTCTTTTTTTTTTTTTAATCAAATTTTTTTTTTGATTGCGATGTATCTTTTTTTTTTCCCCTAAAATTTGAGCAAATGGTAAGATTTTTTAAAATTTTTTTTAAAGACTGGAAGACTTTTCCCTACTTTTTTATGTATATACATATTTTTTTTACATGACCCCTCCACTCTCTTAAGATAAGATGGTCTTCATCAGATTAAAAAATCATTGTGTGTGAGTTTCATTTGCCATTATGTGAACCAGAGAGGAGAGGTGTGCGTGTTTGTTATTCTAGTAAACATGTAGCTGAGTCAGAGTAAAGTGATGGTTATTTTCCACCTGTGAGACTTTTGGTTCACATGTTCTTTCTTTAGTTGATGGTGTCAGACATGAGGTGCAGTTTTGGAGCGTTAATGCCTCTCACATGTCTGTTGAAACAAGCAGATGATGTAAATGCTACTGCTGCAGGTACAGTGTTTATTTGATGTGTCATATTTTCTCTGTGTGTGTTGTTTATTCTCACTGATCTCCTTAGTTTTGTTTATTAATAGTCTTCTTAAATGAGAGCAGTGGATGTGTGCATTTTTTGTCCTTGCGCAGTAGTGCTCTTTATTTTTGTGAGTGGTGTTTCAGCGTTGCCAAAATTCCTTTGTTTCTTTCTTCACCATGATACTGAAAACCCCCTGAAGCCTTCTTATGAATTTGTGTTTCGTGTGCTTTTGAGTGTTTTGCTTTTGCATGGAAATATTTTGCTGTATTCAGTTGCTTTTATTTTTTTTTGCATGTACGCCTGTGTCTGCATATTTTTCTTTGTATTTTGCCTCTTCTTAAGGCAAAGGGGTTGTCATGTGACCTTAAGCTCAGCTCTTAAGTGGAAGTCACCGTTAAATGTGTCCAGTCTGAGCCACGTGTAAGGACAGAGATACATACTGTAGCTCAGTTTGCTTTGTTTACTTGCTCCGCTCAGAGGTAAACCGACTCCTCGAAATGTACTGTAACAGTCTGGACTGTGTCTGGCAGTTTTTCACCCATAATGCTATATATGTCATGTCTGTTTTTATAATAAATATTTTAATCACCACTTGATTGTAGCGTGTCATATTTCCCACAAACATTATCAGGTTGACGACGATCCTTCTGCAGAGTTTTTCCAGCTGGTGTGGTTTTACAGATTGCCTCAGCAGGAAATAAATCGGAAATACTGAAGTTACGATGGAATTTGGACTGTCCTGTATGCACATGTTAACTGTTGTTTTTAAGACGCAAAGGAACGGTGTATAAAAATTTGATGGTTTTATCTAGAAGTCAGATTTTAGATGAGAAGAAGACAAAAAATCTAATATTAATCATATCTTTAATAGTTCATTTCCTAATACTGTCTGTTTTGGTGAAGTTATTCATGTAAAGGAATCCTTCAGTTGTTGCAACATAACCAATTCAGTAAAATTTTGGGGGAAATACAGGGTAATCTGATTTATTTATTGACTTTATACTAATAATTCCCTACAACATCACACAAACAAACTTGACATAATGCATGAAAGCTTATAAAAATAAACAGTAGTTTGACTATTTAGGTGTAATACAAGTATTAACTAGAATTACAACTAGAATAAAGATAAAATTAAGTAAATCTTTGAAAAAAAAAAAACATCCGACATTTACTCAAAAAGGGTGTTTCAAGAAAAATAGTTTTCTAACAGCCTATTCTTTAAAAAAAATAAAAATTTGATTTTCTAAAAGGTACACAAAGAAATTACAAATATGGAACAGGGGAGTCTAAAAATGTCTCTAGAAAAATAAAAACTCGTTAACCAAAAAATAAAAGTAAGTAAAATGGTTTTATCCTCCTCCACTCTTTCTACTTTTAAATCGCGTCTTAAAACTCATTTTTGGCTTTTAGCTCAGCGTGAGAGTTGTGTGATCTCTGTCCTTTTTTGACTTTTATCTCTTTTATGATTTTGTGTTTTTATTTCATTTATTTTATTTAATTTTAAATGTTTTTACCTGCTTTTATTAATTTCATCTTGGTGTTTTCTGCAGTGTTTGTTCTTTTAATTTTATTGTTCAGCACTTCGGTAAACTTGAATGTTTTTCTTTTAAATGTGCAATAGAAATAAAGTGGATTGGATCCTTTTGCTATGACAGAATCGCATTTCCTTGACAACAGTGCCCTCTTGCGGAAGAGATATATACCGCATACCAAAGTGGTACTGTTCCTATGGTTACCAGCTATCAACACGCCGCTTAGCAGGCTGTTTCAGCGTAACATTGTTTTGGCTTCCGTTGGTTAAAATGTCTCAAGTTCACGCAGAAAACCTCATTAAAAACATTATCCGTGAAATAGTGCGGGAGTGTGCGTTGAGAGGACATACGGTGTCCGACACTTTGGTGGCTTTCATGGTCAGTAAGTAACCAAAACTTACCCTGCTTACTGTCTTAGCTTGTTAAACTCATTGTTTGTGGTTTTATTGATATTCTCAGGTGAAAGCTGTTGTACTGGACCCTAGAAATGGCTTTAATGTTGACCGGACACTGACCAAACAAGATGTGCAGAAACTTGAGGAGGTGAGTCAATATCTGCCTAACTCTGCAAAATTAGCACTTAAAGCATTTGCGGATACAGTATATGTGTTTTAATGCAGTCCTATCTTTATATTACATATTAGTGTGATGCTAACTTTAAGAGTAACTCACACACATTCAAATTTACTTGATGAACTGACCTGCTGGTTGATTTTTTGTAATAAATATCTAACTGTTATTTTTTATTTTTTTGTAATAGCTGTGTCTGGATAAATTGACTGAGGACTGCAGCCCGTCTCTCGACACCATCAAGATGCAGGTGTATTTTGATATGAACTACACCTCCAGGCGTAAGTGTCACTCTGTGATCTTTCATACTAAACCCTCCATGTTTATAAAGCTAAGAGTATGCAGAGCTGTATTTGGCATAGGCTAAGTTTTATTTTTATTATTATTATTTTTTGGTCATTATACATGAACATTTTGGTCCTCTGATGGTCTGACTCAGTCCAACCACAAAAAGAGTATTTGTTTTACTTTGCTTATGATTTTTCTTGATCTTATAAATAAACTATGTGTCTTTTAAAATGTCAGTTATTTCTTAATAACTTAAAAGTGTTTAAGAAAACTTTGAGTCAGCTGTAAAGACAACTAATCATGTCTGCATTAATCTTTAATCTTAATCAATCTGTCAGTATTAAAGCTACTATAAGGAGCTTTTAGTATGTGTTCATTTTAGCACCTCCTGTTCTCTTACTCTGGACTTGTAAACAAAGTACTATAAGACAAAAAAAACATATTCTATTGTCTTAGTGAATTGTTTAATTCACTGTGGGTCATTGCAATGGAAAACAGTGAAGTAGCTTGCAGGACTCAAATAATCAAGTATGTCAGGCATACCTTATTCTTACCACCCCGTCAGGCTGTTTGTGAAATTGAAATATAGGTCTCTTCAAACTCTGAATACTTTAGTTGTGTATTTCAAATTAACATTATCATCGAGCAGGTCCTATGTTTGTTTTTTTTTGCAGGCGAGTTCCTGGAGGAAATCCACCGGGTGATGGAGTCTCAGCTGAGCTCTGTGAGCAGAGAGATCGCCGACAGCAGGGCGAAAACACGGGACGAGTTCAAAGCTTTGTACCATAAGATCGTCACTTACATCCTGTTGCACTCTGGGATGGGCTCACCTGCAGACGACGATGCTGTGAAGGAGGCAACAGGTTCAAACCGACTCAAACATTCAGATTCACTTATATGCAAAAGAACAGTGGGATCACTATCTTTGAAGCACGGCCTTAACAGTCTCATTATTCACTCCCACAAGCTATAAAATTCATTCACATGAGAGTAACTAGTGATGATGATTATGTTCCCCTTTGTCTCAGCGGCCCTGCAGAGTGTCTTCCCTCACACTGGGCTGGGAGCCTTCATGGCCCTCCTGAAGAGAGACAAAGAGCAGCAGCTCAGGGAGCTCACCATGACTGTTACAGGGATCCGACTCTTCAACAAGGCCGGCAAGAAAGGAGAGGATGAGGCTGACCTGAATGATCTCAGTACAGTACACCTGCTACTCACACTAGAATTATCGTCATACTCGTTTATCGTCATCTGATGATCCTATCACGCTGAGATTATACAACTCTAGCTACAATTAAGGACTTATTAATGTAGAGCAGTGCTGTATCCAAACCAAAAGATCATCATCTTTCAGGATGTTTGCTGTAGTAGACTCCAGAATAATATCCTGCATCTGACATAGATCTATCTTTCCATCCTTGTTTTGTCTGCAGCGCCTGCAGCTCTGACTGAAGCCCTTCCAGCCGTTATCACGAGTTTAGAAAACGAGCTGAAAGAGACTCAGAGTTTAGCCTGGAAATACACGGCAGTGCTGGAGAAACTGACGGATCCTGATAGACAGCCTTCAGGGTGCGACGTTCCCATCGTGTTACACAAACAGGTTCTGTACAACGTCAGGCAGCACGAGGGTTTCCTCAAGATGTTACTGGTGAGGAAAAAGAAGCTTATGGAATAATGTTGTAAATGTAACTTATTCATCATATTTTAACTATAAAATGTCACATTAACATCAACCATAGCTGTGCAATTGAGCCTATTGATTCCATCGAACAAAGAACATAAAAGTAGTTGATTATTTGTGTGTTTTCTGCAAAATTATTTATTATTAGGTGAAGATTTGACGATAACATACGGGATTCTTAGATTTCCACTGTTCATATCAGCGAGGTCTACAAGTCAATAAGAGCTGCTGTTATTTTACATCCACCTGGTTTTACTGAGATTTAAAAACACCCCCAAAGCTTCTGAAAAGCTTGGCATGCCTTTATTGTTCAGTTATTCTCTGTTCTCTTTTCTTTTACCTTCAGGCTGATGCTCGTTTATGTGCCAAACATGTTGAGATCCTGCACACCGAGTTCTCCTCCCACATGAAACTGCTGAAAGACACAGTGAATTCAAAGACAGCTGTGCCCACTGCGATAGTTTTTGTAGGTGTCTGGCATTACTTTTATGTCATTTCTATGATTTATTTTCCCTTAAAAAAAGATCTGAGCTATTTTGTGTCTGCTTTTGTGCTTGTCTTTGATATGTATAATTTTTTGCTCATTGTACAATTGCCATCACAACAGAAAAAAAGTGTTTCGCTTCAGAAGTTTTTATTTCCACAGACTCTTTCATTGTCATTTCTCACGCTGTCTTCCAGCCCCTGTTCACAGCTCTGTCAAAGCTCTGGTTGGGACTCCAGGATGAGGCCGAGCTGCTGAACATCCTCAACAACATAAGACTCAATCTGCAACCCTTCATCGCCAAGTTTTTCTCTGAGGATGATTTAGACGGCTTGCTAGAGGCTGCAGAGGTGAAAACAGATGAGGAGAGAATGATCGTGTCCTCGGGTACGGCATTTTTCAATAACTAACACAAATTAAATTCCACCGGTCTTACTGCTCTGGACTCCTGATTATATCATCTCTTACCCGGGTAGATTCTGATGCTGTTGATTTTCTTTGTAATGCTGCTCAGATGAGCGTATAGATCCAGCTGTGATGACGGCAAATGATTGGCTCCTGCCTGAAACTACAGCCAAGTTTAATGACCTCCCACTGCAGTATAATGGAGTCTGTGGATACACACTGGTGAGCAGAGATGGACTTTTACTTCCAGGTACTTTCCCTATCACCCATCAAACCGTGTTTCTCATGCAACCACTAGCTACACTTTGATGCCATGGGAGTGATGATATGTGATTAAAACAGGATTGTTCAATAAGCGTCTTTAATCTAGTCTGTTGTGCCTGAAAGCATCAGTTTTGAATACTCCTCACTTGCAGGTAATCCTCACATTGGAGTCCTTAAACACAAGGAGAAGCTCTATGTTTTTAGCTCCAAAGAAGCTGCTTTAAAATTTGCCTCCAGTCCCGATGAGTTCATTGAAGAGGTGGCAGAGAAGGCAAAGCTCTCACCTGAACTGATACAGCTCCTCAAACTGCACCATCAGTTTTCCTGCGTCAGCCCGTACCCCGAGGTCAGCAGCTTTAGCGTTAAGTCTCAGCTTTATCAATTCCATTGCATGTCCAAAACAGTCGTTATGGATCTGTGTGTCACTCACTAAGAATTCAGTTAGTAAAGACTGTTAAAGGACAAGTTTTCCTCTATGATTTCAACCAAACTTAGTTGTTGAATTGTGATTTTGCAGATGCAGCCAGGAGAAACTTTACTAGTGAAGCCGATAACAAAGTGTGAGAGCGGCACACAGACCGACATCCACCCTGTGGAGACAAACATCGATAGGTCATATGAGTGGAACGAGTGGGAGCTGCGAAGAAAAGCCATCAAACTGGTAATTCATCCACAAACAAAGACTGTTTATGCATCATGTAGTTAAATTTTTCATTTTGCATCCACCCAGCAGCAGCAGTTACAGGCATTAAAACTGTATTATCAATCAGAGTCTCATTTATTTATTTATTTTTAGCTTGTAAAGAGGTGACAATATTATTTCAATCCATTTTGAAACCAAGAGCTGTTAATATGATAACCCCACAGTCAATATTAAGCTTATAAAAAGTCCTTTAAACATTCTTATTGAGACACATGTAAGGATATTACATGTAAAACAAATGTCCCTGCTGAGTCTCTATGAGTTTCACAGTGACACTAACATTCCAGCATATCTTCTTGTGTTTTATATTTCAAGGCCGATCTCATGAGCAAAGTGACCCACTCCACTCAGACCAACTTGAGCCACATGAGACGTGAAAACACGACTCAGACGTGGCTGCCGAAGAACGTTGCATGTCAGAGTAAGAGGGACGGAGAGAGCAGCGTGCCCAAACCTCATGTCTCCCTAGCAGGACTGAGAGGACAGAGAGATGGACATGTAGTCAAAGTAAACCTCACCAAGCCTGTGGATGAATAATCAGTGGAGCTGTTTTGTCGTGGAAATTAAAAGTATGGTGAGAGCATTTTTATATCTTTGAATAGTCTTATTAGGCAAAAGTGTATATAATAAGGAGATTGACCATGGAGTTACTACATGGGAAGACAACAAGCTCATTTCATCAGTAAATAGATGCACAGGTTCATTTTTTAAAACACAAACATCTGCATGATCGTAACCTGGCTGAGCCATCCTGTTGTGTGAATCACTTGACGTTCCTTCCCACCACAGTCTGGACTTCGGCCCATAGAGAGCATGTATGCCCGATCAGAAACTAACCGGGCCAATCAGAGACCGTGTTTTCACTGTTACCCGGACAACAGGGAAAGGCAGCCCCTGATTGGTCCATGTACTACTGTAACCAATCACTGTAACCAAGCATCTGTGATGATGTCAGATGCTTGGTTACAGTGATTGGTTACAGTAGTCTGTCTATCAAGGAAAGTACTCCCGCCCACTTTCAGGGCTTCCAATGGGCCGAAGTCCAGACTGTTGTGGGAAGGAACGTCAAGTGATTCACGCAACAAGATGGCCCAGCCAGGCTATCAGTTCAGGAGGTCAGAGTCGCAGGCTTCTCCCCGCTAAATGATTTGGTGATGAATATTTTGAACGAATCTTTTTAGTGACTGATTCTAGTGAGTCAGTACATCTATAAGAACTGCCTTGCCCATCACTACTCTGAATGCAGAGATGCAAATAAGTACAAATTTTCATTTTGCTGGTCTCCATTTTGTGCAATTTTATATTTTCTGTATATGCAACTTCAGTAGTTGTCGTCCTAAGTTCATGTGCTCTGAAATGCACTTTTCTCAATAAAATAGGTGTATTTATGTCAAAGATTTGAGTCTTTAATGGTTTTTTAAGAAATCAATTTGCGTGGTTTGAATTTTATAAAAGTAGGTCGCAAGTTAAGGACCGTGGGAAAATACGGGTGCCAGAGTGAGATCCTCCACCTTGTTCAATAAAGTTTGTGCCAAGAGAGAAAGAAAAAACAAAACGTGTCAGTCACGTGTTTGTTTACCGCGCCCATACATTAGTCCCTGCCTGTGCAGAAGGATCCGTGAGCTTCGATCCTCGCTGTCTTAAACACAAAGTTAGAAAAATGGGTGAAAACTCCGAGCTGCTGGTCGACCTCAAACACAAACTCTGCAGCTCTATAGATCAATCCGCGGAGAAGCTGCGCATGCTTAGTCGGGATATCTGGAGCTGTCCAGAGCTCGCATATCATGAACACAAGGCTCATGACAGGCTGGTGGAGTTTTTCACTCAGGAAACGGGCTGGAAGGTCGACAGTCACTTCAAACTTCAGACAGCATTTAGAGCCACATGGGAACCTTCAGGCAACCCACAGGGTCACGTGATAAACGTGGGTTTTCTATGCGAGTACGACGCGCTGCCGGGGATCGGACACGCGTGTGGACACAACCTGATAGCTGAGGTTGGAGCTGCTGCGGCTGTAGGACTCAAAGATGTGCTGGAAAAGACTCAGAACCTCCCAATCCACGTCCAGGTAGGAAAAAAAAACATGTAGTCAAGTCTTCTGACTGTTTTCATCACACCAAGTTTATTTGGCAAAATATTGTTTTATATTTTTAAAGTTTTTTTTTTTTAGGTTTATATATATTAATAAACTTTCTTTGGTTAACTTTTATAAGACATGCACTGAAAAAGAAGGGGTGCAAATCTGAGGACAAAATCTTACCACATGAAACTGATGTGATACAGACCCTTTCCAAAAACCACCATTTACTTCTCAGTTTTTGCAGAAAATAAATAAAAAAATTAAGATCACATCAAATCAATCAAAATGTGGTACTTTCAAAGCGATATGTCAATCTTCAATACTTGGTTGGTTATCCCTTGGTTGGGAACACTAGACCTCAAGCAGCTTGGGTTCTCTTCCTCACCCGTCTTCCTCCAAACCCTTGGACCTTGATTCCTGAATGAAACTTAATTGGAAAAGAGGACCTTGGACCACTGGCCAACGGTCCAGTCCTTCTTCTCCTTGGCCCAGTTGAGACGATTCCTACCTTGGCTCAGGCTCAGAAGTGGCTTGACTCGAGGAACCTGACAGTTGTAGCTCATCTCCCAGATGCGTCTGAATGTGGTGGTTTTTTGAAGCTGTGACTCCCGCCTCATTCCACTCTTTGTGGATCTCTGCCAGGTTCTTGAATCTTCTCTGCTGAAGCCCACAGTCATCTCTTTTGCTGGTGCACCTTCTCCTGCCACATTTTGACCTTTGACTAGACTTTCCATTGATATGCTTGGACACAGCACTCTGTGAACAGCCAGCCTCCTTAGCTATGAACCTTTGTGGCTTACCCATCCTATTGAAGGGTACTAATGACGGTCTTCTGGCCAGTTGTCAAGTCTGCAATCTTCCCCATTTTGAACCGAATTGAGACAATTAAACCAAACTGAAGCAATTTTATGACACCTGGGGAAACCTATGCAGGTGATTTGAGTTTAGTAGATGATTAGTGTGTGACACTCAGTTTAAAACATTCAATGATATTCTTATTTTTTGGAAAGGGTCTGTAGAGTGGGGGGTCCAAGCTGCAGAGCAAGGACCCAAATGCAGACTGACCAGGCTGGACAAATCTGTCTCAGGGACTCAAAGATGGACAGACAACTCCTGGACCATTGAAGGGTGTGGGTGGGTGGAATTGACTCCTTCTGAAGCTAAATTAACCCCATCCTTTTCTCTAAAATGACTTAATCTGAACTTGAGCTCTCTTTCTCATTTAGTTTGGTAGTCTCAGCTTGATGTGCAGGTTGATATTGACATTTATGTGTAGATATAATGTATTTCTGTCCACAGGTGACAGTTCTGGGGACTCCTGCTGAGGAGGACGGTGGAGGTAAAATAGACCTGATCAATGAGAGAGCCTTTGAGGGTATGGATGTTGTGTTTATGGCCCATCCATCAAAGGAGGATGCTTTGTACCTGCCCTGCGTGGCTGAACATGAGTATGTTAATTCCTGCATTAATTACTATGTGTTAATCAGAATTTTATCATCAATTAAAATTTTATTTTGCTAGTGTGACCATCAAATATCATGGGAAGGCGTCTCATGCCTCCGCCTACCCCTGGGAAGGAGTCAATGCGTTGGACGCTGCGGTGCTGTGCTACAACAACCTGTCTGTGCTCAGACAGCAGATGAAGCCGGACTGGAGAGTTCACGGTGAGCACATTACTAGTCTGAGGTGTCCCTCTGAGGAGGTCACTGTCCTGCTCTGAGTTAATCATGGTGTGTCGTTCAGGTATCATAAAGCATGGAGGAGTTAAACCAAACATCATCCCCGCCTACACCGAGTTGGAGTACTATCTGAGGACACCCACACGGGCTGAGCTTCCTGTCCTGAAGGAGAAAGCAGCGAGGTGTTTTAGATCAGCTGCTGAAGCCACAGGCTGTCAGGTAAAAAGATCTCAACATAGTAATGATAGTAACTTTACTGGTGATCGAAGAGGAGTTTAGACATGTTGGGTGGTCCGCAATAGAGTCTTGCTCCCTCCTGCAAATTGTAAACAACAGAGGTGGTATGTATTGACTTAATCTAGTCCCATTCATTGCTGGTTAAAAAGGGTTGTAATTGAAATGATAATTAGAAAAAAATAATTTATTCACAAAGAAACTATTAAGACATCATTTGAAAAACATGTTAAAAAAAGCAGAGAAAGTATAACTATTAGAAAAAAAATAAAACCTGAAAAATCGGCTAAAGAACAATACTTAATATTTACACATGGTTTATTTTGTCCTCTGTTGTCTTTCTGCTGTATCATGTCTGCTCTCACCTGGTTATCGCTGGCCTGACTACTCTACATTGTCCACAATTTGCATGCCAGACTTTGACCTGGACGTTCAGCATCATAAATGTATGATAAGAAACTTGCTAGAAAACGAAACCTCGACAGAAGAAGCGGGACCATGAATAGATGAGTACAGAGCTGTGAAGTTGTCTGTTTTCATCACTTAATATACAATCCATTTGCATGTAGCAGGAGATAGTATCAAACTCAAAGGGGGCATATTGCCACCTAAAGTGAAGGTGGACGTACTTTTGCAAAGAAATCAATTTTACCTGGTGCTTTTTGCCAAATTGCTCAATTGAGCTTTAAGTTGTGGCTGAGTTTCACTGCGCATGTGCATGTGCGTGTTGAAGCTGCATGTGCACTTGTCAGTCAAGGTAATTTAGATGGCAGTAGCTGCATTTGACATATGGTATTCTAATAATGCAGATGATGGATCTCCTCTGTGATGTTTTACAATGTTAGATTACTAAATTCAGTCAAAGGGTCTGTGCTAAGTTGATCTGCAGAAAGTAGCCTCAAGGTTGATTTTCCGCTGTATTGACAGGGAGCAACAGTGTAAAGCAGTGTTCAAAGCAGCTGAGTGAGTCTAAAAGAGAGAACTTTTAAGTTTTCAGAAGTTAACATGAAATTATTTTCTCTTCAGGTTGAAATAGAATTTGCAAAGAATCAGTTTGACAACATGCTGCGTTTTCCCACCCTGGAGGAGCTGTACGAGCAGAACGGCAAAGCTCTAGGGATGGACTTCACCACGGATGAAGCTATTCTCAAAGAATCTGGTACATGCACGTTCACTGCGGGGCCAAACATAGCTTTCTTTATGTATCAGTGTTTGTGACAGGAGGGGAGGTGACAGTGTGAGATGGTCAAGAAAACCCCACAAGTAAGTCAGGTTGACTTAACTCTATCCAACACCCGTAGCCATGTGACCCATGATTCCCAGGAGCTGTGTTGTGTGCTCTGTCAGGTAGAGTCTGATCCTCCTGATGAGGGCAAATCAGCACAACCGAATAATTGGCCACAGCATGATTAGCATGATTGTGTGTTACACAAATTATTATTGCCCTGATTCCAAATGAACCATTATAAATAACTGAACTTTTGTCAGTGGACTCTAGTGGCTTTGAGGAGGCTGATTTGTAGTTTGCAGTTCTTCATTATGAGGTTAGTTTTGGTTGATTTTTCTTGTCCCTTTAAAAATTTGTAAACTCTGTTTCCTCTCTCCTTCATCTTCCTGACAGGCTCTACAGACTTTGGCAATGTGACATTTGTAGTTCCTGGTATCCACCCATACTTCTACATCGGCTACAAAGCTTTTGTCCACACCGAGGAGTACACTGTCGCTGCTGGTATGCACACCACACACACAAACAAATCCATTATATCTTGAAGCTGTCATTTCGCACAGTTGAAAGTGTGTTTTGGTGTTTTGTGTCAGGTGACGACAAAGCTCAGTTCTTCACCCTGAGGACAGCTAAGGCTCTGGCCATGACAGCTTTAGATGTGCTGTTGCGTCCAGATCTGCTGCAGAGAGTGAAGCAGGAGTTTAAAGAAGCTAAACTGAAGGAGGAGAAGATATTAAGAGGAGAGGAGACAGGAAAGAGATGACGGTGATTAAAAAGAAAGAAAAAATATCAATCATACACTATATATAAAAAGCCCGCAAAAATCCATACTGTAAACAAACCTGCAATTTGTATCATTCTCAGCAGGGAGCAACTCCAATGTATATAAACCTCAGAGTGATTTGCGAATAAGTGCCACTCACTCTTATTTGATCTGACTATGGTGCTCTACAGTGTTGTGTAATGATTGCAGGAAAAATAAAAAAAATGTCCTCATGTTGCATTTAAATCAAAGTGCTTTTTTTATTTGAGTAAAACAAAGTAAAACAGTTTTTCCTTTAACTTGGCACCAGAAGTTTTTAACTCACAATCTCAAGCTTTGCAGACTTTTTGATAATTTCAGTTTAGGAGAATAAACACCATTTACATAACAGTTTTGTTTTTAGCTGTTCATGAAACAAACCATATTAAATACACTGGGGCCTCTATATGAACTGCAAATGGAAATAAGACCATCAGTAAAAGATTTCCTGTTTCTAATCATGACCTGATTGAAAAAGTTTGGAAACTTCTGTTAATATTCAGACCATCTCTTTAAAGCAAATTGGCATTCCTTACAGCTTCTTACGGTAAACCCAAGTTAATAGTTTACTATTTGCTTTTTCTGTGTACACACCTTGCTCAAAGTTTATGCTAATCTTATTTAGACTTACTGTCCTTTTAGCCTTTGTTTTACTTATAACCTTTTCTTATTTTACCTTTTAGGCCTTTTATTGATTTAATTGTTTTTTCTTGCTAATTTTTGTTATTTCATTTTATCATTAATATTACCATTATTATTATTATTTTATAATGATTTTATTATCATTATTAATATCCTCTTTTTATATTTACTATCCTGTTTGCTGCTTTCTAACGCCCTTTTTTTATATAACATTTCTTTCTCTTACCTATTTTATGTGTTTATTTTGGTCCTCATGGTCACATTTTATGTTGTAGGGTTCTTGTGTTGTCTGGGTTTCTTATGAAAAAAGGAAATTGGCCTTCAATTTGGAGGCCTTGTTTTTAACTGAGCTTTTGTTTTTGTTTTTATTTCCATATGCTGGTGTTCTGTGCTTTGCAACTGTTTGTCAAAGCACTTTGTAAACTTTTTTCAAAAGTAATATGAAAATAAAGTTATAATAACAATAATAATAATAATAATAATAATAATAATAATAATAATAATAATAATAATAATAATTATTATTATTATTATTATGTGCAAGTGTGCAAGTGTCATGTATGACATCACAGTGATGTCATGTATGATGTCATCACACTTTGATCTTAAAAAAGGGACTAGAACATCAGACACGACTTAGAATCACGTCTGACTGCAGTGACAATCGTCTTCACGTTTGAAATCGCGTTAGACAGAACTAAGACCATCCATCAAGATGACCTCTCAACAAGAACTTGGTATTTATGAGGGGAGCGTCCTCTGCTCCTACACAGTCGAGTCTTTCCTCGGCGCAGGAGGCTTTGGTGTTGTGGCCAAATGTTTCAACACCGAAACCAAGCAGCGCGTGGCCATCAAGGTCAATAAAAATGGCCAAGAATTTCACGAACAAGCCACAGTGGAAATTGCCAACCTGAGGAAACTACAGCGTCTGGATGCAGATAAATGCAACATGGTAAAATGGTATGGATCATTTGTCCACAATGACAGCATCTGCCTTACTTTTGAGCTGCTGGACCAGAGTTTACATCACTACATGCGGTCTGGAGAGGTACGATTTCTCCCTGTGACGGAGGTGAGGTCAGTTTTACACCAACTGGCCTCAGCTCTGTCTCACCTGAGCTTAATCGACCTTATACACGCTGACCTGAAACCTTTGAACATCATGGTTGTGGACCGCCATCGTAAGCCGCTCAAGGTGAAGCTGATCGACTTCGGCCTGGCTCGCTCAGAATCAGCCTGTGTTGCTGGTGACTGGGTTCAGACCGTGTCTTACAGAGCACCAGAGGTACTGATGCAGCTTCCCTTTGGTGAGGCTGTGGACATGTGGTCTCTTGGTGTGACTACTGCAGAGATGGTCACTGGATACAAACTGTATGCAGGAGAGGATGACTATGAAGTTATGAGCCTAATCACACAACTACAGGGCCAGCCTGAAGATCATCTCGTGGACAAATCTATAGATCCTGAGTACTTCTTTACTCCACAAGATGCTGGCCCACGGCGCTGGAGATTTAAGACACTTGAGGAGTGTGGACTGATATCAGAAGAAAGGCCCAATATCAGGTACCACCATCTCAACAGTTTGGATGATCTGGAAGAGGTGATGGTTCAGCAGAGAGGACATGACGAAGATCACCATCTGCTAGTGGACCTGATTAAAAAGATGATGCCTGTGGACCCAGAGCAGCGCATCAAACCCCATGAAGTCCTAAAACATCCCTTCCTGGCTGACACCAACTGCTCTGGATACCACCATGAAAGCACCTCCCAGGATTCCTGGAATGAAACTTTCACCAAAGATAACAAGGCTGAAACAGCTAATGACAGTATCTGGTGGGAAAACCAACAACCTGAGGATTCCTGGAATGAAACTTTCACCAAAGATAACAAGGCTGAAACAGCTAATGACACTTTCTGGTGGGAAAACCAACAACCTGAGGAGAAATGGACTGAAGAAGAGGAGATTTGGAGAAGTCCTTCTCTGTCTTCAGGACCCATGGACACCAACTGCTCTGGATACCACCATGAAAGCGCCTCCCAGGATTCCTGGAATGAAACTCTCACCAAAGATAACAAGGCTGAAACAGCTAATGACAGTATCTGGTGGGAAAACCAACAACCTGAGGAGAAATGGACTGAAGAAGAGGAGATTTGGAGTAGTCCTTCTCTGTCTTCAGGACCCATGGACACCAACTGCTCTGGATACCACCATGAGAATTCCTGCAATGAAACTTTCACTGAGAATGAGGTTGTTATTCCTATGGGCACTATCTGCTCGGGATACCACCATGAGACAGTCCCCCAGGATTCCTGCAATGCAACATTCACTGAGAATGAGGTTGCAATTCCTATGGACACCATCTGCTCGGGATATCATAAGCCTGAGGAGAAATGGACTGAAGAAGAGGAGATAAAGAAAGAAAGCTGGTTGGGAAGAGCTGTCAAATGGATTAGAGCCACCTTCAACTTCTGTTGTTTTAGGCTCCCAGACTGTATGGTGTAATCAAATGGTGAATTATTTTTATAAATAAAAAAAAATAAAAATATTAAAAAATAAAAATATTGAATTATTTTTATAAATAAAACAAAAAAAAAATATATTTTTTAAAAATAATAAAAATAAAAATATTAAATTATTTATATATATATAAAAAAATAAATTAAAAAAAAAAAAAACAGTAACTCCTCCAAATTGTCTCACTTGGGACATTTTTGCCAGTCCACAGCCCGGATAAAGGAGGATGGCTGGTATTGTGACATTCAAATAACAAGAACTGATAGTAGAAAGTTCATTTGTAGTTCAAAACATATTTGGGGTGTTTTTTTACTCACTTTTTGAGTAAAAAACAGTGAGTGAATTGGGCAGCAGCCAAAGGCGGTGACCTTGGCAGTCTGATCCTCGGCTGCAGAGGCTAGCTCCAGGGATGTGGAATATCACCTCTCTGGTGGAGAAGCCTGAGCTGGTGTAAAATGTGAAGCTCCATCTACATATATCTGGCACGCCTGACAGCAGGGGTGGGAGCTGCTGCCACTCTGGGGCTGAAAGATGTCCTGGAAAGTCCCAAATCCCCCTCGTCCAGCCCCAGGTATACATCAGACTGGGTTCTAGTGCTACATTTCACAGTTTGCAATAACACAAAGTTAGACTGATTAAAGGAGGCTGCAGTCTGCATTTTTGTCTGCCGGCCAACAGGGGGCTGCAGACTCCATGAGCTGCAAAGGATATTTAGCTTTACAGAAGTGTAGGAGAAATTGGTCCCACTTTTCAGTTGATTTTTTTAATGATGATTGAGAAGGAGGAGTAGAGTGGCATATTCCTGCCATATATCACTAGAACACATTTATGCTTGAGATGTTAAAGAGTTACACACCTAAATCATGCTGCCCACGCACAGATATTCTCTCTGTGAGTGCTTTCACTGGAACTTTTCTCAGCTCATCAGTGAAGTTTAACTACTCTCATTGATCAGTCTAATTGTAGAAAAGAACTTTTTCACTTCAGCCAACCATGATAAGATACAGTGCTCTAAAATTTATATTTTGTTATAGAGGGGCCAGTGATTCAGTGTGCCTGCTGTAAAGTTTATAGCATCCCAATTATACAGGGGCCAGTGCCTTGGTGCATTTGCCCTGAGGATTTTAATCGAGAGTCAGTGTTTTATTGCACATCAAATGATGCAGAGATATCAAAGCAGTCCCTGATTAGTGAATTGATCTCGGCTGTGGGCCTGGCTGGTTGCTACGGCGACTTGAGTTGCCCGTGACGACAGACGCACTGAAGGCCAAGGCAGTCATAATGAGAAAAAGAGAGATTTTTTGCCTTGGTGCTGGTCTTATGTTTGGGCTTAATCTGACAAAACGGAAGCTCCTTTCAGAAAAAAAGCACTCCGTGGCCATTGTTAGGACTTCCTGAATGCTTTGATATGATTTTGGTGTTTCTACAGTAGATAGTTTTGACACAATTGCAAGTTAGAAACAGGAGTCCTTTCTGCTTCTCTCAGAAAATCTTTGTATTAGCCTCAGTGAGGAACAGAGGGAGACATTGCTGCATGTAGAGGCATAAGCCTCAGCGTTTAGATGCTAACTAGAAACACCATTAGAGACAGAACAAGGGGGTCTGAAACTGTAAAAAAAACATGCATGTAGAATGTAATTTCTGGCTGGAAGGAGGGTAGAAAGAGAAAAGTTTCAGACATTTTCATGCAACTTCTCTCACTCTAGCCAATGTTTTTAGCCACTCTGGCATGAAAATTTCACACAATACACACCCATTATAATCTCAAAATTTCTCCAAAGATGATCATGGTCATTTAACAGTGATTGAAAAACTATAATTCCTATTGAAATGTGGATTAAAACACCAATAGACAAGATTTTGTGTCTACATTTAAAGTTTAAATGGAGTCTCTAGGTATGCTGGAATAGTAGACGTTTGAAGAACTCCAACTCTGTTTTTTGGCTTATCCTATTGACTTCAATGCAAGCTGGTACTACTGAAAAGTGAAAATGCTATTGCTTTAACCAGGGACTCATTAAGTAATCCAATATTATCTCTCAAAGTAGCTGCACACTATAATGATAGCTTGGACATTTGTACATGCACTCCTGAGTTACTCATTGAAAAAATATTAAATTCTGTTTTTTTTTGCTAATTATGCTGTCTAATGCCGAAGTCATGGCTCCAGATCCAGTGATGCAGAAGAGCAGCATTTATTTTAATTAAATAACAAATCTAAAAGTCAAGATCATGAAGTACATTTCAACCCACATATTTGATTCCCAAGTCAAGACACTGTTAGCATTGCATTACATTGTAGGGATGGACAAAACCGTTTTTAAAATGCAAAACAATTATTCACAATTAATAACTGAAATTGGGCGATAATCCTGATTTAAAATGAATCATTTGACAGCCCTACTTTAATGTCATTTGTTCGCCTGCAGTGGGGTTGGTGTCAGATGAGGCTGAGCAGCTTCTCCAAAAACAAACAAACAAAAAAATCAAAATATTAGCTGAAATACATAGCCCCTCTCTGACAAAGGAGCTTTACTGGAGCTTTAAAAAAAAAAAAAAAAACAGCCACCAAATCAACACTGAACAACTGGAGCCCCGCAGACAATCTGTTTCAAGCCCTTGATTACAGTTTATCAAGCTCTGAGCCCTGATGAATAACTACCAGATAAACTGAAATTAAAGATTCCCAGGCACAGCTGCTTCCCGGAAAACCTCTGACACCCTTGTGGTTCTCATCAAGGTAAAAATATGTCCCAAGTTGAAGCCACATAGTGTTTATGTTCTGGCTGTAAAGATCCAGCTTTGTTTTACTTTTATTTTGGTGGCTGTTCTCTGCTGCTTCTCCCGTGGCAGAGATTCCATTCAAAGTCTATAAGTTTTGTACAAATCCCACAGTTTCTGAGAGTACGGTTTGTAGAAAACCTGAACTGCAGGAGATAATCCAAAATCTGCAGATTAAGAGCACAAGTCTTTCTCCTGTAAATTCCTTGCTTTGGAGGCAGATTTTTCACACTTCATCAAGATGTGTTCAGAGCTCAGTGGGCCTCAGGTGTGTGCTGGGAGTAGATGGACCAGTAGATGATGTTGAAGAGGATGTAAGATCCTGGAAATAAGAACCTGGAGTATTTGTCTATGACGTGTGTGTCGATCCAGACGTTGCTGTAGGCACTGGTGCCGACGTGTCCGGTGATCTGGTCGCTCTCCATGGCCATCTGCACCAGCATCCTTTCCTGTTTCACCCCATTCTCCTCCGGCATGCCGTAATTTCCGGTCGTGTTTGCGTCCACCTCGCTGTAGCTGGCAGACATCATGCCAGGATGAGCCAAGCCACAGGTACACGGCAGCTGCAGGGAGACAACAAGAACTAAATTGCTTTTGAAACATTGCATGTCCATGATAAACTTAGTTAAAATGAACTTTGAATTCCTGTCTGGCTCCTCTGCCCCGAATAAGTTGTTAGGGTTTTACAAACAATTACAAGCAATGTGAAGTCTCTGCACAGAAATGAAAAACAAACAAACCAAACAAATCAGCCTTCCAATAATTAAAACCAAACAAGGCAGATTTTAACCCATTTTTAGGAACACCTCTTGTATTTAACAGGTAGATGTCTGGTACTGACCCTCTCTCTGAGTTTCCTCTCCTTGCGTTCTTGCAGAGTAGACAGGTAGTTGACTGCAGCGTACTCAATCACAGACAGGAACACAAAGACAAAACTGACCCAGAGGTAAATGTCCACTGCTTTAATGTAGGAAACCCGCGGCATGGAGGCATTCACTCCAGTGATGATGGTGGACATGGTGAGCACTGTGGTTATACCTAGGGGAGGTTCAGTGAGGAAGAGAGCAGTAAACATCTATGTAGTGGGCAAAAAAATCACCCAAGTAGACTGTGAACTAACAATAGTAAAGTCACTATCAGTATCAGCCAACAAAGCCGAGAAAGACTGTCTTTCTCACCCAGTGGCACCCTAGCAGGTACAGCCCTGCGGTCAATCCAGAAGGACACCCAGGACAGCATGACCATCAGCGTGGCGGGGAAGTAAGTCTGCAGCAGGAAGAAGAAGATGTGACGCCGCAGAGTGAAGGTGATGTACAGACGGTTGTACCAGCCTGGAGAAGAAGACATTAAGTCAGAATCTAAAAGTTATTTAAGGATGAGACAGGCATGTGCTCTCAGTACCTGTGCTGCTGTAGAAGGCCAGTTTGGTGGTGGTGTGAAACTCCTGGATAAGGAACTGGGAGAGTGAAATCCTCTCGTCTATATTTAAAGACCTGTTTCCTTCCTTCCAGTACAGCATTAGGTCGTCATCTGTGTATGCATCTGGAATAAACAAAAGCATTGTCTGAGGATCTGTGAAGTAAATCCTTCATATTTAACAAATTAACCACACCGCCCTGCTGAAGTTACACCAGAAATGAAAAACAGGACCGAGGCTGAAAAATCTCAGCTGCAGTAACTTACAACTCTCGATCTCCAGGGAACATGTCTGAGTATCGAGTGGAAAGCGGCTCAGGTCCATGCTGCACATTGCAGTGACTGTTACTCTGTAAAAGAAAAAACAAGCTTTGTAAAATGTGAGGCCAAATGTCTCGACAGAAATGATTTACAATCTGCAGGGGTTGCCAGACTGAAACAAGGCAGCTGGGTGGGCTGTTCAAGTGTATTTCTTGCCTTCCTCGTATATTTGCCAACTGTTTTTATATGCATTATCCTTTTACCTACTCTGTGGCAGGGGTGAAAAGTAGGATAAGGTTCTTGCAGGTACTGTAGCAGTAGGCTTTGTACAAAAGGAGCACACCCAAGTTTAACAAGGTGCCGACTCTGATGCCACAGTATCATCATCTGCTGCCTCTCTTTCTCTTCAACATAAAATCAAATGTATCTCTGTATTTTGTTTTATTTCTGCATTAAGATTGAAGCAGCTATCTATTTGAAAGTTCCCTCCTTCCGCAAAAGGCGGGGGGCAGTCCCCAGCGCCTAGGCAACCAGCGTCCAATCAAAAGTGCGCACTGAGTGATCCACCATAGATGTATACAAAAACGCTAGATGGTTTACGCACGCTGTTTGCCAATGGAGACTGACGTCCGCGTATGGCGGCCATCTTGCTACGGGACGCTCGCCCACTCATAACATTACAGTGTACGGTGCATGTAGCATTTAAATAACCTTAAATAGCTTAATTTTAAACCGATTTTCGAACGGTTTATCATTTATCATTTCATGTATGTTATATTAGTAATAGTTCTATTATAGGGATAACTATAATAACATATAGCAATAACATATATAGGCCTAAATATTTATTTCAATATAAATTTCTGCCTCATGTTGCTATTTTAATTGTTTTTACCAAACCAAACAGCTTGTAAATCATGTGCAACTTAAGTTATGTTGAATCGAAAGAGCATCTCTGCCTCTCCAACTGATGTAAAATTGCTGGGTCAACTTTTAAACAACTGTGCTTCCTGATTAAATCTATTTTTTTCCAAAGTAAATTCAATATTCAATATGTCTAAGCATCCCGACTCAAAGCCACGTCATTGAGGTCTGTAATGAACTAAACAGTTTCTAAATCTGTCATGATTTCAACGAGTTATGAGCATTTTGATCATGCAGATTACTCACCTTCCAGAAGCTACCAGAGAGCATACCAGAATGGTATACTGAAGTAAGATGGCCGCCATGTTGGGACGCCGGTGACTCCGCCTGGAATCATCTAGCCTTTCTTATATATGTCTATGCTCCAACTGCTGGAGTTTGTTTGTTTGCGGAAGCAAATACGACTCACTCGTAAGCAGCATGGTCCTACTGGATTACTACGGTTACAACGCAGAACGCAGACTGATGTGCGGCAACACGGTAAGCTAATGCAGCCTACATACATTAAAGTGGTGAAAGTTTGCATACTGGCTGTAAACTGCTGTTTATGTCTTCCCCGTACTGGTCTGTAGAGTATCCCACATATGGGAAATACCTGGGTGGGCCACCTAAGTATACGAGCAGCCACTCAGTTATATTTGCCAACCAGTCTAACATGAGGGACAACAAAACTAAGGTAATTTAAGAAAGTGAACAAATGGATAACATGAAGTAGTATAAGGGGTTGTAAACAGTATTTAAACATTTTCCAACATTTGAATAATTACTCTTTAAACCAGCAGTACTTCCAGACATTAAAAATGTCTGCTTGTGAAAAATAATTTCAGTCTTGTTTGCTTCTGTAGATGACAAGGAAGCATCAATTTTAATGCCTGTTTTATGACTTGCTAAAAACTCATCACAAGAGCTTTAATATGACTAAAAATAATTTACTTTATAAAGCTGACGTTATAAAGAAATGAGAAACAGAAACCTAAATTATTCACGTACCAGGCTGTTTTTTCAGCCATTATGTTGGACATTTTGATATGGGGATCTATGGGGATTGGCTCACTTTTGGAGACAGCCTCTGGTGGACACTCAAAGAACTGCATTTATCTTCCTGCACAAAGGAGACTACATCTTGGACAATACACAGTGCAAATAATTTCCACTGACATTTCAGTCTAGACTCAACATGCATGTGTAACCCTTTCCACACTCAGGCAGATAGCGTGTGGGTGGGAGGGAGGCCTCAGCACCAGATTTGGTTTCCAGTCCTGAGATGATAAATGAAAAACATAATCCCGCTCACAGGACCAGAGAGGACCACACGATCTACAGGCTCGGTCTGCCAATTGTCATCCTCACCCACCAATCTGCCTTAGTCTGGGAAATCTCCAACCAGCGCCATCCGCTAGATTATCTCAGGTCATGTGATGAGGATAAATGATTATGTCTAAAAATTACAATTACATACTAACCCCTGATGTACAGCTTACTATCACCGGGATGCAAAGACCCAAAGTCAACGCTGAGACCATGAATGCAGTCTCAACAGGACACACTTTCCAGACATTTCAGATCAGTCTTTGAGTGTTGGTGGATTGGGGTTTTCTGGATGCTGACATCATAGTTGAGTTTGGTTTGTTCCCATCCGTCATGAGGCAGGTCTGAGCAGGAGGCAGATGGCCAGCTGTTAATCTCTGCCAGGCTGTGTACCATGGATTACAGAATCATCCATCTTGGCCTCGAGTCTCCTATCGCTCACCAAAATTACAAGGTCCTGCTCTGGGAAGTATTAGTGCTTGTAATTGGCAGAACTTTATCCCCTTAAATACACATCTTGTACTGCAGCAGCTGGAGCCACTTTGTCTTGGTGGGACAGCCAAAGGTAATTACATCCCTGAACACCCACTAACATCATAACCTGCCCCACTGACTAACATGTACCTCATCTATCTTCTACTAAGGAAAACTCTAAGTATAACTCCAAATAAAAAACCTTAGACTCACCTAAGACTGTAAAGGACTTTGCCATCAGGATAAACCCGCAGCATGACGTTGTCTGTAGTGGTATCATGGGTGAAGGATTTCTTTGAGTGGACAAAAAACATGTCAGGTACCCAGATTTTCTTCACCAGACGGCCATCGAAGGTCATACTCTGGTTCCTGTTGCTCCTGAAGGACAGACGCTCATCTTTCCAGTAGTGCCTCAGGTACAGCGTCATAGTAAAGTCCTTCAAAACAAGAAATATATGCATCTGTCACAGCTCATACATCCATTGATGGATAAGATACAATTTGGCCCAGACTTACCATATCGACCTCTGAAATAGCATCTAAACTTTCAACCTGAACATCCACTCCAACTGGGACTGCAGGTCCTGAAAAACATGCAGGAGAGATTCATATAGGAGCAACTTGCAGGTTTGAGACCCACATAATAAGGACAGGTTCAGAATCAGTGAATATGGATGTCAATGCCAATCTTTGAATAAGAGTTAAATTATGAGCCTTTTATTGACTTTGTATCATGGTGACAAATCAAGGACTGACTTTTCAACAGCCGTTTTCAATCAGGTCTTGGGCTCTGATTGTATGGCCAGTGCAAAGTATTTTGGCGTGCAGCAGAAGTGTCATTGTTGTTTCCACCTGAAGCTCCAGTAAATTTTACATCCTGCAACCCTGCTGTGTATAACAAGAGAAAGCATGCAGGAATTGGCACCTGTCTTTGTGCTGATCTTAAAGAGGTGTGGTGAATGTGGTATTGCTGTCTTAAGGGCGTACCTCGGACCAAGAACTTTCCTGGTATTTAGAAGGTGCATTTGTGAGACAGCATAAATAGCAAGAGTTCACAGCTTGCTTTCTTTTGTGATGTGCAGCCATGATGTCGCAAAGTTTTATTTAGCATTTTCTCAATTACACTCAGAAACAGACACACGATTCACTCACACTTGCTCGAATATGCTTAGGTACATTTTACAATCCTGAAACATTAGAAACATATGTCAACAGCCTATTTTCTTCGATGTAAGGTACAGACTGAGTTAGACAGAGTTAGACATCATCAAATCCTGCCCCATACATTAGCATATCCTGAGTTTAAATACCTAATCAAGTTACAAGGCGTAGTTTTGTGAATATGTATCCCTAATCTATGTGTTGATGTGACTTCTATGGTGACTTGTCTGTTTTCTGCAAAAGCAGAGAGAGAGGGAAGTTAGATATGCTGGTGAGATCCCTGTTTGTTTAGAAAGGCTGAAATGTGCTGCATAAATAGTAACACCTCTGTCTCTTAAAGGGAATGGGGACAGACAGTCTGATTGGTCAACCAACAAGATTGTGAAGTGCATAGATAAATAATGGAGGTCAGAATACACTCAGCAGAAAGCACTTGCATCTCTACTTGTTTGAATAAGTTCTTTGGCATCAACACTGTCAAAAACTTAACCTGCAGGTTGCCCTTTAAACTTTTATTCAAGTGATGGTGATGTTTGAAGCACAGCGGTGAATGTTGAGCGTGCAGACGTAAAAACTGCCTGGATTATCTGTGTTGGTTCAGAGGTTGTGACTCCTTTTAATGCCAGCCTTTTTTCCTGCAACAATAAAATCTGCTCCCTTTGATCCAAATCCTCATAAAAACAGAGCGGTGTAGATTTCTCTTTAAAAAATGGCACAGAGCCTGCAGAGGGAATCCTCTAATCCTGACTGATATTATGGAGCAACCTTTTTTTTTAAAAAATATCCCTGTCTATTTTTAACGTTTAAAACAGAAAGAAGCAGGTAAATGCATCTACGTATACCCTTGACTTGTTTGCACTTAAGCACATTAAACTTCACCTCTATCATCAGTGATTAACACTCAGTCTCTGCTGTCAACTCCACTGTAAACGCCCTTTGACAAATCATCAAGTGTATAACTCTTTACTTAAAACTAGAGGAGCTTACATTTCTGTTTTTTTTTTCTGCATCCTCATGGATCCTCGGTGGGGTCATTGAAAGACTGCTCACATTGCGGTTATCAAAGAAGTCATTCATCCCACCTCCAAGTAATGTAGTCTGATGATAATGTAAACCAGCTCTCAGCCACTAGGCACCTCCACTCTGGTGCCCATCCATCAAACATCTTGAAGGCACTCAGTGAAATATTTGTTTCTACCTCTGTAAAAATTTTAACATGAATATTACGCTAACAAGTGCAAAGAATGCTAGAGGATTATAATAAATTATGATAGCTATAAAATTATAGTGATAAAAAGGTTCACAGGTGGTGGATGACCCTAAGGTAGAGAAATTTCTGTCCTGTAAATACAAAGCTACCATGAGCCTAAAACAGCGTTAAAAGTGGGGTAGGCAGGAATCCGTTAAAGAAGCATCTTTTTTTGTGGTGTACATACAAAAAAGCTTTTAATATCAGTCAATAGCTATTAGTCATTGATGACATTTGGTAATATAACGATATCGCTGTGTTTTGTTATGTCTGTGTAGTCAACATTTTAAAATTTCAGAGCGCTCTGCTCTTTTTGACTGTAAACAAAGCCATTCCCCGCCTCCCCCATCCTGATTGATTGTGAGGCAGATGCTGCTCCCCCATGTTGTTCAGGAGCCCAAACAAAGTTAGTGTGCTACAATATTGGACAGTAGTTCAACCAACCAGAAAGTACAGAAAATTAACAAATCCTCCTTTAGCCACGACTGCCAACACAAGCAAGAAAATGAACTAATTATTGGCGGAATAATGGGCGCTTAAAAAGGAGGTCGACCACCCAGACAAGCTAAAAAAGCAGGATCAACAATGATGGGGGACGCTTTGGGATCTTACGGACCCTGTAACCTTTCTGCTGGACAGGTAAACCGCTTTAAGCCAAGTGTCTGTAACAGAAGTCTTTCTGTCAAACGGGATCTGCTGCGTGTTGTAGCGCCACTAAACTGTTTACCCCGGGTCCTGGAGTATGTTACTTTATGCTAGTTGTAGAAGTCCTGCAAACATTGTGTTTGCTGGTGGTCTGTTGGCATCTACAGTAGCACCAATGCTGTTTACTTTCACGTTGACTGGGCCCCATTTGTAATCATCTGAAGTATTTATCTGCATTATATTTGAATTTAACTGGAAAGATACAAGCGAGCAGGAGTGTCTGTTTGTGGGCGGGGCTTGCTGGAGCAGAGATGGAAGGGAGAGGAGGAGCTGAAAGGAAAACTGGTTGTGAGGGGTAGAGTTTACATTTAAGATTTCTCCCCAAAACTGACACTTCCTCAGATCCTGCCTACCCCACCTTTAATTTTCTTATCAGAAATTATGACGATAAATGATTAGAAATTACATTTATTCCACGACAAAGACGAGAAGATGACAAGCTAAGAACAGCCTACATCACAAAGACACCTATGATTTGGCTATTGGCCCATGCTTTGACTTCATTAACTAGACAATGATGAGACAAAAAAATTTCAGACCGACTGTTAAAGATACCTGATCCCTTCCCACTGCACCTCTGATCCATCACTCAGATTACAAGCTGTGAACCAGACTGAGTTAGTTTGCACCAAAGTGTGAGAGTTTAAAAAGTGCACAGATTCAGACTGCGAGCGCTGCTAATGTGGCAGATTTGGATGTAAGTTATTGAAACCTAAAGCGACAGGCTGCTGGGTCATAATTAATCACAGCAGCGTGGATCAGACTTAATCCCGGGCTGTTATGTCATCTGTGCTGGACTCTCCCACCGCCCACATTCTGGGAAGTGTATACATCGGATGGAGAGGGTAGATGAGGTGAAGTCTAAACTAACAGATGTGGCTAATGGCTCGTCTGGATGCTGAATTAAAACACAAGTATCTTTGAGGAGTGATAGGCCTGCAGCAGTCTGCAGTAAGAAGAAGCTCTTCACCTCCAAAGCCGGGTCTCATGGTGAAGTCGTGGTCATCGATCCTCAGCAGCTGCTCAGATTTTGTCCCCCAGGCTTTGGTGATGTCTGGACTCCTCTTTAACATGGGGCTGAAGGACGGACAAGGAAGAGAGATCATTGGAAAGTCCATCTTTAAACCAAAATGTCAAGCTTTCTTACATAAATTACAATTAACTTTCAATTTCTGTATATTTTTTATTTTTTGGTAGATGTACTTTATGTTTAATATTCAAGGGCACTGGACCAGGAGTCAGTTCATAGTCAGTGTAGGGATGTCACGGTATATGGGTATTGACAATAACCATGTCACATGAAGAAGACATAGCAGACTGCTGATAAGCTAGCTGTAGCATCCCTCTGAGATTTGACTGGACACTTTGAAAAGTGAGGTTTAAGATCTATTTAGTTCATCTAAAAATGATATTAGAGCTTGTGCCTGTTAGATTTAACATTAAAAAGTTGTCTCTTGTTTGTTGTTATCTGCAGAGATCATTTTACAGGAAGTTAGAAATCAGGTCGCAGCATTTTGTCTGACGTGTTCTGTCTCTTTGAGTCTCTCTAAACAGTTTGCTAAAACATGACTGGTCAATACCTGCACTTGAATGCAGAGAACAGATGTGAGAAAATAGAGCGTCTCTCCTACATGGTATCAGCACTAATTTAAATTAGCAACATGATTACGTTTTGTCAGCTTAACCCTGTAGTCATTTGGCTTTTGTTTCTAATAATAACCGGAGACCTCTGCTTAGGTGTTTTCTCTTTTTACCACTCCATCCTCTGTAAACTTCAGAGGCAGCCGTGTTATAACCTCAGCAGAGGTAAACGTTATGTGATGTCCTGTGCTAAAAGCCTCCAGTCGGCCAACAAAAATCATTTAATGGTTTTAAACTATCCGAATGACGCACTGAACTTTCCCAAAATCCACTTTCCTATTGATCGCTTCGCTCTGTTGAACAACAATGCCGGTTAGGAAGCGGGCGCATCGGATATCAGCCGCTTCCTGAAAGTATTTCCATGAAGGTGAAGGAAAAAAGGACATTTAAAGAGCTGAAATTTTTCTCAGAGGAGCATTCACCTAAAAATGCGTGCTTGGTAAAGGTTTCTCAAAATTAGCTTAATCACATGATTGAGTTGGCCCCATCTGACAAATCTACATCCTGTTTCTAATGGCGATTTCTCAGAAAAGGGATCGAGCTGACCGACTTCCTCCACAGCTAAAATACTCACAACTGGCATGTGGCTTTTTGTGCGACAACTCTTATTTTTGTTACGATTATATTGTGTTTTATGAAGATGAATTATGATGACAGCCATTGAAGTCAGCTGACTGTTGGTCCAGCAGCAACCAGCTGATGTCCTCATGGACACCGCTTCATGTGATGCATGGAGAAAAAGATTTTTCTCTACTGTGAGGGATGCATCTTTAGGGAAGTGAGACGCAGCCACTTATACATGTTTATCAATTCTACATGTAAGAATCCATGATCAGAGTATCAACAGATGAGTGGAAGAAAACACTGAAGAGAAGCAATAGATAAAACAATTGCACTCTGTCACTCCCTGCAGAAATGTTTTCAGTATCGCAGGGATTGAGAGGAAATATTCACAGTAGAGTTGGAGTAAAAGTTTCTGCCTTTGCGTTCACACATGCAGCTCATCTGTATATTTTCAAGATACCCGTGCATACAGCTTCAGAAAGATATAGATGGATAATGTCATGATATTTATTTACTATTATCTTATTCGCTTTAAACAGCTCAGGGAGTACTCTTAAAAACATCCTAACTCTGAAGGCGAAGACTAGATAATACCCAGCTTAGTAAAATACGCTTCAAGTGCAGCTGCAAACGGAAGTGTGATTAAATTGTTGACCGTGTGTCTCTAAATCCATTCATGCTGCATTGATCTCCTCTAGAAGACTCTCCTGTCTAACCGCTGTTATCTATCTAATTATATCAAAAACAAAAACATCATACCTGCCAATCCTGTGAGTGGATCCCTCTGTTAGAGCCATCTCTCTTTTTGACCTGGAAAGACAAATCATGAGTTAAAATAGGACTAGGTGAATAGGAAATAGGACTTAGCGATTATCCAAATTTCCTTTATGATTATGGTGAAACTGTGTGTTTACGCTCATTTTGTCCAAGAGGATGAATGGAGTGCAACCTCCCTCTCCTCTTTCACAGCGGAGTGTGTGCTCTAACCTTCCCCTTAAACTCTCATTCGAACTTTATTAGTGGCTGCGGCTGAGTGCAAAACAAACTGGAATTGCAGGGGTGTGGGTCTGCCTGAAAAGCTAAAGGACAGGGTAAAGCATGACAAGACACGCTGTGGATTTTAACAGTTCATGGCAGAGTTGTCTCGTGAGGTCCTTTCACACCAGATTTCATGTTGTTGCGACGTCAGATTCACTGGTATATCCAACATGGCCAACTGGCTAATTGTTTGCGTGTTGGAGAACAGAGTGCTTTTTGATAAAAGACACAAACATTACAAAGATAATGACCTGAAGGACAACTTGTGGAGAGTCATAGCGTCGGATTTTTCACACGATGGTTTGTGTGCTTTAACAGTTTGCTATACGTCTTTGTTTTAACTTTCATCTGTGCTAAGTAACTTTAGCTCGTAAGCTAACCTTTTCAGATACAACATACCATATGTATTTTCACTGTCTCAAACTCAATCGTGTTGCTGTCACAGCACCATTAGGTCTCATTTGTTGTCTTACGTTTATGGATTATAGTTTAATGTGCTTATCTGGTACTGGCCCCGACTCAGTACATGCTATCATGACAGACAGACATCTCAACACTAGTGTCTATTCAGAACTGAAAAACACTCAGTCTGCTGTTATGTCAGTCTTCTCGCTTCCACCTAGGACGCGTCTTTTTTTCCCTCCGGAAAGTTGCAAAATCGCATCGGGATTGATGTGTATAGTCAGGTGCGTCAAAATTCGCCTCTGAATATTTTGTAATTTCGTGTCGTATATTTGCGTGGTTCCCAGTATGTAAGGACCTTTACATTTAAATATGTTGAATTTCCCCTCTGGGATAAATATAGTTCTTCTTCTCTTAGATAAGTAAACATGAAGAGCAAAGAAAAAGAGATTCAACTTAACAACACTGAGCAACGACAAAATAGTTGGGGCGGTGTGGTGAGGTCTTATCTGGTATTATCCTGCAGGTCAGATTGGGCATGTTACTAGTAAATAAAAAAAAGAAAATAAAGAATCAGATTTTTGGATTCCTATGAAATAATATTGTGAATATTAGTTATTATGTAACAGGCTTAAAAAAACCTGCAGCCTCGGTATTGATGCAAAACTGAAGCAAAGCTCAGGTAGGAGTCTGTGCTGAACACCTCATGCAGGACGAGTGCTGAACAGAGGACAGGAGTGTGCACTCTAAATAAACCTCAGGAGAGACGTTAATCTCTCTCCAGATGCCTATGGGAGATTAGAGAACATATAATAAAATTGTATTGTATTATTGCATAATAATGAGCATGCACTGAGAGAATCTATGAATAATGACTGGACTGTCATGCCTCCACTGATCCATCAAAGCTTTGCATGACAAGGGACTAAGAGAGAAATCACGTACGAGGTTTCCTTAAGATGAAATATCAAGAATCTGATTAACTGTTACGACAATGTCTTTATAATATAATATGCTGCAAATATAAGCTAAAAAAATCAGCTTAATCCAGGAAAAAATGGAAAATTTCAAAGTACTCTACTCTTTTCTTGAGGAAAATAGTCAAAATAATGTTAATTTTTTGGCACTGGTGGCAAATTACTTTCTAATCCTTCAAAAACAATGCCGTTGAAAAATGAAGGAGGAAGCAAATCATTTCTACAGCCTCTGTAAGGCAAGATTAGTTTTGTTAAACAGTTGTGTAGAGACCAAAATAACTCATTGAGGGCAAAGATTACGGTTTTAGTTGTGTGTGTGTGACCCAACAATCTGCCTTGACTTCCACCCAGAGCAGACTTTTGGCCCAGTTACATACCCAGCACTGGCCTGCAGTTCTAGTGTTATTTCTATCCAACACACTCATCATTTTTACACCCAGCAGCGAGTGTTTAACAGGCAGATGCTGGTGGGATGTTAGTCTCATGTGAACTGTTTGGATTACTGTGTTCTTGGCCGCAGTGATTGTGCTTTTACCTTCGCTAACAGCTTGGAGGCATTAAAACGGAGGAATGATTAAAACTGGCATTACAAAGAGGTCAAAGAGCTAATGAGTGCGGAGAGCACCGTCTGGTTTTCCTTGTGGCCTCTGACTCTCAAAGTAAGTTGAGTCAAGGACACCATGGGGCTAATCACTACACAGACAGAGGCAGAGTTGTCCGCTCTATCTATCTTGAAAAAAATACTGCGCTAATAATACCCAGGCAAACACCACACTGAGCAATAGATGGCTATTTGACATCTAGTTTTTTAGATCTAGACGGAATTTAGACGTTGCAATTTAACCCATTTATTTAAAAAAAGCCACTGTAAGTTACATAACTGATCTCCAAGTACTTAACCAAAATAATTATGATAGCCATTGAGCAATATACAGTGTAGTTTAGATATAACCCAGGTTTGAGTCTAAATTTAGACGTCTAAAAAACTTTGATTTTTAGACCTGTGGTAGCCTGATTTTAGACCGGTTGTCTCGACCACATTTAGACGTCTATGGAGTTCTTTTAGACCAAAAAATGCTCAGTGGGACACACTCATAAATTTTTGCTGTGTGCTCTTATTTTGAGTTGGACTGTGGAGATAAGCTGTCAGCATGTCTCACTGGTTGAACCTGCTCAGCTTGACAGAGGTCATCTCTCTCCACCTGTGGATGATAATCTGGATCAAGTGGGGACATGTCTCATCTGTTTATGGTGAATTTAATTCATGATGGATGTGACTTTAGTTTGACTGTTTACAGCCGAGCTTCAGCTTGTTCAAATAAAAAATCTAAGGCCAAGTGATAGATGTTCATTTGACTTTATGACAAAGGATGATTGAAGTTAAATTCTTGATGTTCTCTGTAAAGTTTCTCATTAACGGGGCAGAACCAACTGGCGTCTATTGTGGCTAATCATAGACTGTATGATGGCAGACTTTAGACAAACTATAGAGATTAGATGGATGGATGGATGGATAGATAGATAGATAGATAGATAGATAGATAGATATTTTATTAATCAGAGAGGGAAATTCAAAGAATTACATTTGTGCTCAAGTCCTCTTTTTTCTGTTCAGTTCAGTTTTTAAAAGTTATTAGGGGGTTCATGTTTTCTATGTTTGACACTTGAGACAGCCTATGGGCGTATCATCACAGCGACTCTCTCGAATGCGCACAATGCTACTCCGCAAGTGGTGGAGTGCGTACAATGCTACTGCGTAACGCTGGTTTTAGGAAAAATGCAAGAGCTTTTTGGCTTCAAATTCATATACTGGTGGAGGGTGGAACCAAGTTGTCGTAGTGACATGGAACAAAAAAATACCAGGAAAACCCCTGAAATAGAGGCATGTGGAGGAAATGTGTCTAAACTAGAGCTACACGAGAAAACTACAGCAAACATTAATCAACACCATTACACCGAGTATGATAAGACAGGGAGGAACAAGATAAGGGGATTTGAAAAAACAGCCTATATCTTGAAACTGAAAGGGCTGAAACTGTAAATGGAATGATACAGTAAAAAAAAAAGATCATTATAAACATTACTCTGTAATCCCATTTTAATACAATGGAATTAATCGTGATAAAATACAAAATAAGGGCTCAAGTGTTTTAAAAAGTCCCACAAATCAGTACGTTGGTTACAAAACTTATGAGTAGTTCCTTGTTATCTTTTTCAAGGTAAAGAGAAATCAGCATTGTGCACATGAATCCCTGCCATTTTCAAAAGTAAGATAGATATATAAGTACTTTATTAGTAATTGAAAATGAGTCATCAATTAAAAGTACTATGTTTGTTATTAAAAGTAATTACTTTTAATAGTTTGGAATTTATACCTTCACAATGAAAGCATGTGAAGCTGTAGTGTATCGCGTTTCCATGGTGATGAGGATGTTCTGGTGGATGGATGAGTGCTGAGGTTGTTATCTAGGGTACTAAAGCACCAAAGGTTTTTTGTTGTTGTTGTTTTTTATTAAGAGGACACTATGTTGTTCACAGTGTTTATAGCATTAGCTTTTCCAACATGAGACATCAGTGTCTCAGGGCCTAAAATAATCAGGCTAATGACAGCATGCCGATAATCATGGGGGCCATGTTGTGCTTTGCATGGATTTATTGGTTTGATAAATTATAGCGGCTGGCTGGTTTCCCTGAATGATCTGACCCACAGCTCTGTTTGGATCCTCCTGGTCCTCATTTAACCTCATCTAAATGAGTCGATCCAGAGGATTATTTGGCTTGAACGGCCTCTGCTGCTCTTATACTACAAAAAAAAATGTCAGTTTCTGTGCATAAGGAGATTTGGGCTATATGTCACCATGCTAAACAGCACATGTCTGCTGTGGTTACAAAGCCAAACAGGCTGTGTCTTTTATTTTAGAGAAATTAGTAAAATTTGCAGTAAAAACCACTCAGAAACTGGAGCTTTTGGGCCTTTTGGAGCAGAAGGACAATACAACATGTGCAACATTTGTGTTTCACTGAAACAACATTCAATTTGTGCTCCTCTTTCCGGACGGCTGAGCTCTCCTAAAGCCACAACAATAGCAATAATTCAGAGAGCACATTAACACAGTTAGATTAGGGGTTATATAATCACGGTAAGTGGTTTTTCTGAGCACATGTGTCCCCTTTTGCTGCTGTCAGCTAAAATCACAGCTTTGATTACACATCCTGCAGTTAGCAGGTCAGGTCAATAAAGTAGAGTCCAAAAAAAAAAACAGGTCCTGGATGAATGTGGCGGTTTCAGTGCTTTTGGACAGGAAATTATCTGCTAACTGAGTTTGGTTTAATTAAACTCACAGGTTTTTTGCCATGGCAACTCAACAGCTGATCGGAAATTATCTAAGTGTGCTCATCATAAATACAACATACAAATACATCAACATACATATTAGAGCTGGGTGATAAATCACATTTCAATTTTGATTACGATTATTGCTCCTAACAATAATAAAAATATGATCATCGATACTGAACGATTATTCTGCCACCTGTTGACCTCTTTACATCCTATATGTTAAATGAGGCGCATCCTCCCTCTCTTCCTTAACAGCAGACAATAGATCATAATAAAATAAAACAGTCCAACATTACATTAGTCCAGACATAACATTGTCTTTGAACATTCTATTCCGGGCGGAGATTCAGACAGATGACTCTTAGGATGCAAAAGGATGTTTTTAGATTTTTTGAGGCCACTTTTGCCAACCTGGATGGATAAATATCAGCTGTCAGAGAAAGTACAGTCTCTGCTGAGCTTGTCTGAGTAGAAGAGCTGCTGGAACCTAGAATTAATTGGTGTTCATAGTTCCTTTGAAATTTTGAATTTGTTTAATGGTCCAGAATATGAACTGTTTTGTTTCCTAACTTTTATTTGGTGGAGCAGGCGTCATGTGTATGGACACTGTAGTCTTTCTAGCTCTGCCTCTTGATAAGAGATCAATGATCTTACCTCTGCATACCTCTGTGATAATAACTCTTTAACTGCCTTTCGAGGCTGAGATGTAATTGTTTGCAATTTAACTCCTTGTCTTATGAGCACTTCATACTAGCTGCCCCCCTGTCCTCTGTTTTAGTTCCTCTTCTTGATTTATCACACAGGGTCATGTTGTGATGCTTTGGTTCTTTTGCAGGCATGACATGATATTTACTTGTCTGTTTTCAACCAAGTAACAACAAATTAACAACATTTTGAGTCTCCATGGTGTTAGATAAATGAGGAAAACTGGATTCAAGAGAGGGAGACAGTTAACAGTTTTTTCTTTATGCATTTAAGATGAGCAAATGACAAAAATCTGTTTTAATGACTGTTTTCGAACACATTTATTTGTACATTTTTGGCAGCAAAGAGATACAAGAACACTAATAATATTAATGCAAATATTGCATTATCATACGACAGAGCAGAGGCCCAGCAGCTGAAAGTAAATCTATTTGTTTTTCTCACCAAATGCACCAGAGTTTCTTATGTGATAAATTAGGGCTGCAAAATGTGGTGAAAACACGTAATTATTTTGCAGGTGCTGTTATTGTAACATGCTTCATAGTAAGTGCAGATAAATTTGCATCGTAATTTTAATTTGCAATAAAATAAAATACAGTTAAACAAGCTGTTGTGGCACTTCGGAGTTTGTACCAAGAAAACATGTTTTATTAAACATGTAGATCAAAATTTTAAAAAATGCAGAATATTTCTGCATTTATATAGGACTTCTTGGTTAAAACTATTCCTGACACATTTTACCTTTTATCAACTAATTGCAGTCTAGCAATTTGGATTTTACAACTGGCCATGGTTTGTGGTTATTATGCAGTTAATTGTGAAGCCCTTTGCTAAATTACCACTGGGCTCCTCAATAAGACAAAAGTAAGTCTAAATTCCTGCCAAGTGTTATAGAAAAAGTTACATTTTGAAAGTTAATGATTAAATTTATTCAACACAAGTTTTTGTTGTTGTTTTGGAGTAAAAACTTTAAATATAGTTGTAAGACAGAAACAGAGCAAACTCTCATCATGTAAAGCTCTGGAAGGATCTTTTTTATAAGCCTGGAAACTAATTTCTCGACTTTACTGGTTTAATGTTAAGAATAGCCTGTGAAGATCTCTGAAATTATTATTTCCATTATGATCCATTATGATTTTTCCAAACACAAGTTAATAAACCCTTTTTATAAAGTCAATCTGACTCTGTATTTCTTCTTTTGGAGATGCTGCACTCCTGTTTAATTCAGGGACAAATTACTTTACTGATAAACTTTGATAGACTTTGAAAGACATTTGATTTAGTTAACGTTGAATGACTAATATTGTACAGTTTCGCGCGTATTTACGCACGGCACTTTTTCTTATTCCGTGAAACTGACCTGACGAGTCTGAAGGGCTGCAGCATTTGACCTCCTAAGTAATGCTGTCCGGACACTCCGACCATCCAAACCAGTAGGTTGATCAGCACCACATCCGTGTGCATGGTGTCCAGCGTCCCCACAATTCTCCAAAAGTCTCAAAATTGCAGGTTACTCCCACAACTCTCCCCGCACAGGTCCCACATTCCGCACTCCCCGCTTCCCGCTGTGAACATGGTGAAAATCTATAGGCTGTATGGTTGTCGCGGTTTTTAATCTCACAGAGGAGGGGGCGAAGCATTTTCTCCTAAACCTACAAATCCTCCGCGTCAGATGGCTGGGATTTGCTGTCCGTGCGCTCGATGCGGTCTGAACGGACGGCACGTTTTTTCCGCCTGTCGAGAGAGGAGACCTTCAGCTCCTCGTGCAAAGGTAGAAGCTGAAATCTCTCCAGGCACGCTCTTAAATCCATAACGAGAGAGCAGAGGAGGATGATTGACATTTGGCTCTGTTGTCTCAGGTGATCAGAGCTGCCTGATCCTTTGAGCACAGCTGGTGATGAGTCTACAAAAAGACACACAGGTGCAGTGATGTGGATATCTAAAACACACAATGATAATATTATTTGAAAGCCCATTACCTATTACAAACATGTAAAATGAGTTATGTAACAGTGTGGTAATCCAGAGGAAGTGTTACTGTACTGTTTAAAACCTGGTAGGGTGACAGAGGATGAGGAGGTCGTTGGGGTCATTTACTCCATGGTTATGATATTTTTTGAATTCTCAAGCTTACGGTCCTTTTGAGTGGAGGCCTCTGAATGCCATGCCTCAACAAGAAAGGATGCATGCATTTTGTTTAAGATTTTTAAGAACATGTCTAAAACAGTTGTGTAGTTTCTTTTTCATTTTTACTTTTCATTCAGACTTGGCGAAACGAAAGGCGACGTGGCTCAACATCACTAGGTTTACTGTAACATGGCGTGGCATGACATGATGTTACCTGACCTGACACTGTTCATTATGATTTAGTGTGATGTGGTGTGGTGTGACTTGACATTATGTTATGATTTGTAATACGGTGTGGTGTGAGGTGACGTGACATGATGTGACCATGATGTGACTTGGATGAATGAGGAAAGTGTGGCAGAACTGAGGGCTGTTTTACGAAGTGTCAACAAAGTAGCTGACACTACAGGCTTGTGGATGGGTCTCACCACAGAGTCGTACGTTACCATCACTTGTCATTTCTGGGAATTGAAAGCCATCTACGTGAAACTTACACAGGACCAATTAATAGTAGTATACCACAGAAAATTTAGCCGACAGGTAAAAAAAAATGTAATATGTCAGTACTTGATTACTCAAACATGGAGATTACTGGAAATGCCCATTCCTAGTTTGGTGTAATGTCATGTATTTTGACCTGATGCAACTTGACGTGGTTTGATTGACTGTGACATGACAGGGCGAAGTGTAAAATGATATGAACTGATGTGGCGTGACATTGACCAGTTTCTAGATTTCACATTTCTTTACCTATATGATGGTGGTGACTCAGACCAGCTCCTTTTATTTATAATTGTTCATGTCAGGCTTGTTTTATTATTGGTGATCCATGTAAACATAAAGGCAGTGGCCTGTTTACACATCAGCTGAAAAGAATAGATAGACTGTGTTTGTTTTATTTCTACAAAAAGCCTACTTAAAACCAGCAATGAAGTTTGGTAAGCCAAAAGGTAAACTTGGTGGAAAGCTGACAGTGTAAAGCCAGTGCTATGATCGATTGTGGGCTGTTAAACAAATGTGTTTAAAACTCAATATTTGGTTCCCTAGTTTGATCCCCCTCACTATGTGCTGTCTCCCTCTGTAAAGCCCCTGGACAGTTTTAATACAACAGCAGTTGAAGTTGATGATATATGGTCTATAGGATTATCCAAAGATGATATAAGCCTTTATTCTCCTTTGCTTTCTAAGATTAAGAGTGATCCTTTTACATTGTTTGAGGAGATTATTTAATTCCCGCACAGCAGCAGCATACGCATAAACCCACGGCTGTCATCTGTGTCTCCAGACAGTCTGTCCAGGCTTGACTCAGACGTGACATTATGCAATATGACTTGATGTGACGTGTGTGACTCTCTGTATGTTCAGACAGCACGTAATCTATGCAAATTCAAGAATCCCGTCAAGTGCACTAATACAAACCTGCTGCACATGAAAAATCTGCCAAAGGGAAACTGGGACAAATGCTTTGAAAGCGAATGCATGAGGGACACGAAGTCGAGCAGAATACAATGGGTGCTTATTAACTGCAAATTCTGTGTCAGTATACTGTATACTTTTTTAGCCACTCTCAATACACTTTTTATAAGGTTAGGTTTCATGTTTAACACAGTCTATAGTTTGGACTCTTGGCTTCATTCCACCCTCGATTTTTCATAGTACTGAAACATGAGGAGGTATCTGTAAGCTTGCAGAAACATGGACGAAATGACCATGAAATATGGATGTAACACCTACTAGTTTCCACTTGCATGTGTAAGCAGGCGAGTCAACTGGAAATCCATTTTTATTCCAAGTGAGTTCCTATGATATGACTTTGTTTATCTAGTGTAAAAGTATCGTGACTCTGAGTGTCTATCTGACAAAGTTACCCCCTCCATTAGCATATCTTTACACGTGTCTAATGTTGAGCATAAATGAGCCTTGAAGCTTCTCTTGACAGACGCTTTTCAAAATACCATTGTTCGGAGGAGTAAGAAATAAGTTGTTTTATTTGGATGGTTTTCCTAATTCTAAACTCCAGAAAGTTTGAGGAAAAAGTCAATTTTTCTGTCAAGTCATAAACTGGTTCAGGGGTAATTTCAAATATTTTTGGCTACATTTGAATTGGTAATGTTCTCATTTATAACGCACACGCACAGGCTGTCATTGCAGTTGTATGTCCTTCAAAGACAATTCAAAGTTTGTCTTCAATGTCTTTAATTGTTTGTGTTTGTGTGAAAGTTTCCAAAAGTGAAGTAAGAGTTGTTTTAGTTTTTATTTTTCTGCCTGATAGCTCTTTGTTCATGAACTTTTTTCTCATATAGGAGTTTGGAAGATGTTTTTTAGTGACACCAGGGCTAAACAGACATCTCAGACCAGAGATCAGTACATTTTATATAGTGTAAACATTCATATCCATAATATGGTAATAGGAATCAACTTTGGAAACCTGTGCCTTGGCTATACAGCTAATCAAACCGAAGAATGAGAACTCATAATGCTGCGGTGGAGAAGTCTATTACTGAACTACTGAAATGTTAAATCATTGAATAACCTTACTGTCAGGCTTTTAGGTCATAACATAATTAATATTAAATAAAATTTACATATGCTCGCTTAACAAAATAAGGAAATGAAATATACTTGTTAGCTCATCTTTAAAACCAGTGATGTGAAGTTTTTTTTGCAATGTAAAAATTGTACATTGCAAAATCTTGTCACCCATTCCCAGAAACAGGTTATTGTCCAGGATGATACAGTCGAGCAAACCTGGCAGCGCGAGTTTGTGTTTGTTTAATGGTGTTATAGCTCCATCTGCTGCTCAAATGAATCCAGTCAGGGAAATACAAGTGAAGGTTCAAATGATGGTTAAATTTTCACTACTCTGTTAACCATTTATTGTTATTGCACATGCACCTGGTAAACATGTTGAAACAAGTGTTCTTCAAACACAGGAATACCCTTAACACAACAAAATAGTCTTTAAATGTTGTGTTTAATTTTTTAAGTTACAATGAAGTGGTCAAAATGAGTTAAAAAACAAACAAACAACAACAATCAGATCACCCTTATTATATCAAATAAATACATATAAATGAGTTAAGGCATATCTATACAATATACTATATATTTTTACCTCTTCCTGTTGACATTGTGGCATAAATGTTCTCAACAACACTGGTCACCAACATGAAGGCCTTGAAACTAACAAAGACTGGGAAAACACACAAGTATGAGTGGAAGAGACATCCACCAAATTGAAGAAAACAGACATGAAGTGACGTTAACAAGTGAGTGATATAAGCATTTACTTCACATTTAACCGTGGAGATGTGCAACATACAAGTACAGCAACACCGCTTAGATGAACCCCATGTGGATTTACGGGTACACAAAACTAGACATTATCGCTGCCATGTGTGTGTTTAATTTCCTAAAGAATCCAGCTAACTATCGAACAAATCAAGTCTGATTTAAGAAACACTCACTCTCTCACATTGCATTGTATCCATGCAACCACTAGAGAGCAGCAAATGCCTAATACTGAGGAGAGGATGAAGATGAACCGGCGTGGCGATGGAGAGTGTGGCAGTTTGCCATCTGGAGAAAAAAAAAGAAAACAAATTAAAATGAACAAAATCATGTGAGCTACAAAACGTTATTTCCAATACAAACAATAGATATTAACTTCAAATATTTGCGTGGCAGAAATATTTGATGAGCTCAAATGTAAATGTAAAACAAACAGTGGAGAATATTTATTATAAACAGTGAGGCTGCTGCTGTCACCAACCAGCAGATTTACAACTGTCTCTCTCTCTCTCTCTCTCTCTCTCTCACTCACACACACACACACACACACTCACACACACACAGACACACACATACACATGCGCGCGCAGTCACACACACTCACACACACTCACACACAAGCACAAGCAGAATTAATCTGGATTTGGTCGGTGGAAGATTGCTGCTGCTGATGGAGAGCCAACCCCATGACATTACATAAAGCTTTTTTTTCTGTCTCTCTTCATTAGAGGTTAATCTACACACACACACACACACACACGCACACACACACACACACACACACACACACACCAACTGTCAGCTGATCATATGGCCCAGACGTGTCAAAATCAAACAGCATCATTTCTAAATCAGCGCTGCAGTTTGCAGTTTCTCTCGTTATCTCGGAGCCGCAGACAGTTTGAGTTTCTCTCGACGTTTCGAAAACTTTGACAGAAAAAAAAAAGGGAGCTGGCAGAACTTCTGAGAAAGTCGTCTCCACTTTGAACACGGTGCATCAAACTGGAGGATGAGCCAACAAAAACAAGACAGATTAACATTTACGACACAGCTGATGACCTAAATTAACAACTGCACAACAACAACTCACTCAAGCCCTTGATTCTAATAACACAGCACCATCGCAGCGCAAATTCAAAAACTGCTGTGACACTTTGGAGAATAATGATATTAGAATGTGATGGTTGCCATTCCATTCCACTGACATGATCCAAAAGGGCTGGCAACTTCTATTGGCCCATTTGAGTGGAAACCTGTCTTATGATCTGACAAATTAAAATTTGACACTCTTTTTGGAAACCATGGCCGCCTTCAATCAAAAGAAAAGATGGTCCACCCTGTTTATTAACAGCACAACCTACATTCTGCAGGTATTAAAACTGCATTTTGAATTATATATTTTTTATAGACTTGATTAAATGTGATTTTGTCTTCTTTAAAGCCTTTTACCCTTCTTATTCATATTTTATAATTGTCCCCTTGGTCTCAGGTTTCTGTGATTGGGTTCCTGTGTTGGCTGGGTATCACAAGTTCTTAAAATGTCTTTGTTTTAATATCTTTGTTTTAATGACCTTTCATCTCATGTGACATTCATCAAAGCTTTTATATCATCCACTGATATTTATTTTATTTTATTTTATTTCTTTATTGCCAGAAATGTTACATTTCCCCCAAGTGTTCTCTTTTTGTTGTTCTGTTGTTTTTTTTAATCTTCTTTGTTTTCCTTCATGTTAAAGCACTCTGTAAACTCTTGTTTTCAAAAGTGCTATATAAATAAAGTTTATTATTATTATTATTATTATTATTATTATTGTTGTTGTTGTTGTTGTTGTTGTTGTTGTTGTTGTTGTTATTGTTATTATCATGGCTCTATAGTAAAAGAGTCCTGGTGCTAAAGTGGCCTGCCTTACTTGTTACCCATTATACAAAGGAGAACCCAAATAATTGAGTTCATGAAATCCTTTATAGGGCAAGATTAGTACAACATTTCATTTTCCTAAACTCTGGAAAAAATCTCTTAGAAAGTTGCTCCAAAGTATTCTCTTGGTTGTAAGGAAAGTCACAAATATTATTTCTTTCCAAAGATGAAGGGACCAGAAAGTTGGGAATTTTTATTAAGTTTTTATGAATTTGGGACAGCATTGCTGTTTGCTCCCCCTGTTCGACTCCTTTGTAAACAAGAACTCATACAAGCTGAATTTTCATTTCAAATGTTACTGAAACTTGGAACTGTACCAAATAAAACGGTCATCATGAAGACTAGGGACCATAACTGTGAGTATTATTAGAACAGCAGGCACATGCATTGCAAATGTATGCTAACATATTTAAATGGGAAGCTAAGTTAGCGCTAACAGCTAGCCTATGAGAATTCTGTAAAAGCATAACTTAAAGGTTGCGTTGGAACCAGATACCTGTGTCATAAGCCTCAGCCATAAACTGTGAGGGAAGCCAAAACAAATCCTTAAAGTTAAACTGGACTGACATAATAAAAAATGAAAATTAGTCAAATAAGTCACCATTTACTTTGTCGTCTGTAGTCTGGTCTGCCTGATTTGGTTTGCACAAGCTTTACTGCTCAAGCATGTTTTGCCAAGTGATGCACTCTCTTGCTTTTTCCGGCTTAATTACTGTGACACATTACCCTCAGCATTCTATACTGGTGTAGTGTTTGCATTAATATTAAGTATGCAGCTTTCTTTTTACATGACCTATACTTGTATTGTCCCTTATATGTTGACTTAAGGACTGTCATTTTTTAATCATTTCAGTTTAAAAATCCTGATTTATTTTGGAAGAGTGAAGGTGAGATTTTGGGTTGGTTGTTTGAAAAGGATGTTTTTGTTTTGGCAAAATTTGTCAAAAAGGCTTGGCATATGCGGCAAAGTATTTTGTACCCTGTAGGATGAACTTTTTTGTTTCTCTTTCATTATCCTCATTGTTTGTGTTACAATTCTTAATGGATTTTTGATGTTATTGTTGTTGTATATTATGTTGCGTGGCTGTCTTGGATACATTGTGTTTTGAGTTTGTTGAACAGTGTCTAATAAGCCCATGGGACTGGGCACCAATTTTGGTGTATGACACTTAAATAAAATTATCAAATCAAATAATAAAAAAAATGTATTAGAACTAATGCACAGTATACAGTACATCAAGTCTGACTTTCATTGTGTCTCCTTTGCCTCTACTCTTCAACACAGCAGTAACATGGACTATGATCGTATAAAAGAAGAGACACCACCTTATTAGTATGTATCTTAGGTTGTTTTGTTTGTGTGCACCTTGCCGTGTGTGCTCTCTCTGAATTAAATTTTTCACACAGCCTGCCACCAACTGTTGAATAATCCCCTGAAAGCCAAATCACTTCAGATCAATTTCCCTTTTTCTAATTATTTTGGTAACAACCCTGATGAGATGTGTGAAGTCTTATGGGTGATGTGTATGTGAGAACATGCCTGCTTGTGTGCAAACTTCACACATTAAAATTAGAACTCACACGTTGCTCTACATGCCCGACGGGCAGGTTTACAGTTGTTTCTTCTTATTTAATAAGCATAATTCTTGTCATTCCTCTCTGTCTGAGGGAGCAGAAGTAATGTAGAAATAAAGCAAACAGCTGATGGGGGTGAAATTGTTCCAGGATTTGGCTGTTGTGTTGTTTATGTTGTGATTTGTTGGCTATAATGTGACGTTAATTTGGCGTGAAATGATGTTCAAACATCGTGACACACTGGATCAGAGGATAATTTGAGCTCGGAGCCCAGGACGGGAATGTGTCAGAGACAGTCAGTCACATTATAAGATGAGTGAGCGCTGTACAGTAGCAGTACTTTAACTGTACGCTGTGAGGCACAGAGATGACTCATTCAGCTCTGTTGGAGCGCTGGAGGTCACCACTGATAGAGGGGACCCCTCAAATTAGTGGAAGACCTCTACCCTGTCAACAAGTCTTTAACAGCTTCAACAATATACGAAAAACCACAGTATTTTGGCAGAAACAGCAGATGTATAGAAGCAACCCTTAGATTTGATGTTTTCGAAGTTTTACACTTGTGGTACCTCATTTCTCTTTCCATTTTTGTATCTTTTATACTTTCACAAACATTATTTCAGCAGCTTTACCACAGAAAATTTGCTAGGGAGCATAAGTCATGCGTAAACAACAAAAAATCATCATAATATTCAAGCATAAGCTAAAACCTTTATATCAGGAGTGTTCATCATGATACTAGGAACAGAACCTCTTTCCCAGGAGTATTTAACCTTCTATGCTTAAACTGATGGCATAAATGCAACGAGCACAGTATTCACATAAACAACTAATGAGATAAACACAAATGAGGAAATTTTTGATTGCCGTTAATTTTTTAAATTTTATTTTTTTTTATCTCTCTAATTTCATCATGAAATTTTTGTCGTTGTTGTTGTTGTTTGGGACTTAGGTGGACATGGGTCTTAGTGTGGGTGGGTGTGAGTTTAAACATTCACCCTATGCTGGTTGTTTGGGACAACTCAGCCTCATGTCCATTCTCTTTGTGTATTTGCGGGTGCATTGGCGTGTGTGTGTGTGAGTGTGTGTGTGTGTGTGTGTGGGTTTAAACATTCACCCAGCTGGTTGTTTGGGACAACTCAGTCTCATGTCCATTCTCTTTGTGTATTTACGGGTGCATTGGCGTGTGTGTATGTGTGTGTGTGTGTGTGTGTGTGTGTGTGTGTGTGTGTGTGTGTGTGTGTGTGTGTGTGTGTGTGAATGTGTGTGAATGTGTGTGTGGGTGGGGAATGTGGGTTTAATCAATCACTTTATGCTTCATCTTCTTCAATATTTTTGAATGCCCCACAAATGAAAAAGTTAAGGAACTTCTTCCATCTGTGAAAAACCACACAGACATAGAGAAACATGTTAAGTCCTGACAGACAGAAAGCAGTGATGGCCTGTGTGTGTGTGTGTGTGTGTGTGTGTGTGTGTGTGTGTGTTTTAGGGTGAGGTTGTAGTTTTCATCTCCTGTTTCGACCTCCGCTGCTTGTACTGGCGCCGATGTTTAGGAGTCAATGCCTTTTTAAATCTCCTCCACCAGGAGACCTTCATCTGAAGTGTTTCCTCAGTGGTCTCGGGTGTTGCTCCAGAGATCTCCTCCATCTCGGGTGTTGCTCCAGAGATCTCCTCCATCTCGGGTGATGCACCAGAGATCTCCTCCATCTCAAGTGATGCTCCAGAGATCTCCTCCATCTCGGGTGATGCTTCAGAGATCTCCTCCATCTCGGGTGTTGCTCCAGAGATCTCCTCCATCTCGGGTGATGCTTCAGAGATCTCCTCCATCTCGGGTGTTGCACCAGAGATCTCCTCCATCTCGAGTGATGCTTCAGAGATCTCCTCCATCTCGTGTGATGCTCCAGAGATCTCCTCCATCTCGTGTGATGCTTCAGAGATCTCCTCCATCTCGAGTGATGCTTCAGAGATCTCCTCCATCTCGTGTGATGCTTCAGAGATCTCCTCCATCTCGTGTGATGCTTCAGAGATCTCCTCCATCTCGTGTGATGCTTCAGAGATCTCCTCCATCTCGTGTGATGCTTCAGAGATCTCCTCCATCTCGTGTGATGCTCCAGAGATCTCCTCCATCTCGAGTGTTGCTTCAGAGATCTCCTCCATCTCGAGTGATGCTTCAGAGATCTCCTCCATCTCGTGTGATGCTCCAGAGATCTCCTCCATCTCGGGTGTTGCTCCAGAGATCTCCTCCATCTTGGGTGTTGCTCCAGAGATCTCTTCCATCTCGGGTGTTGCTTCAGAGATCTCCTCCATCTCGGGTGATGCTTCAGAGATCTCCTCCATCTCGGGTGATGCTCCAGAGATCTCCTCCATCTCAGGTATTGCTCCAGAGATCTCCTCCATCTCGTGTGATGCTTCAGAGATCTCCTCCATCTCGTGTGATGCTTCAGAGATCTCCTCCATCTCGGGTGATGCTTCAGAGATCTCCTCCATCTCGGGTGTTGCTTCAGAGATCTCCTCCATCTCGGGTGATGCTCCAGAGATCTCCTCCATCTCGGGTGTTGCTCCAGAGATCTCCTCCATCTCGGGTGTTGCTCCAGAGATCTCCTCCATCTCGGGTGATGCTTCAGAGATCTCCTCCATCTCGGGTGTTGCTCCAGAGATCTCCTCCATCTCGTGTGATGCTTCAGAGATCTCCTCCATCTCGAGTGATGCTTCAGAGATCTCCTCCATCTCGGGTATTGCTCCAGAGATCTCCTCCATCTCGTGTGATGCTTCAGAGATCTCCTCCATCTCGGGTGTTGCTTCAGAGATCTCCTCCATCTCGTGTGTTGCTTCAGAGATCTCCTCCATCTCGAGTGATGCTTCAGAGATCTCCTCCATCTCGGGTATTGCTCCAGAGATCTCCTCCATCTCGTGTGATGCTTCAGAGATCTCCTCCATCTCGGGTGTTGCTTCAGAGATCTCCTCCATCTCGGGTGATGCTCCAGAGATCTCCTCCATCTCGTGTGATGCTTCAGAGATCTCCTCCATCTCGGGTGTTGCTTCAGAGATCTCCTCCATCTCGGGTGTTGCTCCAGAGATCTCCTCCATCTCGTGTGATGCTTCAGAGATCTCCTCCATCTCAGGTGATGCTCCAGAGATCTCCTCCATCTCGGGTGTTGCTTCAGAGATCTCCTCCATCTCGGGTTTTGTTTCAGAGATCTCCTCCAGCTCGGGTGTTGCTCCAGAGATCTCCTCCATCTCGGGTGTTGCTCCAGAGATCTCCTCCATCTCGGGTGTTGCTTCAGAGATCTCCTCCAGCTCTGGTGTTGCTCCAGAGATCTCCTCCATCTCAGGTGTTGCTCCAGAGATCTCCTCCATCTCTGGTGTTGCTCCAGAGATCTCCTCCATCTCGTGTGATGCCTCAGAGATCTCCTCCATCTCGGGTGTTGCTTCAGAGATCTCCTCCATCTCAGGTGATGCTCCAGAGATCTCCTCCATCTCGGGTTTTGTTTCAGAGATCTCCTCCAGCTCAGGTGTTGCTCCAGAGATCTCCTCCATCTCGGGTGTTGCTCCAGAGATCTCCTCCATCTCGGGTGTTGCTTCAGAGATCTCCTCCATCTCTGGTGTTGCTCCAGAGATCTCCTCCATCTCGGGTGTTGCTTCAGAGATCTCCTCCATCTCGGGTGTTGCTCCAGAGATCTCCTCTAGCTCGGGTGTTGCTCCATAAATTCGCAGAGGAGCGCGTTCAATCACTTCCTCCATTGGTGAGGTCTGGGTAGCTGGATGAACCACCACCTTTTCTACCAGAGGACTGTGTTCAGTCACTTCCTCCATTGGTGAGGTCTGGGTAGCTCCATGTACCATCACCTCTTTTTCTAGCAGAGGCTCAGGATCTGATTTAATCACCTCCAGGGGCTGAGCTTCCAGGGGCTGAGCTTCCAGGGGCTGAGGGGCTTGTGCAATCCCCTCCTCAGTGACTAGGGGCTGGGGGGCTTTTTCCTTCCTTTGCAAGGAATCAGTTGTGCCTCAGTCCTGATTCCTTCTCTGTCTTTTGGGTCTTTGGCCACCCCCATTTCTTTCCTTCCCTCGAGCTGGTTAGAACTTTGTTCAGGTTCTAACCAGCTCTCTGGCCAATCCTCAAATAGCTGGTTAGAACTTTGTTCAGGTTCTAACCAGCTCTTTGGCCAACCCTCAAACCACCAATCACGGTCATGTCCTGTCCAATTCTCTGTGGGCCTGCTATCTGCCTGCTTGTCGGCCTGTTCCCTTTGTGGTGCCGCAATTCTCAAGCATTCACCGTCTTTTAGGTTTTCCACCATCTCTCTAACTTCCCACGCATGTATTGGTCTTTGTTCGAGACTTGACATGGTCTTGGCCCACTCCTCCCACCACCATTCATGGCCAGATCCTGTCCAATTTCCTCTGGGCATGCTATCTGCCTGCTCACAGGCCTCTTCTTGGGCCAATTTGACTTGACCTCCTGCGATTCTTTGTACCGTTTTTGGCATCGACACTGTGTTTGTGTTAAAAAAAGAAGTAAATGTTTTTAAGTTGTTTTTACCTGCCAGTGAACCAACAGCTCAGAAACAGTACACCACTTGCTAAGTTTAACTTCGAACACTTGACAGTTGATGACATCATCATCAAAGCCTCTTTGATGATCTGTGATGTCATCAAAGCCTCTGTGACATCATTGCCTTTTTTAAAATATTCAATTTAGTTTGAATACCTTTTTTTTTTTTTTTAACTTTATTGAACATTGTGTGTGCTAAAGGATCTGGTTACCGTCAGCCTCAAACATAGAAGTTCACATGAAACATTAAGATCTGCTGTACCTAGTGACGGGCGGATCGATACTTAAGTATTGATTCCTCTGATACCAGATTTTAATGCTCTAAAATCGATTGTCAAGTCATTTAGGGTAACATATATAATTAACAGGAACACAGTGGAAAGTAACTTAACTGTTAAGATCTTGTCTAAATGTCTTAATGTGTTAAAGCAGCGGCATGCTCCTCAGTTAGCCCATCACTCAACATTGTGGCAGAGCTTAAATAGTCATGTGTGGAGCTATTCCAGCTTCACAAACAGCCCCGATATGGTTTGTGATGTTTGTGAAACAACAACAAGGAGTTGTAGTGACAAAATAAACTTCGTAAAACACCTTAAGTTAAACCACAACACAGAATACGAGGCATTTATGATGAGGCGGACACAAGAGGAGAGCACATTGTGATCATCTCACATGTTTCAGGTAAGGTCCCCTCTATCCCTGATAGAGGGGACCCCTCAAATTAGTGGAAGACCTCTACCCTGTCAACAAGTCTTTAACAGCTTCAACAATATACGAAAAACCACAGTATTTTGGCAGAAACAGCAGATGTATAGAAGCAACCCTTAGATTTGATGTTTTCGAAGTTTTACACTTGTGGTACCTCATTTCTCTTTCCATTTTTGTATCTTTTATACTTTCACAAACAATATTTCAGCAGCTTTACCACAGAAAATTTGCTAGGGAGCATAAGTTATGCGTAAACAACAAAAAATCATCATAATATTCAAGCATAAGCTAAAACCTTTATATCAGGAGTGTTCATCATGATACTAGGAACAGAACCTCTTTCCCAGGAGTATTTAACCTTCTATGCTTAAACTGATGGCATAAATGCAACGAGCACAGTATTCACATAAACAACTAATGAGATAAACACAAATGAGGAAATTTTTGATTGCCGTTAATTTTTTAAATTTTATTTTTTTTTATCTCTCTAATTTCATCATGAAATTTTTGTCGTTGTTGTTGTTGTTTGGGACTTAGGTGGACATGGGTCTTAGTGTGGGTGGGTGTGAGTTTAAACATTCACCCTATGCTGGTTGTTTGGGACAACTCAGCCTCATGTCCATTCTCTTTGTGTATTTGCGGGTGCATTGGCGTGTGTGTGTGTGAGTGTGTGTGTGTGTGTGTGCATTCACCCAGCTGGTTGTTTGGGACAACTCAGTCTCATGTCCATTCTCTTTGTGTATTTACGGGTGCATTGGCGTGTGTGTGTGTGTGTGTGTGTGTGTGTGTGTGTGTGTGTGTGAATGTGTGTGAATGTGTGTGTGTGTGTGTGTGTGTAACTGTGTGTGTGGGTGGGGAATGTGGGTTTAATCAATCACTTTATGCTTCATCTTCTTCAATATTTCTGAATGCCCCACAAATGAAAAAGTTAAGGAACTTCTTCCATCTGTGAAAAACCACACAGACATAGAGAAACATGTTAAGTCCTGACAGACAGAAAGCAGTGTTGGCCTGTGTGTGTGTGTGTGTGTGTGTGTGTGTGTGTGTGTGTGTGTGTGTGTGTGTGTGTGTGTGTGTGTGTGTGTGTGTGTGTGTGTGTGTGTGTTTTAGGGTGAGGTTGTAGTTTTCATCTCCTGTTTCGACCTCCGCTGCTTGTACTGGCGCCGATGTTTAGGAGTCAATGCCTTTTTAAATCTCCTCCACCAGGAGACCTTCATCTGAAGTGTTTCCTCAGTGGTCTCGGGTGTTGCTCCAGAGATCTCCTCCATCTCGGGTGATGCACCAGAGATCTCCTCCATCTCGGGTGTTGCTCCAGAGATCTCCTCCATCTCGGGTGATGCTTCAGAGATCTCCTCCATCTCGGGTGATGCTTCAGAGATCTCCTCCATCTCGGGTGTTGCACCAGAGATCTCCTCCATCTCGAGTGATGCTTCAGAGATCTCCTCCATCTCGAGTGATGCTTCAGAGATCTCCTCCATCTCGAGTGATGCTTCAGAGATCTCCTCCAGCTCGGGTGTTGCTCCAGAGATCTCCTCCATCTCGTGTGATGCTTCAGAGATCTCCTCCATCTCGAGTGATGCTTCAGAGATCTCCTCCATCTCGTGTGATGCTTCAGAGATCTCCTCCATCTCGAGTGATGCTTCAGAGATCTCCTCCATCTCGTGTGATGCTCCAGAGATCTCCTCCATCTCGTGTGATGCTCCAGAGATCTCCTCCATCTCGTGTGATGCTTCAGAGATCTCCTCCATCTCGTGTGATGCTTCAGAGATCTCCTCCATCTCGGGTGTTGCTCCAGAGATCTCCTCCATCTCGGGTGTTGCTTCAGAGATCTCCTCCAGCTCTGGTGTTGCTCCAGAGATCTCCTCCATCTCAGGTGTTGCTCCAGAGATCTCCTCCATCTCTGGTGTTGCTCCAGAGATCTCCTCCATCTCGTGTGATGCCTCAGAGATCTCCTCCATCTCGGGTGTTGCTTCAGAGATCTCCTCCATCTCAGGTGATGCTCCAGAGATCTCCTCCATCTCGGGTTTTGTTTCAGAGATCTCCTCCAGCTCAGGTGTTGCTCCAGAGATCTCCTCCATCTCGGGTGTTGCTCCAGAGATCTCCTCCATCTCGGGTGTTGCTTCAGAGATCTCCTCCATCTCTGGTGTTGCTCCAGAGATCTCCTCCATCTCGGGTGTTGCTTCAGAGATCTCCTCCATCTCGGGTGTTGCTCCAGAGATCTCCTCTAGCTCGGGTGTTGCTCCATAAATTCGCAGAGGAGCGCGTTCAATCACTTCCTCCATTGGTGAGGTCTGGGTAGCTGGATGAACCACCACCTTTTCTACCAGAGGACTGTGTTCAGTCACTTCCTCCATTGGTGAGGTCTGGGTAGCTCCATGTACCATCACCTCTTTTTCTAGCAGAGGCTCAGGATCTGATTTAATCACCTCCAGGGGCTGAGCTTCCAGGGGCTGAGCTTCCAGGGGCTGAGGGGCTTGTGCAATCCCCTCCTCAGTGACTAGGGGCTGGGGGGGCTTTTTCCTTCCTTTGCAAGGAATCAGTGGTGCCTCAGTCCTGATTCCTTCTCTGTCTTTTGGGTCTTTGGCCACCCCCATTTCTTTCCTTCCCTCGAGCTGGTTAGAACTTTGTTCAGGTTCTAACCAGCTCTCTGGCCAATCCTCAAATAGCTGGTTAGAACTTTGTTCAGGTTCTAACCAGCTCTTTGGCCAACCCTCAAACCACCAATCACGGTCATGTCCTGTCCAATTCTCTGTGGGCCTGCTATCTGCCTGCTTGTCGGCCTGTTCCCTTTGTGGTGCCGCAATTCTCAAGCATTCACCGTCTTTTAGGTTTTCCACCATCTCTCTAACTTCCCACGCATGTATTGGTCTTTGTTCGAGACTTGACATGGTCTTGGCCCACTCCTCCCACCACCATTCATGGCCAGATCCTGTCCAATTTCCTCTGGGCATGCTATCTGCCTGCTCACAGGCCTCTTCTTGGGCCAATTTGACTTGACCTCCTGCGATTCTTTGTACCGTTTTTGGCATCGACACTGTGTTTGTGTTAAAAAAAGAAGTAAATGTTTTTAAGTTGTTTTTACCTGCCAGTGAACCAACAGCTCAGAAACAGTACACCACTTGCTAAGTTTAACTTCGAACACTTGACAGTTGATGACATCATCATCAAAGCCTCTTTGATGATCTGTGATGTCATCAAAGCCTCTGTGACATCATTGCCTTTTTTAAAATATTCAATTTAGTTTGAATACCTTTTTTTTTTTTTTTAACTTTATTGAACATTGTGTGTGCTAAAGGATCTGGTTACCGTCAGCCTCAAACATAGAAGTTCACATGAAACATTAAGATCTGC